AATGGCAGTTTCCTCATTTGTGGGAACTTCACATATGACCAACAAATGTTGATAGTTATAATTTCGAAGTCATAGATAATGTTGTTAATCTAGGGACCAGCATTAGTACCAAAAATAATGTCAGCCTCGAAACCTAACACAGAGTGATTCTTAGCAACAGGTACTACTTTCGTCTGAGTAGGCAATTGAAAAGAAAAGTCCTCTCCCAACGAACGAACACCAAACACATCATACCGATCCCACTAAATATATGTCGCAGAAGCGCGAATGATGCCAACATCTGATGCATCGGCTCTAGCAGTCTTCGAGAGAAAAGTTTTGCGAACGATTACCGTCAACGATGGAACGATGAGCTATACGAGTTATACGATGATTTTGACATAGTGCAGCGAATGAAGAGTCAGCGGTTAGGGTCATTTCATGGATGAAAGCACTCCAGTTTTTAAAGTATTCGCTACAATTCGCAGACTAAATTCAATTCTAAAAGCGCAAACACACATACGAGAGGATTAACAAGAGTTCGATCAGTTGGTGACTATCAATTTGTTGTTGATAAATTTAAAAATACCAAATCATTTGCAATTAATTTATTAGTCTTCTTTTCAAATTTTAGAACGAACGGCGAAAAGGGTGACGACATACTCGGACATACGAAGAAATCTACTGGATGGATATCACGAATTTTGATTGAGACCCAACCCAAAGAGTCTCGAGACCATTTTGCTAAATTTTTTCTAAAGAAAGTCGAAAATAGTCAATCTAGTAACTTTTGTAAACTCGTCTTGGTTACGATCCAAAAACCAAACAGCAGCCCATGGTATGGAACCCAACAGGAACATACCCACCCACAAAATGTAAGCAACAAAAATCAGCAGCAAAAGTAATGAAGTCAGTTTACTTCACCTGATCTAAAATTGCAGCTGCTATTCCACTTGAAAAGGGACAGACGGTAACTGCAGAATGGTACACCGAAGAGTGCTTACCAAAAGCTTTTAAAAATTTGTTGGGAAACCAGTAGAAAGAGGAGCTGCGACGCTACATTTTACATCATGCCAACGCGCAATTTCACACTGTAGAAATAACGACTAATTTTATTGCGATCTCTGGGATCGGAGACATACGTCCAGCATCATATTCCCCGAAATAGCACCTTGTGACTTCTGATTATTTTCAAAAATTACAAAAAAAAAAAATTTAAAAGAAAAATTCTTTATTAGCAACGAGAAATTAATGCGGTTAATGCTGAATTGGATAAACTTAAAAAACAAGATTTTGACGACTGTTTTCAGAAGTGGATATATAGGCTTAAGAAATGCATTGAAATCAAAGACGTTTATGTGGAGAAAATAACAAAGGACAAAGGTTGCAAAAATATTTTTTTTCTGTTCAACTTACCGAACTTTTGTTGATCCCCTCGCATAATATATACTACATACATACATAAATTTGAACCAAAAATATACAAATGTTTTCCTTCCTCCGACCATACTATCAAAATAACTCTTCCTTCCTGCCAAATATTATATTGTAACTAGTTCCTAACAAAGCAAAAAAAAAAACAAAAATAAAGAAAAAAAGCGAACATTAGAAATATTTTTAAGAGAGCGGAAATCGCTAAAAACAAAAAAAAAAAAACTAACAAAATATACAGCCATTTTGCCAAACCAAAAACAAAGCGACGACAATACGAGTACAAAAACTATTGTAGCCAAAGCGCCATCCTTTCGAAGATTCGCTACACCAACATACCGTTATTTCCACACAATACTGCCTTTGTTGTTTATTCAGGCCACTGGCAAAGTGGCGAACTTGAAAAACCTTCCGCCTCGGCCATTACCGTTAGTTACAAGTACATAAATACATACATACGGGTATGTATGTGCGTATTGGCTGGTGTAAAAAATCGATAAACATCAACCAAGCAGCAGCCACAGCCGGCTAAGCTACCAACCAAACTACCGACCAAGTAACAGCGATTCGGGAAACTATAAAATGCTGTTTATTTATATAGATACATGCATACATATGTATGTACATGTTTCTATACATATGTATATACGATGAAATATGCACAAATAATCACTTGACTTCGGCTGATGGAAATGTGTCTTTATTGTTGTTCCGTCTTCTTCTTCTTCTTCTCATATTATATATTGTGCAAATCCCTGATAATTATGTTGAGATATGATTTTGAGTATGAAATAAAGCTTCTTTGTCATATTCTATTTCCTCTTATGCATAATTTGTAGCTTTTTTTTGGGCATTTTTCAATTTTAGCCGCTCCACTGCTGGTGAGATTTAGAGCACAGATATTTTTTCCACAGATGTTGGGCGTTGATTTATTAGCATGCCATGCATTTGCTTTCGTCCTTTTCAAGGGCAACCTCAGGCGTTGTTTTCTTTACTAAACCAGCTGATAATGAGTAAATTTTTGGAGAAAAGCAGGTTCCGTAATTGAGCTACTATCGTTTGTTCCGGCGAGGAGAGGGAAACCGAAATGAAAACAAGCAAGAAGAGCTGTCTTCGGCCATAACGAAATCTTTATTCATTTCGTGACCATATCACTTTTATGGTATTACATTTTAGGAAGATATATTGATTTTCTTATCTAAACAAATCGGTTGTATAGGGAACTATTTGTCCCTTCTGAGCGAGTTAGAGCAAGGATCATGGTGCACATTCTCTCATCCATCAGTTTATGTAGTTCGAGAAAGGATCACAGCCATGAGTCGGGGTCCTTTCGAAGTCAGAAATTTTTTTCTGCACTCTTTTCATGGACACGACTTCGTTGAGGCGAGCTCAAACCTTCTATTAATACTTTAATAGTTCAGAAGGAATAAGCACTGAAGTAGGTTCCACTTATATCTCTATAAAAGACCTGAAGATAGCAATTTACATAAGTTTCCTCATGCAATGAGTCTCAAAATATTTGTTGATGAAAATTTAAATGCAATTTGCTCTCAACTATTTAGTTGCTAATTTTAAGCGAGTCAGCCCTCACTACCTTTTTTTTGACTTTACGGCCAACTTTAAAATAAGAAATTGGAAAAAAAGTTGTCCCAATCTGTCTAGAGTCCTTTATTTCTTAGAAGGTTTCAAGACCGGAGCAAACTCGTGTAGGACCCAAAAAGGCGACTGATGCCTAGAGTGGACCGAATTCATGAAGGTAATACCTCTCCAGCCTGCTGTATGAGAAACGAAGCGACGGCAACCGAGCTGTTCAAATATGGCGACGAGGAACTACAGAATATGATCGAACGAAAGCATGTCCGACAACTGGAACCTAAATATGTTGCAATCCACTGTAAAGGGGACCCCACAGTCTGCGCCAATCACTGTGAAATAAGCCTGCTTAATATCACTTATCAGGTTCGGTCGAGCGTATTGTGTGAAAGACTAAATCCCACCGTTTACAAACTGCTTGAACATTAAAAGTGTGGCTTTAGAATTGAGAAATTAACAATTGCCCAAATATTCACGATGCGTCAAGTCTTAGAAAGACTCTTGTAAAGCACTTTTCGACAGCACGAATGCATTCAATATGCCCGCAAAACTTAAACGTCAGTTTGCATGACGTTAAATAGCACCAAAAGCGCCGTCTGCATCGAACCTCTCGATGCCGAACGAGGTTTCAGGTGACTCATTAACGTATAACTTCTTTGATTTGTCGCTGATGAAAATAACGTGCGTACGCCTCAGATATTGACGTCAGTTCAGCTTTCTCTAGAATGAACAAAGAATCGTAAAGTGGACAAGACGAAATATCTCCCTGTTGCCACTTATAACTTTGTAGTCGAAGATAGTTTCGTGTTTGATGGAATCAGTTTTGACAACAACGACATCAGCCTATAAACCCCACTTGCCAGCAGGTGCTACTTTGGATTCAGTAGGCAAATGAAAAGTAAATTTCTCTCACGACGAACGAAAACCAAACTCGAAAAGTCACTCATCATTACCGGCCTGCTCTATGGTGCAGAAACATACACGATGGCAACATAGCTGGACTTGGAAACCTTCGAGAGAAAGGTTTTGCATAAGATTGGAGATCATCTACGCGTTGCGTTGGAACAATGAGCTGTACGAGTTATGGCTAGCTCACGTGGTACGAAACTAAAGAGAGCACGATAACTTTGAAAGTTTCCGCTGATTACCTGCAGCGTGAAGCAGTAAGAGGAGGACTTTCAATCCCCTTACATCAGGGTGAAGAAGGACCTGACTGCATTTTGTATTTCCAATTGGCGCCAAACAGCGAAAAAAAAGAGGCAATCGTCCATACGGTAAACTAACACTAGTGACACAATAAATCAAATAACTTTGTGTTAAATAAACTCACCGATAGAAAATAATAACAATAACAGTTTCTGTATGTATATATATTGATTTATGTTAGTCGATTGTATGAAAATAAAATAAACACTTTCGAGTGTAGAGCTTTTTTGATAACGACATCATTATTACAATATCAATATTTAATTCATGTAGCTGTTCAAATATTTCTACATACATACATAAATATATACAGGGTGCTCCATTTTTTTTAGTCGGTATATAAACATTGCATAACTTTGAGAACAAACAACCGATTTCTATAAGTGATGTATTTTTATTCAATTTTGTTGGATTAGTTTTCGAAAACAATATCAATCAAATATGCACGTTGAGTTGACATAGAATGGAACGACTGTTTTCAATGCAAAGTGTCACTATTTTAGCGTGTTATTTCCTTTGTGAAGCGATCCATGGCAAAAATTGTACTGAATTGACGTTTCCAAAACATATCTGATGCAATCGCTCCGTTGGTAAATGTGAAAGTTATTCAGCCGACATAAAAGATGGAGCACCCTGTATGTATATATGTATGTATTTATGTATATTGATTTATGTCTGTACAATATTTACAATATCTAAAAGTACGACCCGTCTTAGCACCACAAAACTACGCCTAATTAAATGATTATTATATGTATTTGTTGCACTTTCATACATACACACATACATACCTTTCTAAAAAACTTCCAGTTGCTTAAATTTATGCAACAACGTCACCACCGCCGTTCAGCAGACAATTCGATTTACAACAGACGAGCCGGCAAAATAAATTCACAGCCCAAGAGGTTTAGAGATGCACTCACACTCTCACACTCACACACACGCGTGCATACACTGAAAAGCACGAGGTGAAGCGCACAGACATCAATTGTATAGCAATTCTCCAAACACTTTTCTTTTTATTATCACTAATTTTTGTTTTCGTTTTAAGCTATGTATATATATTTTTTTCTGTTGTTGTTGGTTTATTTTAATCTTATTTCCAGCACATGGCGATTTTTTACATATTTTCTTTTTAATTTTTTTGTTTTAAATATTTTCAATTTAATTTTATTTTTCCTCAATTGTTTGCACTTAATATCGTATTATCGTAATATCTGTATGTATGTATAAATTTAATTATTTTTTCTTTACACTTTTTCGACAATTTTCGTTATTTTATTAGCTTCTATTACTTTGTGATTTATCAGGAAACTCTACAATTTCATTTTTTTTTTAATATTATTTATTATTGCACACCTTGAAAAATCTATTCGCTGGCGCTGTGCAGAGTGAATGTGAAGTGAAAAAGTTTGGAGTGTGAGAAGAAATGCATACACACATACATAACTTCGTGTGTATAAGTATAAACACGATGTATGTATATGTATGCAGGAAAACAAAACGTGAGAAGCTGCAAAGCTGGCAGATACACAGCGTGGCGTTTGTAAGCCACGGATATGGACATGGATGGCACGCAGGCGATATACATACAAAAATTTATATAGAAGACGAAATAGACATTTGCAATGCAGAAATTGTTTAGCTTGCAAAAGACGTTTTGATTTCATGGTACGTACATATATAAGAATATACATACATACATTAATATATACGTAAAAGTAGGTTTATATGCGTTCAAAACCCGGCTGCAACAGCAGTAAAAGTTTGAATTAAGAAGAGAAAAAGAAGAAAATCGAATAAAATATAAAGTTAACTGTTGAAATGTCATCAGCGATGTATCAGATAGATATTACCATGTATACATACATACATTCATACACCGGAAAGACTTAAAAGCAGCTAGAACAAGAAGAAGAAGTGGAAAAAGAAGCAGCAGCAGCAGCACACAGATGTGCATGTAAAATTGCTAAATAAGCCGGTTAAAGATGATAAAATTGATGATGGTGATGAATTTCGTCAGCTGCAAAGTAGTTAGCGACACATGCGAGCAATATATTATATACAACCAATACATATATAAATTCGTATTAAAAATGCTTGAAATATCCAATAAGTAAATACTAAGTACATACATATATATATATATATATATGTATTATATATCAGCGACAATAATTTGAAAAATAGATATATACATATTTACATACATATATAATATACACCACACGATGCTGGTAGCCAGTCAGCTAGGCGCATGTGAATTATGGGAACTGATTTATCTGCAAGTACGCCGCTGGGAACCGACTCGAAGACGAATATGAAAATTTGCTTCGAAAAGTTTACATATACATACCTACATATATGCATACATATATGCATACATATATACAGACATATGTATATTGTGCTATTTGTAGAACAACAAGAAGTAGAAAGCGTAAAAAAAGACATTTTACAAAAGGGCGAGCTGCAAACGTGTGTGTATATTCGAGTTAGAAGCAAAGACCGTGAGAATACGTACAATTTCAAGCTTTATTGGCGAAAATAGGAAAACGTAACAAAAAAAATACACGAAGAAAATATTAGACAAAATTTAAAAAGGCGGAAAAAATTAAAAAACATAAAAAAAAAATTAAATCAAATAAAAAAATTTTAAAAAGTAAAAACAAAAAAATTTAAATTATTAAAAATCAGAAAAGGAGTAGAAAAAAAATAATTTTAAAAACTGTGAAAAATAATTCTAAAATATATAAATAGAAATAAAATTTGAAATACTAAAAAATATTTAAAAAGAATTTTAAAATTATAGATACATATATATAAATATAATATTATTATATAAAATGTTAAAAAATTTAGAATTTAAAAAGCATTAAAAAAATTGAAAATCATTTAAAAAAATTAAGAATCATTTAAAAAATTTATAAAATATTTAAATTAAGAAAAAAAAATTAAAATTAAATAAATTATTACAATATAATTAAAAACAATATTTAATTTTACAAAAAATGTAAACAATTTTAAAATAAGAAGTTAGAGGAAAAAATAATTGAGAAGAATTTAAAAAATTAAAAATCAGAAAAGAAATGAAAAACTGAACTGAAAAAAACTTTAAAAACCTTAAAAATAATTAAAATAAATAATAATTAATTTAGAAAAACTATAAACAATTTTAAAATAAAAATTAATTAAAATAAATTAAGAAGCAGAAAAAAATGTTATTCAAATTTTTAATAATTTTTTTTAAATATAAAACTAGCAACAATAAGAGAAAAACAAATAATATTTAAATCAAAAATTAAAAAAAATAATTAATTAAAAGAAAGATAATTAAAAAAATTATGAACAAAAGAAAATTTAAATTAAAAAAGTTTAAGTGCAAACAAAATTTTAAACATTATTACAATTTTAAAAACAAAATGTAAAAAAATTTAGTGTTTAAGAAGATTTAAAAAACTTTTAAGATCACTCCAAAAAATATAAATTTTTAAAATTTAAGAAAACAAATTTTAAATATATTTTTCTTATTATTAAAAAAAAATTAAATATTAAAATTTTAAAACATAAAAATAAAAAATTTTATGATAAATGTTAAATCAAATATTAAAAAAAGAGAATGAAAAAAATTAAAATCTTAATCTTAACAAACACATGTAAAAAAATTAAAAAGAAACAACGCTCAAGTGCAGGAAATGTGAAATGCGCAACGGCGGAAAGCCAGCAGGTATGTACGGGTATATAAAAGAAAAGTAAAAAAAAAAGAAATTAAATAGCAATTAAAAAAGTAAGTGTGTATGCATGTAAGTAAAGGTAGCAAATCAGCATTTGTGCAAATATGAATTTAAAAAAATTTACATATCAAAAATACATATTCCTAAGTGTTTTTCTTTTTATTTATACCAGAACTCTGTCTCAAAGAGATATATATATATATATACGAGTAGCTGTATGCGGCAGTTCCACCTTCGTCAACGTAATAAACTTGCAGAAGCCACGCTAAAAAGCAACGCAACCACGAACCATGCGATATTTTTTTTCTGTTGATTTTGCGTGCGAATGACAAAAGAAAAACAAAAAACCAGCAAAAACGACATAAACTCACTCTCGCACACAAAAGTAATAAGAAGCAGTAAAAGGAAGTAAATGGCAAATGCGATATAAAGCACGACAATCCATTGAAGATGTTGCCTTGGATGAGTAACATTTGGTTATAAAAGGTTCACAATTGCACAGTGGGGTATTTGTATAACTTTTGCGACATTGTTCTTTATGAAAAAAAAAAAAACATTTATAATTAAGATTTTACTTAGATTTCCACAATTGGTGTAAAAATATATTAAGATTTCTAAAATCCATGTTGTTTTTGTAAACGTAAAGTTTTTTTTTTCCAACTAATGCCTCTTAAGAGAGATAAGCTTTACTGCGGACAAATTCTTGAATTTCTTATAAGATTTATGCCTCACGAACCTGAGGTTTTTACCAACCTTGTATCGGTATAATCTATTTACAATATGTAGTACAGCAGCTGCTCCCTCTCTCTCTCTCTCTCAACTTGGTACTTTAATTACCCGCTTCACTGTTTCTTCATACATATTTGTACATACACCTATGTAGAAAGCTCTTTTTTTAAACAATCTATTTGTTTGTTTGATCGTTTATCTGTTTGTCTACTGCTTCTGTCTCCACTCACTACACACATTAGTAAATACATACGTATATACATTTATACTCGTAAACTCTTTATCATGCGGTACACGCGGGGTCACAGCGCCAGGTTCAGAGCAAACAAACAAACGCAGTCAGTCTTCTTGAGCAAAGCGCAACCAACCAGCGTTTATATGTATGTATGTAGAGGAAGAAATAGAAGAAGAATAAGAAGAAGAGTAAGAAGAAGGAGATGAAGAAGCAACTAGCTAGACAAGTAACAGGAATGTTCTAAATGTCGATGGCCACGTACGAGTACATATGGGCCGAGAGACACACATTGAAGAATAATCATACATTTTACGGGCTTTTGCAAACGCCAAGTTGTACACACAAAGATAGTCTTTGTTGCAGCAGACTTGAGTTTGTTTTAAGTTCTATTTTTGTCTTTTTTCTTTACTATGGTAATTCCAAGAAAAATACACATGAAAATAAATTAAAAATAAAAGCAATGTGTTGTGCTTCTTTATTGTTATTGCTTTGATTTTCTTTTATTTTTTGTTGTTGTTTTATTTTTTTTATTTTTTGGTGGTTTGTTCATTCTTTTTGTAACACATGCATGCGACTTAATTAATTTTATGGTATGTTTGTATGTAGTTTTTATTTCTTAATGTGCTTTATGTTTGCGCTTGGAGTTTTTATTTCATTAATTTTTTTTATTTTTATGTACTCTTTAATTTGTTTCTTTTTATTATTTGTTTTATTATGACTATTTTTGTTTTAGTGACGATTTGTAATGCTAATGCTTTGTTGCTGTTGTTGTTGTTTTTGTATTGTTATTAACAATTTTTTATGTTGTTTTACATTGACTTGCCTTAATTTATATGCTGAGTGAGCACTCAAGCGGTTTTCATTATTAGCAATTGCATTTTTTCACACTATGCACTAGCGGCTTTTCAAATTTAATTGTTACTTATAATTATTTTGTGTTTTATTTACATTTATTAAAGTATTTTTATTAATTTAAAGAAAATTTAATATTTTTGTTTTTATTTTAGTCGATTTTTTATTGATATTAATTCTATTTCAATTTTATATTCTTTTCATTTTATTTTCTTAAATTTTTCTTATATTCTATATGACTTTTCTCATTTAATTTTTATTTTGTCTTATTGGCTTTAAATAATTTAAACTTTGTATTTCCTTTGATTTTATTTCTGTAATTTCAATTGATTTTACTTTAAGTTATTTTTTGATTTTATTTTATTGTCTTTTTGTATATTTTAATTATTTATTTTATTTGATTTTATTTTACTTAATTTTTTCATTTCCTTTTATTGTATTTTAGTTTATTTGTTTTTCCGTTATCATTTTACCTTCTGTTTGGTTTTCACTGTTATTATCTATTATTTTTTAATTTCATTTTATTTTAGTAAAGTTTATTTTCTTTAATATTATTTTATTTTAATGTATTTTTTTTGCTCTATTTTGATTTATTTCTATATTTTTTTATTAAATTTTTTTCATATTATTTTAATCTACTTTTTAAATAATTTAATTTCTTTTTTATTTCGTTTCATTTAATTATATTTTTTATAAACTGTTTTGTTTAATATTGTATTTATTTTTGTTTAATATTGCTTTTATTTTTTTTAATTCCTTTTTTTTAATTTATTTTTTGGTATTATATTTCAGTATTTTATTATACATCACTTAATTTAGCTTTACTTTATTATTTTATTTAATATGCTTAACTGTTTTATACTTTTTTATTCTATTGTATTTTAGTTTTTAATTTATTTAGTATTGTTTTACTTTATTTTGTTTCTTTTTATTTTATTTATTTTCTGTTACTATATTTTAAATCATTTTACTTAATTTAATAACATTTAACATTTTAATTTAATTTATTTTATTTTATTTCTTTTTATTTAATTCATTTCCTTTTACCATATTTTAATTCATTTTACCTACTTTAATTTCATTAGACATTTTAATTTAAATTTTTCTTTTTTTTCTTTTAAATTTATTTGATTTTACTTGATTCGTTTTTTATTATTTGATCTTACTAGATTTTATATATTTTAAATTAATTTTATTTAATTTTCATCTTTTTAATTTAATTTTTATTTTATTTAATATTATATTTAATATTTATTCATTTTATTTTATTTCAGTTTAATTTATTTTCTTTATTTTTTAGTAATAAAATTTTATTTGAATTTCTTTGTTTTATTTTATTGTACTGTATTTTGTTTTAATCGAGATAATTAAATTTTTTACTTTATTTCGATACATATTTCCTTTATTTTAATTTGGTATAGTTTAACTAATATAATATAGTTATATTTTTATATATTTTATTTTATTGTGTTATACTTTGTTTAATACTACGATATTTTTTATTTAATTTTTTCATTGTACTTAATTTTATTTTAGGTATTTTCATATTTTTTTATTTTATTTATTTTATTATTAATATATAAGTTTTATTCAAATTCTTTTTTTTTAATTATGTTTCATCTTATTTTTTTTAAATTTTTTTTTTATAACTTTTTTTGTTACTTGATATTATTTTATTGAATTTTATTTTAATTAATTGAAGTTTATAAATTTTAATTTTATTTGGTTTTATTTAATTTAGTTTTGGGTTATTTAATTTTATTTTATTTATTTTATTATTATATTAAATTATGCTATTTTATTTCATGTGATTTTATTTTAATACGATTTTTACTTAACTTAATTTATTTGTTTTGTTTTAAATTATTTCGTTCTGTTTTTTATTTAATTTCATTTTATTGTATTTTTCCTAAATTAATAACAATTCATATTATTTAAATTTATTTTGTTTTTGTTTTATGCACTTAAAATTTTATATATTACAGTATTATTCATTTTTCGCTTGTTCTTATTAATCTTACGCACATTAAGCAAGTTTTTGTTTGTTCTCACTTATTTTTGTTTTTGCGCACCCAGAAATTCGATTACCTAACATTTTCCACGCCACCTTGCTGGACACCTCGTCTTAGCAAAATATATTTCTTTTCACTATAATGGCCTACACCCAACTTAGCATGTTTCCACAGCCATTTATTTGTTTTCTTATTGATTTTTTCGTGTTTCTTAATTTAGCCCAAAAAGATTATCATCATTTCTTCACATTGAGGTTTGCGGTTTGCACTGCGGAACACACAAAATTTATTACATTTCTGCGCCCTCCGTTGTCATTTAACATTTTCTCAACTCCTTGTGCTTTTTACACAAACTGCATCTGTTTTGTGTTTTTTTTTTCCTTTTCGATTTTTATTGTGTTTCAACATTCTTCACTTCGCCTGCACATTTGCACAACTGAAATCGTTATCATCAATTTCGACCTTTTTTCTCATTTCGCGTAAGTTTCGCGTCTCAAATGCATGCCAAGCTCAAAACAAATTTGTATACACCTCTGGTGGCACACCCATACAAGCATAGCGTAGACGTCACTCGGTGCTATGGACTTGAACACCCAAAATGAAGCACGCAAAAAAAAAACAACAACAGAAAATGTTATTTGTGAGAAAACACACTCATCCACACACACGCTATCAAGCAAGCTATCAGAAACGAATTAGCAGCAAGAAGGAATGTAGAAAACTTCACGAGACACAACGCGAACAAACAAACAAACAAATAGCGAACTATTCAAAGTTATGGAAAAAGTAAAATTAAACTCAAATAAAATGCAAACATTTGTTTAAGCAGTGGATTCTATGCATTTTTATGCGCCTTTCACACTAACAACGTGAATGTATATATGTATGTTCACTATGTCGTGGCAGCAACAGCAGCTCCACCAACGACTACTATGTGTGGAACACAGTCCTCGAAAAGCCATCAGCGCACACCAATCATGCACTTTCACACACACATACACAGCGCACAGCCTTACTATGCACAGTTTGCACTTGAAGAGAATTAGAAAATGAAAAAAGTGCTTTACGCTTTTCCCGTAGCGTTCCAAACGCGTTTCGTATGCTTTTTCCGCGCTCACATCCGTTAACGACGAGTTGAAAATGAAGACTGTTCGAACTCTGCTTGCTACCCTCATAAGAAGGTACCGCTGCTGTTGCTGTCATTGGTTGCTCCCAATTGTTTCAATATTTTTTTAGTACTCGTCGCTGTTGGCCAGATCTCACCACGCTCGCGTATATGGCCCAACAACTCATGAATGAAACTACGGTGGCATCAGCGGCAACGACGCTTTTTCCCAAAAACAAAAAAAAAATTTACATATCGTCACTACTCGCTGTTGCTCATACAGCAGACACGCTCTTACATATACAGTCTGGTACTGTCAGATACTAGCGAGAGCGTTGGCAATAGAATTCTCTTCTTGCTGTTGCTAGCACTGCTGCATGCAGTGAGTTGAGCGTTTTTTGTTTTGCATTCGTGGGGCTGACTCTCGTGCTCCACACTTTGTATGCGCGTGTGAGTTTCTCACACACCTATACTGAACGGCACTCTCACGTGCGCTTCTCGAATGTGTTGGCCAGATTTTCCATATCTGCAAGTATGTGTGAGTGTATGTGTATTGCTGGTGCTTTTGACATTTCGTGCGAGTGTTTTGCTTTTTTAGCACTTTTGCTTGTGTGCGTGTTTATGTTTCTTCGTCTCTTGTGTGGGTATGTACCTGTGTACGCATGATTTTTAGTACAGTTATACTGTCAAAATATTATGCGGTTGTTAGTTGAGGTGGGAAATTTTTTTAAGACGGAGTCAAACTAAAAATTAACCTTTTTAGAAAACAAAAAACAAAATTAAATATACATTAAATGCTTTTTTATAAATGAACTTCATCGAATTCACTAATTTCTGTTTTAAGCTAATTTGTTTAAAATGTTTGCCTAAAAGTAGACTTTATTTATTTTATCAAACTCAAACTCGAAGTATACCTTCGGGCTAAACGTTTAATTATTTTACAAGTCGATTTCGAAAATAAACGTAAATAAAATGCTGTTCAATTAATATTTTTCATTAAATACTGTTTTTAATTAAAAAAAAAAATTGATTCTTAGCATAATATGTGAAAGACTACTCCGTACAAAAGCCGGGTCGCTAGCTTTTGTAAGCTTCCATTCGTTCGATGTAATTTTCGATTACTTCTCGGTACATAGTGGGCGTTGTCTCAACCATAACTTGACGAATGCTGATTTTCAAGTACTCAAGATACAAAGATTTATCCACATAAACACGGTCTTTCACGTAGCCAAACAAAAAAAAAAAGTACAACGGTGTCAAATTGCACGATCTCGGTGGTCAGTCTTGTTTAAATCTTGTTTAAATCACACATTGTCCAAGTCGTGTTTCTCATTTACTGGCCCAAAAACGTCGGTTATCATACGACCTTAATGCGTCGAATTACACAATGACAGTCCCACCGTTTTCGTTTTCAAAGAAGTAAGGACCAACCACACCTCCGGACCAAAGAGTACACCAGACACTAAGACTTTTCTTGAGTGTAATGGCAGCTTTCAAGTAAAAATCAAAATCAATCAAAAATTATTTTTCGAAAAATCGTCGTCACTGCTTTTTGTTCAAGCATCCAATTGACATTTGTACATACATATGTATATAAGGCGTTGGAAATGTTCTTGTGTGACCTTGGTTTTATTTGGATGTACATTGGAGTAAAGCCAAGTGCAAAATATGCCCTAATGTGGTAAGAAAGCTCTCAGCTCAGGAAAACGTCGAGAAATAGACACATTCGGGTTGTTGTTTTTGTAAACGCAAAAAAAATTCACCAAAGTAGTTTTTAGGGTATGTTGTGGGAGTGGCAGTCCTTGGCCTTTGCTTTCCATCTGCTTCCCTATGGCAGCCACCTCTAACAGTACCCGTTCCATAGTGCGAGATGAAGCAAAATATGTTTTAAGGAAGATTTCCTACTATTCTGTCCATAGGCGACGATTTAGTGAGACTTTTCTGCAGATTTCGTTGGACTATATCTATGCCACAGCTTGTATTGCCTCCTAGTACTTTTATATGGTCAAAGTAAAAAATTTAATCCATTATCCTCGCAGTATTTCATGTACTTTCTAAGATGCCGCAGATGTTTTTTGAAGGAAGAAATAAATGGAAAAACCATTTAACGCTTGTAACTTAACGATCCCTTAGGTATTCTGATAGTCTTTTCAGAGGTTTGCATGAACTTTCATCAAACTGTTCACCTCTGGTTTCAAAAATTCTTCGCCTATTTGATTTGAATCAGCTCAGAGCTTGCCTTTCTCAATTCAGGCAAGCCATGAAGCCTGAAACCACCGCCACTTCAAATGATACCTCCTTAAACGTGAAGAGGGACTCGCAGCTACCTCATAACGTTGTGGCTGTATTTGAAGAACTTGAAAATATTTCTAGGCCATGCGTTCCGTTTTTAACCTCTTTTCGCTGTTACGACGGTAGTATCATCAAATAGCGGATGATACTAGGACTTCTCTTGTTCTTCTTCTTACGTGTTCTAATTGTCGCTCTAGGGACTTTTCTGACGCAGTATTATACTATCTTTACTCCACGATAGTTTAGCAAGATCCAGATATCCGAATTTGCCCTTCTTAGTAGGCTCATATGTTAAGGATCCACCAATTACGCGTTGGTATATTTGGATTTTTAGGAACCTAGCCGCCATAACGCATACGCCAATATCAAATCTTTTCTCACGGGTCTTTCTCAAGATTTGACACCTGCTTGATATCTGTTCAGGGGTAGATTTGTTAGGTCTAAAGCCAGATTGTTTGTGGGGATTGGGAATGCTGGTCGCACGGTAATTGGCACTGCCCGTAAGGTTCCAATGATAGAGCATTCCTTCGTCCGACCATGTTCAGCAAAGAAGCTGATGCATGTAGTTTGTTAGGTTTTGTTTTCAGTATCTGAATATCTCTGCTGGTAAGCCGTTAGCACCAGCCCCTTCGTCGTTCTTTATGTAGCCAATTTATATTAGAACCTCGTCACAGTCGAATGGAAAGTCTTTTCCATCATCAGCGATGAGGGTTTTGGGTTTACCATCTCCTGGTGTTGCACTTTAATTGCAGCTCAGCAGGCTAGCAGACTAAAAAGGAAGTATTCTACATAAGTATACGTCGGTATTGAAACCTTCTGTCAGTTTTCACATCCTTTCAAAAAATTCTCGAGTCTTACGCCTGTCAGTCAGCTCTTCAAGTTCACGCATTTCGGCCTATTTCAATACTGAACCTTACCTGTGTTTGCTGATGGGCGGCCTTTGCCGCACAGAGGCAGCTGCGTATTCTTGCTGCTGCCAGATAGTGGTCCGAGTCTTACGCCTGTGAGTCAGCTTGTCAAGCTCTCTAAACTCACGCATTTCGGCCTCTTTTCAATACTGAACCTTCCCTGTATTTGCTGATGGGCGGCCTTTGCCGCACAGAGGCAGCTGCGTATCCTTGCTGCTGCCAGATAGTGGTCCGAGTCGATGTCATCAGAACGCACGCACCTCTAGAGCACTGGAATTATGCAATCAATCACAGCAGTATCGATTCTTCATTGGTATGGGCAATGCGCGCCGTTTTAATCCTTCCAACAGAGTGAAGGTCTTCCTATTATTCTGCTATCTCGAGCGGGTACTGCCTCGAATACTTTCAAAACTGGGGTGCTTTCATTCATTCGGACGACATGACAAAGCCTGCGTAGCCGCCTCGACACCGTATCATTGTAGGATGGGAATGATGAGCGACATGGTTTTGGGCCACGGAGAGAGCGCTTTTCTTTTTCATTAGAATGCAAAAGCTTAATAAATAGTTTACAAAATTAAGACTTGATCGATTTATCAAATGATCTATTTAAGAAAAAAAAACATTGCCTACCTTTAGGCGAATGAACTATACCGTTAATAAACAGTAAATCGCTAAAATAAATAAATAAAATTTCCATTCGTACGGTACATGCAACAGCCAACCCTGCCTGATAGATGTCTTAAGAAAATCCCAACGATTGACAAATAAATATCCCACGGTTTAGTGACAAGTAAACAAAAGCAAAATATAAACAAAACCACTACAACTGCAACACCTGCGCATATGATGACAATGATAAAGCAAGTGAATAAAAGCGGGAGAGAGAGAGAAATAGAGATGCTCCAAGCCAACTGCCAGCTGCCAACAGAGCACACGCTAGCGACTCCACCACAAAAGAGATGAAGCAAACGGCAGTAAAAAATCATAAATAATAAAAAAACAACACCACAAAATTTAATCAGATGTTAAAAGACAGTTAGCAGAGAGCGGATATATAGTGGCGCATACAAACAGAAGTGATTGAGAAAGAAGAGAGAGAAAGAGCATTGAACGTTTAACACGCACACATTTGGGGTTCATTACTGATTACAGATTACTGAGCAATAGCGTAGCGGGTTAAATAACAGTAAATTATGTGTGGTGTAAGCTTTTAAAGTGGTAACACGAACAAGACAAGCGGACAGGCACAGCCAAAACGACGTCTACATAACTTACATACCTACAAACATACATGCATGTATAGTCTTGTACGATGATGACTTGCGTGGAAATCGTGGCCAACAAATCATCGTTGAGGTAACAACAATCCATGCGGACAGTGTGTGGTGAAAATTGAACGTGAGCGGCAGACAATGTCATGCCAAGAAAATCCCAGCAAATTTAGACAGTCAGTCAGTCAAGCAGCCAGGCAGCCAGTGAACTAGAGAGCAGTGAAATGTGAAAATGAAAATGCAAAATTCTGTGTGACGCAAAAAAGATAAAAATAAATAAATGAAAATACATACATATGATATACATATATAGAACAGATGAATTAAAGAAGAAGCCGTGAAAAAAAAAACAGAGAAAATGTGTTGGATAATTTAAGGCGAAAGGGAAGAAAAGCAAGTACGCATAAAATTTTCAACTTTTCGCAGAGCAATCGACAATACAGAGTGCTGAGCGACAGAAAATACAAAAAATTGTCCGTAAATTTCCTTAATTTTCCTCACTTTTCTCTAACACAAGCTACTACTACTACTACTACTACTAAGAGTAAAACTGAGTGTTTGCAAAACAAAAAAAAAAATAAAAAAAAATTAAAAAAAAAAATAAAAATTAAAAAGTAGTATTTAGTATAAAAAGAAAATATTTGGTAATAAAATTTTTAGTATACAAATTTTTCAAAAATAAAAAAAAATACCTGCAAATATACATAAAATAAGTATTTTGAGTGCGCGTTGTGCAAAAAAAAAAAATAAACATACGTACATACATATATCGAGAAGCAATAGCCGCAAAGCGTTGAAATAAATTAATCAATAACGCTATGTCAACGGAAAGCAATACCCCAGTGGATCCAAGAGTGCAGGCAAGTAGTCAAGAGCAAACAAAAAAAACAAAAAAAAATAAAATAAAATATGCAAAAAATAAAAATATAACAAATAAAGGAAGAAAAAAAAATAAATTTAAATACATTTAAAAAAATCCTAAAAGTATGTGTACATATGTATGTATTTCATGCACATGTAAATATATCAATATATGCATATGTGTATAAAAGCAATAAAATAAATTAAAATGTAAATAAAAATATTTTTTTTTTTTTGATTTTGTTGCTCTACTAATTTGTTGAATTCCCTGGAAACGCATATACATATTTATTTGTGAGGGATTTGAGCGTCATAAAATGGAATTTGTCTGTCTTATCTGACAATGACCCATGCTTGATGACGAGATGGAAAGTAATTCGTACATACATACTTACATACATACGGTATTGTAGGCGTGTGCGCACACACATACATAAATATGTATGTGCATGTAAATAGTGTAGGCGTGTGTGTGTAAGTTGAAATAGCTGTAGTAAATTGTTTAGAAATACCAACATCAAATGTGTCGGTATGTATATACATATGTATGTATGTACGTTTGTATTTATCTTCTTGTTAGTACAGATGTGCCATAAACAAACAAATGTACACAATTTTAATGTAAATGTAAATATGTAAATAGCACAACTAACTGCATAGACAAACATATCAATTTTTTTCAAAAAGTAAAGGGTGTTTTTTTTGAGACACGTTTTTTTTTCAAAAATGAATAAACTCCCTCGGAGCAGTCCCATTGTCAACCACTTTTTGCAGAGTTTGGTGCCGTATGTCAGCTATAGCGCACCGGAAATCCTCCAGTCGAGCTACTTTACATAACCTCAAAAAAAAAAAAAAATAGACCAGCATTGCTTGATTCGCACGCTCTTAGAAGTCACGCAACAGGCTCACGTCGCGAGAGAATGCGCTCACCGAAAGTTTCCTTCCATAATTTTTTTTATTTTGCTAGCTGTATGTCATGTTTCATCGTCTTGTTGAAACCAAATGTCGTCCATCGCATCAAAATCCTACAATTCAAGCACGTAAAAGTCATTAATCATGGTTCTATAGCGTTCTCCATTGACTGGAACATTATGCCCGGTTACATTTTGAAGAAATTTTGCTCACTTTCAATTACCTCTGCTCATAGAACACACAAAATAGCGAATACTTCAAGTTAAAACGACGACTCAGCAGTGGCTTCTGGATTATCAGCACTCCAAATGCAAAAAATTTGTTAATTACCGTGCACATTCAACTAAAAGTGAACTTCTTCGATGAAAAAAATTTTCCTGTGAAAATCGGTAACGATTTACATCGCACTTTGGGCTCATACACCGAACGAGCGACGCGTATGACAAGTCAGATTTTGTAAGCTCGCAAACTAAGTTCCAAGTACCAATTGTTGCGCACGATGACGGATGGACTCCACTGCAATTATAGAGTCCTCGGTGCGACCTGCGTGACGTCTTTGAGATGTGGATTATCCACTTAAGTCAGCCAATCCATGGAAGCTCGAATAACCTGGGCGATTATGTCGATTGAATATTGGACGAAACTCGCAATCGAACTAATATTTTGGTAACAAATTTCCACGTTTTGCAAACATTGTTCCGGCTTACATAAGCCTGCTCATTATGAAATAGCAAGCCAAAGTGAGTAAAAGTCAAGTAACAGCTGTCAGAAAAACCAACTCCGCGAAAAGGTATTGCCTCATTGAAACTCACACATCTAAAAAAAAACACCCTTTACATATTTCTATACATACATACATACATAGCCGACTTTATGCCGCTATTTAACTAAAGATAACTCTTTAAGGAAAAAATTTTTTAATTCATTTCTTTACATACATATATATACATATATATACATATATATATATATACATATATATATATATATATATATATAAATATATATATATATATATAAGTACATATTAAATTTATTAAAATATTTGCTTACCTTTAAGTGACTTTCAAGCATGTTTGGTTTGTTTTTATGCTAATTTCGGTGTTTTTGTGACACATTTATGATGTCATTTTGCCTAAAAATCAAAAAAAAAGGTAATAAAAAAATAATAATAAAAATAAAATACAAGTATGACATAAATTCATAAAAATTTTGCCAAACCAGCAAAGTAAATATATTTTTATATAAGTGTATATACATATGTACATTATTTAAAAATTTCACAAAAAAAATCTTGCCTATTGAGTAATCAACGCCAAACTGTTGCGAAACATTTGCGCACCTTCTGAGGTATCATCGAAGGATATTCAATGGGCCAACACCCATACAGTTGCCTTATACGAGTATATACATATATTTATATAAGCTAAGAATATATATACATACATATATATGTACATCCGTTACCTTTGCAGTTATTTTTCTCACTTCTTTGTTAAAATAGATTCTTATTATAACTGTAATTATATACATACATATGTATGTATGTATTAAATGCATTCTTTTGTTCGTATCACCATAAGCAAATGGAAATTCTATTGCATATGTATGTATTATGTGTGCCTGTAAATGACATTTGTCTCTTTTTATTGCATATTTTCAGGTTGAATTGGAGAAACTCAATACAGCAACAGACAATATCAATAAATATGAAGTGGAACTTGATGTAAGTATTGATTATTTTCTAAATATTTCTGCAATGATGGAAAATAAATTCACAAAATACAAAATTGCAAACGTTCTTATTTCCTTACTGGCGTAGACAACGCTTACGCAATGAAAGCTGAGTCAACTATAGCGCGCCATTAATTCTTTCCTCTCGCTGTTTGGCACCAATTGGAAATACCACGTAGAGTCAGCTTATTTTCCTGCTGAAGTTTACAATGCAATGAACCTTCATTCCTCTTCCTCTACCTACCGGTTACAGTATCGAAATCTTTCAGCTGGACTGTGCTCATCCATTCGGAATAGATGACCTATCCAATGCAGCAGCTGTTTTTTGATTCGCTGTACTATAACAATGTCATCGTTTAGCTCCGCCGACGTTCGTTTGAGAAGCTGTTGGACAAAGGTAATAAACGAAAATTCTCTGAAAAGCTTCAGCATTGCAGAGATGATTTCAAGGTTGGTAGACATGAAGGTAATCTAGAGGCCGAAGACCACAGCATACTTATTGTATGGAGGAACAACTTCTCTAGCCTGCAGCATGATAGGGAAAATGGAAGAAGAGATCGCGAACCCAATACTTAATCGATGATGATGGAACAAATGTCTCATTGCCAGACTATGAAGAAGTTGAAATAGCAAACGTCCGCTAAAAACCAACAAACCGACGGGAGCTGATTTAATGCCGGTGGAGCTATTCGAATACGACAGTGAAGAACTGATCAGGTGCATGCACCAGCTTCTTAACAAAATATGGTCGGATTAAAGTATGCCCTACAATTGGAACCTAAGTGTGCTCCTCAAAGAGGATGGAGACCACAGTGTGCGCCAATTACCGTGGGATAAGCTTATTCAATATCGCATATAGGGTCCTATCGAGCGCATTGTGTGAAAGACTAAATCTCACCACCAAAAAACTGATTGAACCTTATCAATGTGACTTCAAAACTGGTTAATCAATCATCGACCAGATATTCACTATGCGTTAAATCTTGGGAAAGATCTGTGAAAAGAGGATCGACACCCATAACCACTTCGTCGATTTTAAATCAGCACATAGGAACCGGCTGTCTGCTGCTGAGCTTCTTGCGGCTGTGTAAGCCAACGTCCACTCCGAACCGTTCTTTCTCTTAGAACTGAGTAAGCAATGGAAAAGTAAAGTCCGCCCGGGGAAGAACTAAAATCCAACTCCACAAGTACCTTATCGCTACCGTCCTGCTAGATCTTGCGAAGGCGTGGAGAGTGCAACAACTGATGAGTAGGAGTTTTCAAGAGTAAGGTTCTCTGCGTGTTGAGAATGCCAAATACCGCAGAAGACGGAAGGAAGAGCTGTACGAGATATACGTCGCCATTAACATAGTTCAGCGAATCAAGAAAAAGCGGCTGAGCCAAGCTGGGTCATGTGTTCCGGATTAATGAGAATACTTCAGCTTTCACCGACCGATGAAAGCAGGGGAAGAGAAAGACCTCAACTCTACTAGAAGGATCAGTTGGTAAGGAACCTTACTGTACTTGGTATTTCCAATTGGCGTAAAAACAGCGAAAAAAGGATGAATTGGCGCACTGTTGTTAACTGGGCAATAATTGCCTAAGTGGTGTCCACGCCAGTAAAGAAGCGCAAAAAGTCTTCTACCAAAACAGTACTGTACAAATTCTGTTCCCCCCGGCCCCAATGACTTAAGCAATTTCGACGAGCTGGAATTTGGATGACTCACTGTCATTTTTTCCTCTTTGCAGCATATATTCGCTTAAGAGATTTCGGTCTTATTTTGAGTTTTTCATTGCTTCTACACGACGCTTGGAGGGGGGGAATAATTCTGGTCGAAAATTTCTTTCACTTTTTAATACCTTTCAACTGCTACCAGATCCAAATTAACATTGTAATGTTGCAAATTTCCGCAAACAGCTCAAAACACTTACTCATATAATGTACCTACATACATACATACATACATACATATTCCCCAACCATAAAGTTCCACTGTCGTTTCACTCTTTTAGTTTATTGCTACTTTAAGCCAACTTAAGTAGTTAACCCTTAACATATAATTAAAGTGGCTTAAGCCTGCCTCACTTGACAGTTATATTAACAGCTTTAACGACAACTACGACGACAACAACAACAACAATCGCAACAACAACAACAATAGCAGTAAAGTTGAAAATTGTATTGTATTTTGGATTACATGCATGGCCATACAAGAGTTAATTAATTTTCGAGCATCAACAGCCAATTTCATTTCGAGTTACGAGCATATTGGGTGCGTACACGTAGGTATGAATGTGTGTGGTTGATGGGGATTTCAACAACTTAACACTACTCCCCTATTCAGCTTTATTATATACATGAATAACCCAAATCGTTCGAGAAACTTCAGTGTCCAATGATTGATTTGCGCACCCAAATAAATGCTGCAGTGATCACTGGCGATCTAGTTCTTTGGTTGGGTTTATTGGGTTTTTTTGCTTGTTATTTTATAAGTTGGGTCTTGCAATATTAGACGCTTAAATGGCTATTTCGGGAGTTTGGTTCAGGCTTTGGAGTGAACTCACTTCGCTGCAACAAATTTCTCTTTGATATTAACTCCCACAGAGTACTCGGAATGTAGTAGAATGAACAGACCTTGCCTATTCTAAACTTGTTATAGGAACCGCCTACAGTTTTCTCTGCTGGATTGTACGTAGAATTGTGTCATTCTAGAGGAAACACCACAAACGAGGCAGATCCAGAAAATAGGTAAACTGAACAGCTCTTACGACTGTTGGGTAACACAGTAGTGTTGCCAGACATATTCGCCTTTGCAACGAGAGCGGTTCGAAATCAATACGTTCAGAACTGTCGACGCAATGACGAGTTCCAATCCAGTCTCTCGAGTGTGCAAAATACGTGGCTTAATCTTTTGGAAGGAAAAACCTCCGGTTGAGCTTTAAAATGAAGAGAAAACTGTCAATAGTGATAAAGCTTTGAATTCTAGGAATGTTCAGAAATGATATCGCGAGTGTGCAAGCTGAACAGCGGAGCGGAAACCCTTCAAAAGTGGCGACTGACGAAATGTCTGAAAAATTCGAAGCATCCCCTGATCGAATACCTTCAGATTTCTATCGGCCTAACTCCCTGAAGCCGTGCATGGGTGGAAAAGGATTTCAACCGACGTTCAGATAAAAATGGAGATGGAAAAGTGTTTGGCCGGGAACTACCTCGAAGAGAGTAATAAAAAATCGATTCATCGCTTCATCGCCTGTATATAGAAGAAACCGCTGCTTTGTTGTTTTTCAAGAGCGCGGTTGTTATTCGAACTTTTTCATAGTCGGGTAATAAAGCATCTGCTTCATCGTCATCTCCTGGTGTACTATTTTCACTGGCTTTCAACAGGCTGGTAGGGTTCTCTCCAGAGTATACCTCTAGTCGCTAGATCTGGTCTAGAAACCGTCCTTCTCTTTTTTCTACACAGCAGTCGATTTTCTATCCACCGCGACCCGGCGAGTTCTCTTATACCCAGCTGCTGATGAGTGCAGAAGTCAAATCGAGCAAAAATGAATGTCAATGTAGCATTTCGACGTCGAACCTTCCTTGTTTGCTGACGGGCGTTCTTTGCTGCACAGAGGCGAATGTGAATTCTCCTTGCTACAAGATAGTGGTTCGAATCGATGTTGAGTCCTCGGAGACATGTCGTCCGTCTATCACAACATGTTCGATTTGGTTTTGAGTTTATCGTTCTGGAGTTAGCAAAAGAGCTTGTCGAATTTTCTTATGCTGGAATCTATTACTACAGACAAACATTTTTCGGAACCCGGCGAAGTCGATCAGCCTCAAACCTTCTTTGCTTCTTCGCTTCTTTGCCCAACCTACCATTAAAGTCCTCGAGCATAATTTTCATATAGTGACGGGGGCAGCGCTCATAAGCACGCTCCAGGCAGGTTGTGGCGAATCGCGACAGATTGATATAAGATCTTTTGGTATAAATTTATTAATTTAACGTAAAAGCACGTGGCTCTGGTGCACTGCTGTCACGGAGAAGAACTTCTTTTGATCTGATTTAATTTCTTTTGTTCGACATACATACATATGTATATGTATATGTCATAGTTTCCCCGCCAAAAAAATAAAAATATTTTCAAAAATACAAGTAAAACGAAAATGTTTTTGCCAGATGCGCCAGCAACCGCCAGCAGCAGCAGCAGCCCACCGCTTGTATAACTTAATATAATATAAATATGTATGTATGTATGTATGTAGCAGCAGCGCCGCTAATTGCTTTCATTTAATTCAGTTATAAAAGCATTTTGTAGTAATTTTTACCAAAAACATGCTAATACATACACACACACACACACACGCCCACACACACATACACGGGCAATATTCAATAATAAAAAGCCATTTTACAGCAATTAAATTTTTTCCAATATTTTACTATTTCTCTCCCCCCCTGTTAGGAGGCGAAATGTGATTTCAAGCGTATCTTGGCCGAGAGTGACGTGCGCATCAAGCAGGCTGCACACAAATTGGGCAACTCGATTGAGGCGGCGAAACCCTACTACGAGTCGCGTATTTATGCAGCGCAAGTGAGTACCGTTATGCGAGTGTGCAATAAATTGCATTTTGTGTAATCAATAAATATTCACATACGGAATATGCTAACGGTAGATATGCAATTTTCTGTTATTTTTTTTAAATAATAAAAATTTTTCCTTTTCTTTTTTTCTTTATTTATAATTTTTTTTTTGTTTTTGTTTAAAAAAAAAAAAAAAAAATTGAGAAAATATAAATTCTTACAACACCTGTTTGTTTGTTTGTATGTTCCCTTGTATGTATTTGTAGTTGGCAAAGGAAACACAACAGGCGGCGGTCAATTATGAAAAGGCCAAATCGATACATTGCGCTGCCAAGGAAATGGTCTATTTAGCCGAGCAGGGGCTGGGTGAGAAGGCGACGTTGGATACGGCCTGCCAAGAAATGCTCAGTCATGCTACTAGTAAGGACAATAACAAATACAAGAACAACAACAAAAGCAACATCAACATTAACACACTTATGTGCACTAAACTCATATATATATATTGTACATATAGATATATAAATATAGATATATCCCCTGCAGGGAATATGTAAGCAGTATGCAAAAATTCTAGTTAAATACTCGTATTTCGAGTGCGAAATCCTACTGGTTTGTTGTAAACCAGAATTATACTAGTATTTAATGGATATAAATATACCAGTTTGTTATACATTAGAAACTGGACTAGTTTGCTTTTGACTATACGCTGTAGTCTGGTCTGAGGCGAACTAGTTCACAACTGGTATGAACGAATCAGTATTTCAACTGGTTTAGATGTACTGGTATTTAACTAGTATGAAGCTGTTGCATAGATTGACAATTGACAGTTCGTAGCATATAGTCTTGTAAAAATACCAGTTGCTTATATCAAAATGGATGGTAGATGTAAAAATGTGGGGGTAAAATATAAACTAGAATTTCAGTTAACGACTACTATTTTCCCTGCATGGTATATGGTATCTACAATATATACACACAAACATTCGCAAAATTAAATTTTTAAGGGAGTCAGAAGAAGAGCTTATATTTCCTTTCTTCTTTCTTTTTTTTCATTTTCCTCTACACACACACACACACCCACACCACCCCATACACACAGCCAAAGTGAATCAATCACAGGTGGAGGTGACGGATGCGCGGAATGCATTGAAAATGTGTCAACTCAAATTGGAAGTGGCTAATAATCGTGTGGGTAAATTGCAGGGGCAACTGAAGCAGGCCATACGCGCATCGAGGTGAGTTTGGTGTGTTGTTCTAATCGAAGTTGTTGCTTATTTTTCTGTTGTTTTGTAAATCATTATGCAATTTCATGTGCATACATACATACATACATACAAGTAATACATATATACATATATAAACTTTCATTGTATTTGTGGTGGACATACACATGCATATACATATTATACATATTTATGTATGTACATTGTTTTCAACACGTTGTTGGTTTTTTAAGATTAGATTTATAGTTTTATCTTGCGCCAAGATAGCTTCGAGTTATCGATAATTTTATTACAGTTATCGGAAAGTGCGCGTTTTAAAAGTCCCAAAACCAGGTCAATCGTATAAGAAATAAAAATAAAAATAAACGACTTCGTGCTTTTACATGAAGACCCCTCAATCACGTCAAATTACTAAACGCAGAGATCGTGAAAAGCGATGTGAATGGAAAGGTTAGAGGCTTAAGAATTTACCCATAGACTGAATGTCGTAAGAGGCATCTAAAATCGAAAAGTTCCCGCGGCAGTCGGGTCTTTATACTGGAACGACCCGGGCTCTCACTACCGCAAAATTCTCTGAAAACCAATTCGGAGAATATTTTGCGGTTAAAAGTTCATCCATTCATATCGGTCGGTGCGCCCCTTGTCCGAGGTGCTGAGTCAAAAGATATTTTCACTGAAGCATCTTCATCTTTGCGAGTGACATCTCCAAACCTGCATAGACGTTGTATCTATATGCGCTTGACTATGTTCATCATTCATTCAGTTCGCGAGACCATCTTCGTCGATAAACTTTCCTTACGCGACCAGGGCAATAGATTTTGCATAGAATACCATCGTAGATCTCTCGAATGCTCATAGATCATTTTCATCTCTGTTCGTCATCGTCCACAATTCTGCGTAATGTAAAAGGACGGACTTGATAGGAAATTTATAGAGCGTAATTTTAGTTATTTCTGGAAGGGCTATGCTTTTCATTTGTTTACCACGTCCGAAGTAACATCTGTTAGCAAGATTTGTTCTTCGTTTGATCTCCAAGCTCACGCTATTGGTGATGTTCAGGCTTCGAAGTTATAGTTGCCAACAGTGTTTGGATTTTTGTATGCTGAGGTCAGCGGACCTAATAAGGAGAGGAACACAATTCATATTGTGAAATCTTCTAACTAAAGAAAAAATTTAATGAGCAATTGGTACCTTCAAACTAAATACATATCCACGACCGAGATTACACCTAACCAGTTCAACGTACATGGCGAAATGTTTTAAAAGACAAAAGGACTTCAAATGAACTTGACCTTACGTCTACCAGCGGAACATATATTTTCTCCAATACCCAGGCAGGACAAAGAGCCCTGGAGTATCTCACAATAAAATCAGACACGTTAAAGACTTACCGCGAATAACTAAAGGCTATGGCCAAGCAGTTCGCTTTGAACCTAATATGAGTACCAAGTTACAAAAAGCTCATAAGGTAAAGAAATGTTGGACAAGCTTGCAAGGAAGAGTACTTCGCCTCCATTTACGCCATTGAGGCCTTATATCGCTAGAAATAAAAAAGTTGTGCACGATGAAATATCTTCTTCGTACTTTCCAATGACTTTTGTGGGAGTTGTAGAGAGGGGGAAGACCCTCGCACTAACTATTGCCTCGAGAGTTCCGAGTAATGCCGGCACCATTAAGATCTGGATATATTCCTAGTCGACATAATTCGTACTTATGCAGACACGACACTAGCCACCTTTTTGCATGCTCATACTCATACTCATACTCAAAACTCCCTTTCTCTCTTTTCTGAACCCGTTGGAGGGTTGGAGAACCGCTACAACAACGATGGCAACAACAACAGGAGGTAGAAGAACCTGAGAGCTTAAGGCAATTATTTTGCAAATGCGCGGCCCTTTTGAGACGTAGATCCCAATTATTAGACGCATCAAGCTTTAAAGATTTGAGCGAGAGCGAAAAAGCAGGGCCAAAGATACGTCGATTGCTCTGTTTTGACAACTCCATACATTGGTTTGACTAGCGGGAATGAGTTAATTATATCCCTAGTGGTGTCACCGTGGGGCCGATTGTTGGCCTGAGTATGCTGATGCTCGGCAGCCACTTCAGTCTAACTTAACCTTTAAGCCCCAATTTAAACTAAACTAAATTTATTTTAGGAAATATAGAAATCGCTCAGTCAACTTTTGTACGGAATTTTCATATATGGAAATGAAATGGCGTCTCCGAATAATAAAGGGTGGTGTTTTAGACGTATGATTTTTTTAGTTTGTGTAGAAGAGCCGGTAAATCTAGAAACCATGAAGACGCTATTGCTGCTGTGGAGCAGAGAAAGACCCGAATGAGTTCTTGAGCAATCACGTATAACATTTGCAGCTCTTTCACTGTATGGAAGATGGTTTCCCTGCTTACAAAATCCGGCTCATGCAAGAACTGAAGCCGAACGATCATCAAACGCGTCGCTCGTTCGGTGAATGGACCCAAAACGTAATGGTCAGCGATCCTGATTTCCGTAGGGAACTTTTGTTTAACGATGAAGCTCCCTTTTGTTAGTAAGCAAGATGGGCGCGTTTGGAGTGTCATTGTTGGGACGCCGTTACGTTCTCAAAAAGACACTGTTTGGTTTGTTTTATGGGCCGAGCGAATCATCGATCCATATTTCTGCAAAACCGGCCATAATTGATTGGAATGGGGAATGGTCAATTTATTGAAGGAAACCTTTGGTGTGCTTGTAGAGTGACCTCCAAGATCAAGCGATTTAACACCAGAGGAAGCTTTTTTGTGTGCTTATTTGAAGTCGTTTGTCTACTCAGATAAGCCTTAGACAACATAGGTCCCTAATTGCTGCAAAAAGTGGTCGAAAAATTTGCTTCACGTGGAAAGTCGCTCGAAATCATTTTTAAAACATTGTGGCAAGCCCTTAGCTTTATAACAAAGCTAAATTCTGGGGCTTAACATCCAATTATATTAGTTTTATTTCCACTTGAAAGCCACATGTCTAAAAAAGCACCCTATACTATAACTTATATAATAGAATATTTATGCACTCCTCATGTACATACTTGCACACCTAAAAACATATACATAATTGCATTAATTAATGTACATATCGGTCAAGTAAAAAGTTTGTTCGGTTTTTTATTGTTTTTTCAAAATTAAATATTTTTGCGCCGTTTTGTTCGTAAACTTGTTGTCAACGAGATACTAATTTCATTATATCCCTCTAGTAGAAGACTGCGTCCCTATTGGCAAAAAACTCGGAGCGCCAATTTTCACAGGCCTCTCTTGAGGCCAACTTCCCACCATTAAGCGCGTTCGCCATGGACAGGAAAAGATGGTAATCACTTGGTGCCAGCTCCGGACTATAAGGTGGGTGCATTAGAACCTCCCATCCGAGCTCCTGGGGCTTCTGGCACGTCACCAAACACGTGTGTGGCATGGCGTTGTCCTGATGGAACACAATTCGGCCTATGTTGATCAAAGATGTCCTCTTCTGGATGAGTGCTGCCTTCAAGCGGTCCATTTGTTGACAGTAGAGAGCCGTCCATTTGTTGACAGTAGAGAGCCGGAAGTTTGGCAATAGGGAAGCAGCTCGTAGTAAATGATTCCTTGTCAATCCCACCAAAAACACATCAAAACCTTCCTGGCCATCAATCCGGTCTTGGTCACCGTCTGGGCCGCTTCCCCGAGCTTTGACCACGACCGCTTGCGCTCGATGTTGTCGTAAGTGACCTATTTTTCATCGCCAGTCACAATCCGCGTCAAAAACAGGTCGATTTTGTTGCGATTCAGTGGCAATTGGCAGATGGAAATTCGGTCCATCATGTTTTTTTGCGTTAGTTCGTGTGGCACCCAAACATCGAGGTTACGCAAATGGTTCCAAACAGTTTTCTGGCTTATCTTTAGCTCCTCTGAAATTAAATATCTGCTTATGTGACGGTCTGTTTCCACTACTTCCATGATTTTATCGCCTCCCGACGCGTGGTGCATCTTTGATATCGAAATTCCCCGAATGGAACCTAGCAAACCACTTTTATGCAACACGTTCGTTTACAATATCGGGCCCATAAACTTAATTAATTTCTTCAGGCGCTTTGGCTGCATTTTCGCCTTGATCGAAGAAAAATTGTAAAATATAGCGAATTTCCTCTTCGCTGGGCTCCATCTTTGACGAGCGCTCACAACGTACTGAGTCAATCAATCGAAAAACTGTCAAAGGCAAACTTTTAGCGCGAATAAACACGTTTTCAGCGCCGTATAGTATGACATGATGCGACACGTAACACTCGTACTATGGACAAAAACACCATCTCTTAGATAAAAACCGAACGAACTTTTTACTTGACCTAATATATATCTTATCCTCAAGCGCTTTAATATGGTTTTGAGTTCTTCAACATCAAACTTATTGCTTTCTCATTACGCCGATCACAATGTCTTTCTCACGCTTGGTTCCATTCTTAATCATTTTATGTATAATTTACTTTTCAGTATTTTAATTTTTAACTTTTAGTTTAAGCCTTAGACGAGACTTACTTGAAATGAACTCTTTGGTTTATCAGCACCGTTGCAATTATTTGTAAGTATTTCCGCAAAGAACTGCACGCTTTAAACGAATGAAACTGAGTTTCTGGCCAAATTCCAATACAGTTAATATTTTTTGGTTTAACCGACATTTTTGTAGAGAAAAACATTGATTTCTTTGAATTTTTTGAAATTGTTGAGTAACTTGTAATTGCTTGCAGACCCTTCTACGAGGCGCGCGCCAACTACAATGGCCTGCTGAAAGCGCAGAAACAAAAGATCAATGAGCTGGAGAGCAAGGTGACCGAAGCGAAAATGACTTACAACGAGGCGCTGAAGAACCTCGAGCAGATCTCCGAAGATATACACCGTCAACGGCAGGTGCAGCGAGACCTACTAAACGACACGCTCCTACCCGAACTGTGCGTGGCGAATAAAACGACCGCAGCCATAGTGCAAAAGTATCAAAACTTGCCATGCGACGAGCTCGACGACGCAGCGGAAGAGTATCTGCAATTGCCTGCCAAACTGAGCACGCAGTCCAGTCCAGTGCATCAGCGGCGTTTCGACGAGCACGAGTGTCCACATTTGCTACAGGACTTTCCAACGCTCAATCTGAGGGAGGTAGGCGGAAATATTTACATAAATTTATCTAATATTATTTTTGCAATAATTTATATTTATAATATATTTCATACACATATGAAAAGAAGAAACTCACCAGCGGCGGTATGCACAAATCCGCCAGTACCAACACTACCGGCGACGGCCTATTCGTACACCACGCACAACTGCACGGCCCTTACGAGGTGAAATCGGCTGGTGGCGGCAGTGGCAGCGGCGGTACAGGCAGTGGTAGCGCGCATGACGCCAGCTCCAGCACTGGCGCTGATGCGGACGAAGATATCGAGCAATGGACTGAGATACGGCTCTCGCACTCGGAGAGCACAAGCTCGAGCTACTCAAATCAATCGCTGCTACACGATCAGCAAGCGACCGCTGAAGATGCGCAATCGCATCACTCCTCATCATCCTCATCGGATGAGCCGAAACGTAAGGTGACATGCACGACGATCTTTCACGATGATCAACTCAACAAGAAGCAGAGTTTGAGTCAATGGCTATCACGTTCGAATAGTTTGAAAATGTCTGGACGCCGTCAAAGTCTTGATTTGCTCATCGATGCGGGCGATAAGGTGAAAGATGTGTTTAGTTTCGGCTTTCAGAAGGTGGGGAAAACATTGGAGCGACGCAATAGCGAATCTGAGATGAACGCCGAGAATGCGGACAATGGTGGCGCTGCCGGCGCTGTGGGTGCTGCGAGCGGTGGCGGTGGCGGTGGCAAGACCTCCTCGGCGGGTGATTTCTTCCTCTTCTCCAGGTCAGTAGGCAGTGGCGCGGCCACCAGTAACGGCACTACTAGTAGCAGTAGTAACAGTAGTAGAGCTTTGCTTAAAAAAACTGGACTGCTGAGCACATTGCAAAATCGCTTCACCAAATTGATTTAAAATGCGAGAAAATATTTTTCATTGCAAAAAAAAAAACAAAGAATTGAAATTATAGAAGTTTTGAGTGCATATACATACATACATATATTTGTAGCTTATAGAAAAGCAAAATATTGAACAATTTTCAAAAAATTTATGCCGCCATTTTTTTTGTATTTTCCAAAAAAAAAAAAAAAAGCATTTATATACCGCATAAATTTCACATGCATGCATAACGGCATTTATTTACATACATACATGCATACATATATGTATTGTAGTGAACTTGAATGGAATTTGGAAAATTGCTTGTATTTTTAAGCGAAATTTAATTTAAAAAAAATAAAAAAATTAAAAATCGTAAAAATCATTCGCAACTCAAAAAGTTGTAAGCAAATTTGAAAGCAATTACGGACAATACGTTGTTTACGAAAATGGAAAACAATGGCGTATTAATGTTATTAACTACACACACATTACATAAGCACGCACAAGCGTTTGTGCATAAAAATTGTTGAATGTTGAATGTTGAAAATCGAAAGGAAATTGTTACTCGTTCGTCCTGTTGTTGTTTGCTATTCAAATTTGTCGACAACTCGGCCAAAAAAAAAAAAACTAATAATAATATTAACAAAAATTGGTTACTGATCAGCCAAATATACATACATACATATAGTTAAATATTTAGTATATCTTAATTGCACAATGTTATCATACACACGCACATACCTTTACTATAAAATATTGCATTACGTATTTTATTTTCATGAAATAATATTAATATATACCAAACGCACGCAAAAAATAACTGAATAATCAAAAATAATTTATATACATACATACATACATACATATATACGTACATAGATAAAATGCATATTGAATTAAATTTTAAATGCTATTTAAATGCAGTACAAATTTTTTATGTATGTACACCTTTTTATAAGTATACTTACTACAATATATGAATATATTATATGTATATGTACATACAAACATATATGTATAAATATACCGTATGTATGTGTAAACCACAATTGAAAATTACATTTCAGATCAACAGAGCCCAAAGAATTGCTCTCCGATGAGCAAGTCGAGAATTTATTATTAAATCCCATACTGGATGAGAATGGTGTCATAATTGTTGAGCAGCTTAAATCGCCATTACAACAACCAAATCAATTTGGTTTGGCTGCCACTACGCCGACGTCGACGACGACAAGCACTACAACAGCGAACAGCATAGCTACGCTGCTCTTCTAAGTGAATTTATGTGGAAAAAAAAAATGAAAAAATAAAAAAATAAATAAAATAAAATAAAATAAAATAATTAATTAATTAGTAATGCATGAAATCAGAAACACTGAACAAATATATATAGAAACTTTAACTTAGAATTCACACAGAAACGTAGTTGAGGCATTCAATTTGTATTGAGCACGGGAGAACATGAGAAAACATATCATTTAGGGCGGACTTTTATTGTTGGTGCAAATAAACTACGTTAATTATATGCATACATACATACATATATGCATACTTACATACATGCGTATGTAATGCAAAAATTTTACATTAAATTAGCAAAAAAAATTGTTTTCAGCAAAGCATACATGCATACATACATACATACTTATGTATGTATTTACTTTTCGATAACACACACACAGGTGCATTTATAGTACAAGTTATTACAAAATTGCTTACTTAGTATTAAGTTTTTGTATTGGCCAAATTTTTGGTGGCTTACAGCATTTAACAAAATGTAGGCGAGTTAGCAATAACATTTATGATTAGTTATTAAATCTATATCTATTATTTAACAATCAGTTTTCGTAAAAAAAAATCGTATATGCATTGTTGCTTATATGCAAATAAGTTTTACAGATGTGTGGTTTTAGCCAGTGAACATTTTTGTTTATGTTTATTAATTAATTTAAACTATTTAAATTAACAATAATTACATCATGTGTATCTATACTTTGTTTATTTTGTTTAATTTCATTTTTTTCTTTTTTTGCATATACAAAAGAATAATTAAAAACCTCTGAAATTTAGCTGCAATGCCACACACATTTTTTCCGCTTAAAAAGGCCTACTGAAAAGCTTGAAAATACTTTAAGCCGGAGTGCAGTATGTTTTTTTTTTTTTTTAGAATACATTTTTTTCTCAAAATTTCGTACTGAACAGGAGCGGTTGTAAAACTAGTCATTTTTTAAATTTAATAAATAAAATTATACAAACCTATATATAAATATTAAAATGATATAAAGCATATTGCTCGTAAGACAAATTTAAAATGATTGAAGAGAATTTAGCTGAGAGTGTTTAAGTAAAATACCACAAAATATTTGCACCACAAATGTGCGTAAAAAATTTTTAAATTAAAAAAAAAAAGTTTACAATTGCTACTACATATAACGCATATAAAATACATACACATACAGATGTATATGTCCTATTGATGAAACTGTTGAATTATGTATGTATTAGTAATATTATAATAATGCCTAATACATAAAATATATAATAATAATGATTGCAACAAATTGTGACTTTATAATATTAAATTAAATATTACATACATATATATAAAAATATTAATAATATTAAATTTAATTTTAAATTAAATGTACCAAAGCATATGCAAAACATAAAAGGAAATGCATAAAATAGAAGTTTGTTAGCGAAATCAGCGTTTAATTCATAAATCTAAATAAAGCAAAGAAACTGAAATTAAAATATACAAAAAATATATATACATACATACAATGCATATGTAAGAAAATGTGTGTTTCCTCAGTAACGCGCCGTCTAATGGTGGATTGTAAAAATTCCATTTCTTGCTAGTTAAAATTCACACAGAAAAATCCTTTTCAAATATATTTTCTGCTCTCTATCGTTTTTTATTTAATTTTTCACTTTGCTACGCATACCACATTTATATTCAACCAAAAGTTTTAATAACTGTCCATTACGTTTTAATATTGCATTTGTCTCATCTTGTTTCTTATTGCGCTCTTCCATAATACCACACATACGATTTAGTAGATTTGTTGTTTGTTTAAGCATATCCTTCGTCTCTTTCACATCATTTCTCAATTGTTCCACTGCTGTGGTTATACGACTGGAGTATTTAAAAGATTTAACAATAGGCGTTAATTTTGTTTTTTTGCTACCGCTTTTGTCGTAAGCTTCGGTAGCCGTATCGGTATTATCAAAATAATCATCATCATCATCGACAGCTTCAATATCGAAGGGAAAATTATCATTAATGGTATTCGCATCGTCCTGTTCATTGAGTAAATTAATAATATCATCGGTATTATCATCAGTTTCGTCTATTTCTGCAAACACGTCGTTCACTTCCTTATTGCTTGATGTACTCTGCTGCGGTGTTTCTTGCGTGTGTTCCGTTGCGAGAATATCTTCAACAATATACTCTTCATAGACGTTTTTGTAAGGGGATGAAGTCTTAGTGGTGTTTTTTTCTCTGGCTTTAGATTTGGGCACGACTTTCCTTTTTCTACCACGCGGCACTGTATACAGACTTAGATCAACGTGCTAATATAAAAAATATTTCAATTAAACATAGAAATTGAATAGCAGTAAAGCTTTAAATTACCTTCTGCCATTCCTCTTTTGGTAGCTTCACTCCACCGGGTATATTATTCAATTGATCGGCTATATTTTGCCACAAACGTTGCCTTAGTGGCTCATCCTCTTCCGATGGGTTAATAAATAGTAGCCTCTGATCGGTGACAAGCTCATGTAAACATGTTAATTGGAGATCTTTCGGATCTAAGTACTAACAGAATTTTTTTCTGGTCACAGATTAATCAATAATAAAAAAAAATCAATTTTTTTGGTAAAACTTACGGTAGCGCCTTCTTCATAAATAGGCTCCCTATCAATCTCATCATCAGTTACATTTATAATGAAATAGTCATCATCGGCCACTTTGCAGTGTAGAAAATGTTTTAATAAAATATTTTAAATATATCTGTGTAGTTTACCATTTTTTAATATGCGTTCTTTCTCTTTATTGTATAAGTCTCCAACGTTCAATCGCCAAGAGTTGTAGCTCTGAAAGAAATAAAACTTTTGAGTTCATATTAAATTAATAACCATATATATATTTGGATTTACTCGCTTCCAGCCTTCAACATCTTTTTCAGCACCTTGCATTTCGTTGAGTTTCTGCGTTATTACCTGCCATATCCGCTGCCGGATGCTCAAATTTCGACGTGTTAAACCAACTTTGTTTACTTCAACGAGCTTCAAAAGTACGGCCAGTTGGTCCTTAGTACGAGTAATACTTGTCTGTGGTAAAAAAATAGAAATTTGCTAAAATTATTTAATTTTTGTTACAGTTGTTATGTAGTAAGAACATTGCTACACATATAACGTATTAAATGCCGGGAAATTAAAGAATTAGATTACTTTCCGTGCGCCATTCTGGTTGCACTTCTTATTGAATTTCATACCGGAAGTGCAAAGAGCAAAGCTGTTCATATTTTGTAACTTACCGTCATTCTCGCTTAATGCCCACCTACTTATGGGAACCGATACGCTTATTAAAAAGCAATTATTATTGTAATTTTGAATTGAATTTTTTTAAATAGAACTAAGTTAAGCAAAAATATGGAAACAGCTGTAAACGGTAATTACGCACATCATCTACACCAACATCAGGGTTGCTTTATTTGAATGTGTTCGGAAAAATTTTTACACAATAAATTCTTCGTCAGTTAATACCGAAAACTGCATTAATATATCAGAACTAAATTTCTGCTGAAATCTTCAAAGTGAAAACACTCATTAAATTCAAGAATTACGTGATATAATTGTGAACGTTGTGGTCTTGTAGAAGCAGCAGCGAGTTTCTTATCAAATAACAGTAAAAAATTGTATATTCCCCTTAAGTTGATATTTCTAAATCGGAAACAATATGTCTCCTGCCATGGACGATATGTTAATTACCAAACACACCATACATCCGGGCAAGGAATATATACCGCTCAAACAAGGCACTCGTGTCAAATTTAGCTTCCAGACACGCAAAGTTGATGATGGCACTCTTCTGGATGACAGTCGTGAAATGGGGCAGCCTATGGAATTGGTACTGGGAAAAAAATTCAAGCTGGAAGTTTGGGAAGTTATAGTGCAAAAAATGGCACTCAATGAAGTTGCCAAATTTACAGTACACAAATCGGTGAGTCAAAGCAGACAAACACATATTCGCACTTACACATTTTTTTTTTTTGAACATATTAAACTACATTAGTTTGTTTATTTAGCTAGTCACACAATACCCTTTTATATCGAAGACATTGCGAGACGTGTCTAAAAAAGTCGAGGAAAGGCGCCATTGCTGTGGTATGACTTTACAAAACGAGGGTATTGGCTACAAAGATCTCGACGAGTTGCTTGCCAATCCGAGTGATTTAGAATTCATAATCGAATTGTTATTTATAGAGCAGCCTGATGAATATGAAAAAGAACGTTGGCAAATGAATGATGAAGAGAAGATGAATGCACAGGAAGACTTGCGCGAAAAAGGGAATCGCTTATACAAAGAAAAGAAGTACAAAGAAGCAGAAGAGTGTTATCGAAAAGCTGTGGGCATGATTGAACAGCTGATGACGAAGTAAGTAACCACAAACTATTACTCTTTAACGCAACCAAAGTATTATCTTACATTTCATTTTGTTTTAGAGAAAAACCGCACGATGTAGAGTGGTTAGCATTGGCCGCCATTAAAGTGCCACTACTTTTAAATTATGCACAGTGTCGCTTACTAGATAGCGACTATTATGCGGTTATAGAGCATTGTACTGAAGTGCTTGATTTAGATAAAAATAATGTAAAAGCACTCTACAGGCGTGCGAAAGCACATGCAGGAGCCTGGAATCCCGTAGATGCACGAAATGATTTTCTCAAAGTTGCTGAATTAGATCCTGCGCTAAAAGCTGCGGTTAATAAAGAGCTATTAGCAATCGATGCGGAGCAACGCAAGCGTAATGCTGAGGATAAGCAGCGATTGCAGAAGCTTTTTTAGAAATGAGGAATGTAAACATACATGTATATACATATATAGTATTGTTCGTATATGAATGGTAATTATATTATTTGTTGTGATTTGATGTTGTGCACGGTACGCTGACGAGTGTCATATCTTTAGATATACCTTAATTTTTGAAAGTCAACTATAATATATAAACCTAAATAGGGAGTTATTGGAATAAAATATATATTATAGAAGTTGTAGGTAGCGGAACTTTTTATTAATATAATTATTACAGATGATTATAGAAGTGCACAATAAATACATATATATGTGTATTGATGTTTCACTTAATTTAATTAGTTTTTAAGGAACTATAATTAAATAAATTTATGCAATAAAATTACTTTTTACTTTCTTATTTATTTAGTATATTAAACCTTGAAGATATTATAGACATATTTATAAACCTTATTAGTATTCATAATTTGGGGTCTTACAACAACTATAAATTGAATTTACAAGAACCAACTCTATGTCAAATTTAAATATATTACTTAACTATAACAATTACACAGACTTTTAAATCACACTTTCAACCACAATCAAAATCAATCTTTAGATTTAGTGGCCATTTAAATATTCACACAACAACATCAATATTTTAACGCCTGGTTGATGAAAATATTGCTTATCTAGCTGCTGAAGTTCTACTCAGCCTCACTACATACGCGTTACGCGGCCACTACCCCCACCAGGCGCACCCTCCGCTTCGCCGCGCAGTTTATTATCATCTGTACGCCAAACGAAAGGCTCCAGACGATCTTCTACGTCCAGAAAATTGTTTATCGCTTCCAAATTAGCGATATTGTCATGTAATAAAGAGTTACATCGACTTAGCTGCTGTGATATAGTACGCACTTTGGAGAACTGCTCGGCATACGCGGCATATGTCTTCTGCATATCAACAAAGGAAGCGAAGAGTGTCGTAATAGAATTACTAACCACCTTTGTACGCTCGACAAGATGATTTTGCTCCTGTGTTACTTGTGTTGCACAAAGATTCAAATGAGTCTGCATGCGACTGCTAATATTAACCAAATGTTGTGCATTTAAACGTTCCAACACCTCCTGATCGCGGGTAAAAGCTGCGGTTGCGATGGAATCACGTAACACAGGCAGAAATTGTGGTATGTTACGCAAACGAATCAAATCTGCATCACCATCATAGTCTGCATCTCGAGCACCTGGTTTAACAATTACTATTGTGCCTGATGTGGATTGTGGACGCTTTGGTGTGGCGCCGGTACCGAATGATTTGCGTATACCTGTATTACGATTTATGTTATTCCCTTGTTGATGCCGGCTATGTGGTTTGTTGCGTATTTTCGGTGAATCACCAATGGGACGATCTGTGTAGGAAACGTAAGGCAAATCGGAGCATACACTCAGTGGTGGCGATGGCGGTCTGCTAATCTCTGCTGAGGTAGTTGGTGATGCTGTTACTGCTACTGTCTCAACGATATGTTTACTACCACGATTAGAGCTCGTGCTACTTGTACTTTGTCGCCCGCTACGTCGTTTAGCATTGCCTGTGGGTGTGGCACTGTGAGATTGGCGTGTATTGCCAAGAGTTATTTTCAAATCGCCTTCAAAAATTTCACGTCCATCTGCTTCGGCACGTTGCTGGGAATGTTCTGCGCCCATATCGGTAAACTATACTTGTGTTGTGTATTTTTCTATAACAGCGGAAAGGACTTTGTTCTATTGATTTTTCGGCTTGATTTTAACGCAAAAACGATAAAACGCTTGAGTGTTAATTTGTTTTTACACTGTTATTAGCGTAGGTCAATTAAATACTTTTATGTCATTTTATTTTAACGAACTTTAGTATATCTTTTGTTAAACATTTTATTTCAAAAGAATTCTCAGTTGGAAACAAAGTATATCACCAAAATAACAATCTAAGCCTTGAATATTTGTTGTTCTTAAGCGCCAGCTGTTAATTGCGATCGGTTCACAATAACATTTACGAACTAAATTAATTTAGTCACACATATTCTTAAAAAAGTTTTTTTTTTTAATTTTTTTCTGGGGAAAAAATATGTAATTTATTTTACATATTCGTTGTTTATATTAAAGGTTTAAACTTATAATAGAACTGTTTATGAAAAATATATTGTTTCTAGTTGTCATTTTAAGATGCTAATTTTTTCAATGCTTTGTGAATGCGTTTGGATTCAGCTGTGCAAAAGTGAAAAAGTTCTATTTCCGGTGATACGAACATTCAAAAATTGTGGCTTTGCTTTTGTATAAAATACGTTTATTCAAAGTAAATTATCCTTCTCATTTATATTCGAGAATAACATTAAATTTATGATTGAACTTACTACAGAAAATAAAGGAATCGGTTTGAACAAGAAAACACAAAATTAACCTTTGGCGGGCGTCCGCTTATTAAGATTTTCTGCCACCATTTTGTTTTCTTCCGGAGTACAAATAGTGTTATTGTCTTTCCGTTTCTGCATGGTTTTTCATTTGCAAAGCAAAAAACTGTTTGTTTTTGAGAAATTTTAAAAGAGTTCTTTTACAAAATATAGAGAAACACAAAATTCTTAACATCATTTATTATGCATTCATGGATTAGGGATGGTGCTTTTTCTTTAAGTGCGTTATGAAGGGTATAAAAATGAAAAAGTATTACACACAAGAAGTAAATAATACATTTCGAAGAATATTTTATATCTCACGTATTTAATTTTTTTTCTTGATGCCAATTAGGTTGTAAATTAATTATTGCTTTCTTTTGACCTAATTTCGAAAGAAGCATGCAAATATAAAATTTATAACTACAGATGTTAACATAAGCATGGTAAAACAATAAAATATGCTTATAATTACGTGTATCTGTTTTTGGATTTAAATCACTTGATAGTAACGAGAAATGTTCAATGAGGTCTTTAAACTCTTCAACAAATTTAAAATAAGTGTGAATGTGTGAAAAAGTGTAAATGTACATATATTAACATCAAGTTTATCAATATTATTTTATAGATAAAGATTTTTTTATAAACCCTAGATAAGGCAGAAATGTAGCAGAAATTGCCAACTCATTGTTGAACCTACATATGAGTTTTTGATGAAGGCGTGCATATATTCGTATGTGCACATACTGCTTTTATTTGCCTTATGTATTGGTGAGTAATATAGTGCATTTATATACATATTTATAACAAATTCATTTATAGATTTTCCACGGAACCACTAAAAGTTGTGTGTAACTTATACATGAATGTAATGAGGTGAGTGGTATCCATTTCTAGGAAAACATAAAAAATCAAAAGCGCACGGAATTATATATATGTGTGTGTATGAATTATTATTTAAGATATACTTGCGGAAAATATGCAAATAAAAAACATAAAATATAAGGGTGGTCATTTAAAAGTACAGTTTTAAATTAGCTTTGCATAAATTGTAATAAATTAAAGATAAATACAATTTAAGGGAATTTTTTTGAAGAGTTTTTTAATTATTTTAATTTTTAATTATAGCTTTTATGAGGTAACATTAAATATACAAAGGGTTTTACTTATAAGCAAAAAAGAAAATTTGAGAAATTATGAGTATTAAAAAATGTGTTAAACGTGAAAGAAAATTATATGTACAAATGTATATAGGTGCATATTTATATACTCATATTGCACTATACATCTTAACCCTAACCTATGTATTATTAATAATTATTATTTTATTAACTCAGAATCAACCAAAAAATCGACTTACAATCTTATATTATATAATCCCACAACTTCTTTTACTCCAGAAATACCGAAAAATATGTGCATATACATACATAAAAATTTAATATTTTAACAATTTATGTAAATAAAGTGATCAACAAATCATCTTTTGAAAACAACGTGATACACATTCGTAAAATTTCCCTTCTCTATCGATTAATTAAATACACAGCAGTAGACTAAGGGTTAATAAATACGAATGCTCTTTTTGCCATGAAAGAAAAAACACAACATTTGCATAGTAGACCAAAGAAAATACAAATTTACGCGATCAACGATAAGCGAGACGTTAGATGTTCACATTACATAGTAGTTTCACACGTATATACGCCAAGTGTTTAATCTTTTTTCTAGCGTTTCAGTTGACAAAATAACGTTGAATAGAACAAAAGTGTAGCGGATGCAAAGGAATAATATTAAAAGATAAAATAATAAGTTTAAATAAAAAGGATACACTCCACGACTGCACAGAATATACAACAAAAACCAACATGACCAATGTAAATTTCTGTGGATTGAAAATATCTAATAATCGGCGATAGTGTGTTGCTTTAGTAGTTTAATGTGTTTTAAAATAGTGCTGCTTTTTAAAAATTGTGCACTTCTGAAATATATACATGTGCATGGATATATACAAAATTTGCATACATACAGCTCAAAGTCGATTTGTCAAAGACTTGAAGTCATAACTCTCCGGCTCTTAATATTAATAATTTCCAATCATTAAGAGCATTTTTCAAAAATTATTTACATAAGAGTCTTATTTGTGCATTAATATTAGGTTTTTTATCTCTCCTTCTAAGCCATTATGAGGATATGTGCATATGTATATAGGTATGTGTAAATAAACAAGCATTGAAATGCATACGTACACATATTAAGCATTAAATAATCTTAAATAGGCATATTTGCGTGGTTTATTGATTAAACATACATCGTATGCATGTTAACGCTTTTTGTTTTTGCTTTTTTAATGGCCTGTTGGTAATAAACAACACTTGTTACTTAAATTGTTTGATAGCATTTGTTACTACTATACCTTTTAGCCTAATAACAAAATTCACTTTCAATTGCACATTTACTTTCCACTACAAACAGTGTATTTAAGTACAAAGTAAAGTCGTTTTTTTTTGATGAGAATAAATTTTAATTTTTTCACATATTGCACAACTGCGGTTAAGTTTTTCAAAGAAATATGATTCAATGAAAATAATATATTAATAAGTTTTACTGGAAAATTAAAGTGCATATGTATCTTCACAAGTTCAAATCAAAATCGAAGTTAACAATTGCTAAAGATGTTATCCACTTTTCAAAATATTCATAAATTAACCTGTTTTTGAGAGCTAGAGGCATTCCCACTTGGAGAGCTTATATTTAAAAGTGTTTTAACATCCTCTACATGTAGCTGCACTAATAAATCATGCCCTTCGAAATATAGAAAAATCAAAGTTCAAAAGAAACGTCCATTTCCGTCATTTTCTTTTCGACCTTGAAAGCACCTCGAGAACCGACAACACCAAAGCAAATTAGAGAGGCGTTAAATGCGTTTAAAAGAGTATTTACGGCTAATTAAACATTTGATTTGTATATACATATATAAAATGTGCGACACAATTTTGTACATAAAATATTTTATATTGAGAGTTTTGATTGCTGGAATCACTAAAAAGATTACTCAAACTTTTTAATTCTTCAATAATTTTTTACTTCCCTCATTTTTCATTCACAATAGACATTTCGTAACAATGTTGTCAACAACATCCTTTAAGCCATAGTTATTTCAAAATTTATGGCAAACTGATGTACAGGTAATTTTGAAATTATTTTAAATTACTTAGTTAGTTCTGATTTACGGTATCGTTCGCTATAAGCAACTTTAAAACAATGCGATATATTTCTAAACACAACCAGAGATTCAGAATACAGTGTAAAGCTTCCGCTAGCAGTCTTTTCATCAAACTTCAATCACCGTCAAGCTTTCGAGTATAAGTTCATTGCACTCAACTTTCAAAGGTTCGCCCTCTTCTAATCCTTATAGGGAGAAACCATGACTACATCGACTGCCAATGTAAACGTCTTCGGTGCTGTCAGGGCTAAGTTTTCATTTTTGTCCAGTAAAAATGTTTTTTTTTTTTTATGGGCGGGGCTAGAAAAATGCCTAATGCATCGTCACTGTGCCACCAGCTTCAGCAGTATGTACAAAAACACCCCGCATGGAACCGTCGTCTACCTTTGAGACCACTTTAGTATTACTTCAGTATATCGTTCTATATTTATCTTAGTTATGAGCCTTCTGTTGAGTCAGGGCCAGTTTGTTGCTGGTAAGATATTTTTTAAGTATCGCGCTGTGGGTTCCCATGTTTCGGCTGTTCATTTTTCTGTCTCTGCATCGAGAGAGTCTCTTTCTGCTTTTCATTTTTCTTGGAAAAAGGTCTGCATTGTTCTCAGCATTTTCAGCCTAACTACATGATGTTATTCCACTCTGCCCATCTTGAGTAGGTATTTTTGGAAATATCCAGACATCCCTGGACCTTTTCTCCATTTCGCTTTGTCGTGTATAAGTAAGTTGTAAGTTGTCCACCGTCCATGCGCGGTATTGTTCCATCCTTCTTGTTATTCCATGAGTGCTTGTTTCCTTGCTTGAGATTGACAGGTTGTATTGTTTGCCGACTTCTGTTGCCACATCATCTGTCTATCCAACACTGCTCGAGGGGATGCTGATGTTATAAGTTGAACGTCTATCCTTTGCCACCACAATCATTTATATTGGTGCTGCTTCTTACTTAGTGCACGAGACCATATTTCACTTCACTAATTGTACTCAGAACTTGAGTCAAGTCTCTTGCCCATATACTACACTGTTGTTTTGGTCGCAGCTCCTCATACCTACCTCGAGAGCGTATGTTTCGTTGTAAGTAGCAGGAGCATGGCCGTCTCCGTTGCTTGTTTTAGACCGTGATAGCCGATCCACACTATCGATGTGATCTTTACTTAATTCAGTCTGTTCACTGGACGCTGATGAAGGCGTTTCCAACGTCGAGCGTAGCTTATAGGATCGTTTTCTGCAGTAATGGCTTTCGCGCTGAGCCTCCACTTTTGGTAAGTTCTTCTATGGCCACTTTTCTGATTTTAAACTGTGTTGTCTCGCAGACAGTCTGCCAGAGGTTTTGATAGTATTTGCCAGGCTAGGTTTAAGGAGTCTATCGAAGAGTTTCTTCGCTGTGTTAAATACGCGCTGTGGTCTCTACGATGAGGTGGTATCGAGTGCTGCTTTTTTAATGTTATGGGAAATAGCCTTTACGTGATACACGTGAGACGTGACAGAATTCTTTAGTATCTCAGCCGATACTTCGTTGGATTTGGGTTTGTTTTTTAATCGTGCTGTGGCGACAGGAAAATCTACTTCCGTGAAAGAATATGGAGCATCATCTGCGTTCTTCTCTACATCGCTGTGCATCTCATGTGCAGGGTAGAGGGTATTTACTATGTTAGTAGCTGTATCTTCTGCCAACTCAGGCATGGGGTGTTTGCCACCGGGTTTTCCCATAGCCACTTTATAGCCAAGTCTGCAGGGTTCATTGTTTAGTTCTTGGCGCAGCTCTACACATTTCTGTTCTTTTTTCTTTTTGCCCCTGTTGATGCCTTCTTTGCGGATCTGTATTCGTTCCTCTGCTACTTCTGTCTACGTCTAGCTTCAGCTATTTCTTCGAACCACCAGTATACTGGCTTTTTCCTGTTGGCTCTTCCCGCTGTGGACATGGCCGCGCAGCACGCGTCATTATCATCTTATGTCGAGGTTAGCGAGCAGTGTGGCTGAGTTCAGCTTTCAAGATCTGATGGATGCATTCCTTGTGTTGCGAGAGTATCAAGCACGTCTTAAGCAGGCTAAACCCTACCAAAGCTCAATCAACAGCTCTTAAATATGCAAACAAACAATGACGCAACACGCCGGCGCTCCTTTGATTTTAAAAATTTCGCATTTTATCTATCTTACACTTCCAGTATTTGTTTGCTTTTAGACATCACACACGCTGGCAAATACACCGAAACACATACTAAAATTAAGCAGAAATGAAAAACTTGAGTTTTTGAATTCTTTCGATCGCGTCTTCTCCGACGTAGATGGTAAGTACACTGGAAATAATTATATTTTTGTAATGTCTTTAATCCACTTCCATGCAAAGGTGTCGTCTGGAATTTACATCACCCCATACCGCAGGCCGAGGAGGGTTTTAAAATACTCATCAACGCTGGTAAGGAAGTTAGTTTCATTAGCAACAACAGTATACGACCAATGAGTGATTTTGCGCGAAAATTTAAAGTACTCGGCATGGATTTCGATGAGGTAGGTACTCCTATGTGTGTATGTATGTACGAGACGAAATTAAAGAGCTTTAAAAGTTGTTGATTTGATACTTTAGGAGTCATTTATTCATCCTGCTAAAAGTATTGTGCAGTATCTCAAAAGTATTAACTTCAAAGGACTCATTTATGTTATAGCATCCGATGCCGTTAAGAATCTATTGCGAGAGGCCGGATATGAATTTATTGACGGCGTAAGTTTTCTATAATATTTTTTATATATTTACTTTAGTTCTTTTAATTGAACATTACTCTTAACCACTGCAGCCTTTGGAACCCATTAAAGAGTCTTACACCGAGCTGGCGCGTCATATCTTTGGTAAGGAGCCGGTGCGTGCGGTCATCATTGATGTGGACTTTAATCTCTCCTCGACTAAACTTATACGCGCACACATCTTTCTACGCCATCCCGATTGCATACTAATTGAGGGCGCCACTGATAAGCTAATGCCAGTGGATGTTGGCGTAGATATTATCGGACCTGGTCCCTTTAGTCAGATCATTTCCGATTCCACTAAAAAGCCACTAATTACCTTGGGTAAACCAGGCAAAGCGTTGGCTGAGATGGTTGTGCAGAGATTTGATATAAAAGATACTAAACGTGTACTGATGATTGGCGATATGTTGGAGCAGGATGTTGGCTTTGGTCGGCAATGTGGCTTTCAGACGCTCGTTGTGCTTACCGGTGGCACGACTATACAAAAATTACAAGAAGAATGCAATCCAGCGAATATACCGGACTATTATGCGGATAGTATGGCAGATTTCGTTGAATTTGTGGAGGATTTGAATAAGGCCAAGGTGTAGAAAGGTACTTAAAGGTGGTGGTCGTGATGTGCCAGAAAATTTGCGAAGCATGAAAAAAAATGTATTGATTTATTTTGTTTATTTATGTGTGTTTTTGTGAGACGTTTTAATCTTTCAAAACAATGCAAAGTCAAATATATTATATTTTTTTATTTTTATTATATTTTAATAACAATAAATTGTATTACAATAATAAACATTGAAAAACAAACCACAAAACAATTATTAGCTACCGTCTCTAGCTATGAAAAGTAACCATTTATATCGGCCAAACAATCGATTACATAATCGGGTGTCTCCATTTCCTGCAGGTTTGATTGTAAATCCTCCCGCGTGGTGCTGCCACTTAGTACCAGTAGTGTTTGAAAACCGCACATTTTGCCGAAACGCACATCGGTCACAAGACTATCGCCGATAAAGAGACCCCGTTGAGGTTCTTTAAAGTTATATTTCGCCATGAAAATATCCCTTAGAGCCACGCCAGGTTTGCCTAAAATCAATGCCTTACGCTTTGAAGTGTTCTCGACCACGGATATATAGGGGCCTGGACCTGGAGATAAATAAGACAAATGCATGATATACATATAGTATATTGAAGCTGAAAACCCATGTGGAGTCATCATTTTATGTAGCTTTTTTAAGGTTTAAAAACTAAAGTAAAGAACGAACTCTGTATTTAGCTAGTAAGGTATACTCTGTTAGTGGAATCGAAATATGCCCTCATAGTTATGATCCTTACCTATAACATCCTTTCCGTCAAGCGAGATGAGCGTATCCGCTGCACCGGCAATGAATAGACAATCTGGATTGTTCTTTAAATGGCAATGAGCTCGCATCAATTTCGATGCTGACAAATTGAAATCCACATCAATGATCACCGCTTTCACAGGATCATCGCTGTAAATGGCGGCGCGCAGCTCCTCAAGACTGTGGACAAAAGTTGTGCACTGTCCAAATAAAAAAATTTAAAAAAAAAATATTTAAAAATGTAAGAAATTAAGATAAAAATAAATATAATAATATAATATTATATTGATTAAAATTTAATAAAAAAAATTATATAAAATAATTAAATATAGTAATAAAATATATAATAAAACAAAATTATAAAATAAAAGAGTAAAAGTTAAAATAAAACTAAAATTAATCAAATATAAAGTGAGAAAATAAAATGAAATGAATAAAAATATTAATATGAAATATAAAAAAATAAACATAATTATAAAAATAACATAATTTTAAGTGCAATTTAAATATATAAATAGAAAAGAAAATATTTAATACAATAAAATAAAACAAAATAAACTGAAAAAAGAAATTATATTAAATTAAAGAAAATAGTTCATAATAAAATAAAATATATCATATATGTAATAAAATAATATAAAATAAGATTAAAAAAATTTAAATAAAATAAAATTAAATTAAATAGATAGAATAAAATTAATGATAATAACAATAAAAAAATTAAAATAAAAAAATAAAACAAAATAAATTGCAACGAAAAATCGCTTCAGCGGTTATAAAGGCGCCAATTATATGCATAAACATAATAACAAATAAAAATAAAAAATATTTTAAATTTAATTAAATAAAAAAAATTAAATTTAAGAAATAAAAATTTGATAAGAATAAATCGAATTGAAACAAAATAATTAAAATTAAATGAAGTATTATTAAAAAAGTAAAATAAATAGATATAATTAAAATTAAATTAAATTAAACAGGTTTAATAAAATAAATAAAAATACCAATAAAAAGTAAATTAAAACTTATTTAATTATAACAAAAATAAATAAATTGAAATTAGGTATAATAAAAATAATAAAATGAAATAAAATAACATAAAATAAAATAAAATAATATAAAATAAAATAAAATAAGATAAAACAAAATGAAATAAAATAAAGTAAAATAAAATAAAATAAAATAAAATAAAATAAAATTAAGATAAATTAAATTAAATTAAATAAAACGAAACAAAATAAAATATATAAAACAATGAATTAAATTAAAATTGATTAAAACGAAATTAATAACAAAAAAAAATATAAAATCAAATAAAAAACATTTATAAAAAAAAAACATTTATAATAAAATAAATTGCTTGAATTTAAATAAATAATACCATATAGAATACAACAAAATTAAATTTAATGTAATTAAATGAAATACAAAAATCATCACTTCACATTTGAATTGATATAAATTCCACTCACCTGCTCCACCACCTGAAAGCCCTCCTCACGCAGCACCGCCTTAAACGCCTCCGAAGTGACACAATAAATTAGTCCATCGAATTGTATGGATTTCAAATGATCACTTATAGTTTGTGCTGGATGAACAATCTCGTGCTATGTCGGGGGGGTGAGGAAATTGGAAATTTCTTAATAATTGCAAACACATTTTCATGCCAATTGCCAACGCTAAACGAATATGCTACACATACACACAAACTCGTACATAGTTATTTCACACTACACATTTTCAATTACCTTCTTCACCTCGAGACCGCATTTTTGAAACTTTTTCAATTGCGCTTCGATCGGTATAATACTATTGTTTGTGACATAGATGACTTCTTTGCCCTGTCGCTTCAGATAATCGATCGCTTCCGTTGAGCCCGGCAATACATCGTGCAGTGACTGGAAAATAACGCCTCGAGGAGGGGGAAATTTTTATGATAATTATGCAAGTCTCTCAGTTGAATGTGTGAAATGGCAACCTAGAACTTACCATCACAATCGCAAAGTATAACATCGAAGGAGTCGAAAAAGTCCTGCTTCTCTTTGGGTGTGAGCTCGTTGAGGTGTTTGAATGACTTCGAAATTTGCAGCTCTTTGAGGGTTGGTGATAGTTCGGCAAAAGATTTCTTTAAAGAAAATAATAACGAGGGAGTTTTGTTTGAAATTTGATTGAGATTGAGGTTAGAAACCTTTAGATTCCTGGAAACTGAGTAAGTAAAAATCACAAAAGAGTTCAGACGGTACAGATTTCAGAATTTTCTTAAGTATCTTTTGTGGTAAGTTCTTTTTTTGTATAAAGCCAATCCTAGATTGTTCGACCAATTTGTCGTGGAATTCAGTAAAATAGTCCCCAGTAAAAAAAGGAATACCCTGTGATTCGTATAGGTACCGAATTACTAAACAAAAATTTCACGAAAGACCTGAAAACTCATCGCGAGCGTCAATATCTGGAGAACTTTCAACTGGGAAATACTACGAAGAATCACTCTTGCCAATAGATACAGGATTACGTGGACAAAAATAAAGCTTTCTCTCGTCAAACTCTACAAGTTGCCCTTGGTTCCCGTCCTATTGTGGTCATTGTTGCTGTAGCGATTACATTAACCCTGCTTAGGGACAGGTTTAAAATCAATCTTAGTCACCGAGGTCATCCAGGAAACGTGCCGTTTCGATGGGATTGGACGAAAGGGTGACTGGGGTTAGATATGTCGGCTTAAGGGAGCATGTGAAGAGGCAGTTAATGTCGTGCGGAGACTCTCCTCATGCTTGGTTGGTTTCCGTCCTACTTTATGGTGCTGAAGCGTGGACGTGGATAACAACAATCGACACGAGGGCTTGAGGAGTCTTTGAAAGAAATATTTTACAGATAAATCTATCCGATCCTAGCGAATACCACAGACGATGGAACCAATAACTCTATGAAATATATGGCGGCATTGACTAATTCAACGGACTAAGAAACACTAGCTTTGCTGGCTAAATAATATCGTCTGAAATAATGAAAATACTCTAGCTCTTAAGGTATTTCAAAGGTTCGTGGATTTTGAGGTGGAGCAGGGCTTGGCTTCACTTGGTGTATCCGATTAGTGTCAAACAACGGAAAGAAAAAAGGAATGGCGTAGTGTTGTTGATTCGACTATATCCTTGTAGGCTGTACCAATGCTAATTAGGAATAAAAAAGTAAAAGAAGTGGAAGGTGATTAGGTCTGCATCTAAAATTTATAAAACTTATAAAACTTAGCCAATCTTCCTTCATGCATCTTCGACAACAGATCTTGGATTAATTCAGTACCATGGATAAGTATGTAGGTTACAGTGACTCTTTTACTTAGAGATTTGACTACTACAATTGGAGTGTCTTTAAAATGATAAATTCGGAGATTTGGAATTGGAAAATTTGAGCTTCAAAATAAACGTCACAGAGCGCAGAATCTCGCTTGGTAAATTGCATAAAAGTGGTTGATAAGGACCTGATCACAAGCGATCGCACCTGAATCATTAAGTAGGCTCATTCTGCCCTTTTCATATATCAACAATGCGTTTGGGATTAATCGCGCGCCACTCTCTCCGAGTATATTAAATTTTTCGAGAATTTCAAACTCACAGCATATTTATATACGAGGAAATCACTTATTTTCACTAAGCTTCCTTGCGCACACATGAGTTTTGCCATCACAGAAAACCCGCGGAAAATCATTCGGAACATTTTACTATACTTCAAAGCACACGAAACCCAATCTGAGCTCTTCAACACCTGCGACATACCTCATCACTGCTTACTTTATGCTCCATTGCGCTTCAACTTGCAGGCACCGGCTTCACTACTCAGCAAAAAAAGTATCTCTTCAAATGATAAGAAAAATTACAATAAATAATAACGAGGCAAATTGTATTATGAATTAAGTTGCGTTAAGTTATTCCAGCGGGCTTTACTCGGTCGCGACCTGGCGGTAACTGATCCGCATTACAATGAAAGCTGATAAATAATAATAATAATTCAAACAGCTGCGCGTTGAGCTAAGACGTTTAAGGTGAATACGAATACTCATATACCATATACTTTGCATATATGTACATATGTACATTACATCGTATATAAATACGCGTACGTACACGTGCATACATACATATGTATATGCACCGATTTGTATCATATAACCATTAGCGACAGCTTTTTCCGCGTTTCGACGCCTTAAGACAATTGCTGCATTACATTGAAACGTTATTTATAAGATGCACACAATTCAATTTACGTTTCACGAGTGACGCGCGTCAAGTGTTCCCCTCCAAAGCTCAGTAGCTGACGTTGGCCAAGCCAAGTGTGCTGTTTGGCGCGTTGTTTTTCTGCAAAATCTTTTCTTACATATGGGTTTATGTGTGAGTGTATGTATGTATGTGTGTGTGTGGGAGTGTGTACGGTGAATACTGTTTACAATTTGGATATTTCGGTGTGCTGTACAACGAGGAGCGCTCAATAAGTGGAATAAGAATTCAAAGTTGAAGTCTGTGCGAAAGAGCCCTTTGCCTGTATCTTCATGCAAAAATTAAAGAAAAAAATATTAAAAAAAAGAGAAAAAAGAGAAGAGAAATCTTTGTACTTTTCACGACCATAACATATATTTTTTATTATCAGGTGTACAACTTTGCTTCCGCCGTTTTCCGATAGGTGACTGTACCGGCTGAGGCTGGTTGAAATACATAGATGATAATGCCTTTAAAGTGAGTGTGGACAGTGCCTAACGAATTGTCATCGCTGTTTCAGTGACAGTTGTTCTTATTTTCGTATTATTCACGCTAGAAAATGTCCGTTTATGTGCCTAATTCTCGCCATTTGCGGGAAGTTTTTTTTTCTCTTACAATTCGAAAAAAAAATGCAGCTGGAGCGCATCGAATGCTCTCAGAAACTTATGGTGATGCTGCTCTGAGTGAAGAACGGGTCGGGAGTGGTTTCAACGTTTTAAAAATGGTGTTTTCGATACGCCAAGGTTATGATTTGTATTTGGTGGGATCAGCTCGGTGTGATTTACTACGAGCTCTTAAAACCGGGTGAAACCATCACAGGAGATCGCTACTGAACGCAACTGATGCGCCTTATTCGTACGCAAAAAGAAAAGCGGCCACAATATCAAGAGCGACATGACAAAGTCATCCTCCAACCTCACGTCGCAAAAGTGGTCAAAATGTACCTGGAAACGCTGAAATGGGAAGTCTTGCCCCACCCGCCCTATTCCCCAGATGACGCCCCTTCTGACTGCCACCTATTCCGTTCGATGGCACACGGCCTGGCAGATCAACATTTTCAATCCTTCGTAGAATTGGAAAAATGGATTGCTTCGTGGATAACGTCAAAAGAGGACTCCTTTTTTCCAGCCGGGATCCGAAAATTGCCGGAAAGATGGGAGAAAGTTGTCGCTAGCGAAGGACAATACTTTGAATAATATATCTGTAAGCACTTTTTCGCAATGAAGCTTTTACTTTGGAAAAAAGAGAACGGAACGAAAACGGAAGCAAAGTTGTACACCTGATATATATATTTTTTTTAGGCTGAAATACTAATTCTCATATCCAATCAAACCGGTTGTGTGGGGGATATATGAAATCGTCTTTCGAATTCGTTGATTTTCGCTGTCAATGTTCATTTGTATATAAGAGCATGTGTGTAGAATATCAAATCTAACGCCTTTAGATGCTTTTTTCAAGGATTTAGAGTCGTTTTCACCATCTCTGATTAAGGGGTTACATAGGCCTTGGAGGCCAAAAAAAAAGCTTATTTTCTCTAATTTTTCTAAAAGATACTAAATAAAGTATACAATTTATTTTATTTACATATAAAAGAACAATAAGCGGACAACATTTGATGAAAATTTGAATGATTAATAGTATAAGTAAAGTGTCGTGAAGTAGACCGTCCACAAGTGTGCTACCTCGTTAGCCATGATAACTTATTCAATTTTTATCTGAAATCAAAAATCCAAATTTTTTCTTAATGTAGCTGAATCTTTCTTGTTCTTGAATGAAGCAAACTTAAAAAAAAAAATTTACAAAAAAACGCCATTTTGTGCATAAAATTATGCCATATATTGGCTTGTAAAATGAGTTGAAATCAAGGATAAAATAAATCCTTCGTTCAGGGACTACAAAAACATACTTAAAAGAAGTGTGGAAAATTCGAACTCGATCGCTTCAATTGTCGTTGAGAAATTTTTACTACCAATTTCGATAAAGTGGTTTTAAGAAAAACGCGTTTAAAGTTTTTATCATCGGTCAAGTCATGACAAAGACGGCGGTTTATAAAACTCTCTAATTTCTACAGTTTCGTCTCGATCGACTTGAAACTTTGGGGGAAAATATTCCTGACACTTTGTACTTTTATACAAAAAATTATAAAAAAAAATTAATTATTTAAAGTTTCAAGACCTTAAGCACTTAATCATAACTTAATCGGAAGGTAGCATAAAATTAAAAAGAAATTAAAAAAAAGACACAGCTAGCCAAATTGCATAGAAAAATATAAACAAATACCAGATGTCATGGAGCTTTTAGGCATTCACGATGCAAATCGTTCTGAACTTAGCTTAAAATATTCACAATGATCAAGCTAACCAAAAGTTAGGCAACTAGAACCTGGTGAAAACGAAAATGTCACATCAGCGCGGTTAGTTATCCAGCTGTTAAAGATTAAGTTAATCGGAAATTGTGAGAACGGGCCAAAATCTCAAATCTGGAAAATCTCTGAATCCCATCTGGTTGGTTCCGATAACTGATCGTTTAAATGCAACAGGATATCTGCGTACCAAGTTTTATTCAAATATCTCAAGAACTGAAGGATTAGTTTGGGTACAAACAGTTGGAAATTGCTAAACAAACACAACTCGTCGTTCTGACCTGATCAGTATAAGCTTAAATGGGTCTATCTGTTCTTGGCGACCGCGGTAGCCGAGTGATTTACATTGCGTACTGCCATTCGGAAGGCATGGATGTCGTACTAGCATCCAAAAAGTTATAGAAAATTAATTTAACTAAAAAATTATGCTAAATTTTCTAATTGCGGTCGCCCCTCGGTAGGGACTGTTAACCCCTCCGGGTGTATTTCTGACATGAAAAACAAAAGGTCTTCCTGAAAAAACCATCAGCCGTTCGAAGGTGGCTTAGTATAAATTGGTGGTTCCTCCATTTGTTGGAAAAACATCAAGACGCATAACTGCAAATTGGATGAGAAGCTCGGCGGAAAATCTCTGCAGCGGTTACAAAGCGCCAATTATATTATATACTAAAATATCTATTCTCGTTCTGGTGCATTAAAGGAATGAAAATTGTCCATTTATTATTTGGTTCTAAATCCGAAATAAATTCGCGTTGAGTACATCTTGGGCTCTTCAGAGGTGAAAGTTCATATCAGCAGAGTATTCCACGGTTTCCTACCTTACGTGGGCTTTTGTGAATTCTGATTTTCTGCTCCTGTCAACGAAGTAAGAACGAGGAACTTAAGATTTGCTAGGACTTAATGAAATATTTGAATTATTATAATCCAATCTGCACATTATACTGAGCTCATTATAATCACTCTTCGATCTTAATTATTGCTTGAGTTAGTATGTACTTGGTTAACCATAGATGAACCAAAAAAAAATGGTACCAAAGTGTCCTCTGCTTAATCCACAAAAAAAGAGTTATGATATCGTATATAAAGTCCTACGGAGTATTCTGTGTGAAATACTAAACCTTATCAGTGCGGCTTTAGGTCTAGAAAATCAGAAAGGATCTACACTGGTGAGAAAAAAAGTTATATACGCCATCTCTACATCGATTTTAAAGCAGCCTTTGATTGTACTACTAGGAGCCGTTTGTACACCTTCATGTCTGAATTTGGTATCATCTTCAAACTTAGGCGACTATATAATTTGACGTCGAACAAGGCTAACAGCTTCGTCAGCTTCGGAAAGGACCACTCCGAGTCGTTTAATACTAAACTCGTTGTCAGTCAAGGTTATTTCTTTGACTTAACACTGGAGACAATAATATCATTTGCAGAGCTACGACGAAAGTAACCAACTTCTTTAAGGACCTACAACCGCTGTATTTTTTTCTTTAGACTAGTTAGAGTATAAGCACCAGACATGGAGAAATATCTCCTGTATCGAACATACAGGACATTCTTATATTTGCTCCTACTTTGCAATTGATTCTTATTGCTTATAAATTGTAGCCAATTTCGATGCTAATATGGACTGAGGAAAGAATTGCCGAGAGTTGAGTTGAGTTGATGCGGCTACTGGTCAACCCCAGCACACTTAGGACAATAGGTCCATTGCGATACCGCTGAGGCTCCTGCCTTCACCTTCCCAAATAATCGAACCATTTCGTGTGCCTCATAAAGGCAACGAGAATTCCAATGTTCATTGAAGCCAATAAAGCGAGAAACTTGTATCGCGCGGATGTTAAGGCTGGACAGTGACAGTGCTTGATGGTCTCCTCCTCTTTTTCTTCGTGCCGCGGCAGAAATCGTTATAATAAAATCCCATCCTAATCCCGTTAAGTCCCATTAAACAGTGTCCAGTTATTATACTCGTCGCTGGAGAATCGGTTTAGAAGGATGAGATGTTTAGATCTTTTCACGTCCAACTACGGCCGTAGCTGTCTGGTCACGTTACACGTGATCTCGTTCAACCATCGTGAGTCAGCTTCCCTGCAGACGACCAGTTTAAGCATGTACTTAGCCATGGACAGAGGTAATCCGGTATCGTATGCGTGTTTTATCGTACATAGAAGGGTTCCTTCTCCTGCTAGTTCGTCTGTCATGCAATTGCCTGGGATGTCCCTGTGTACAGCTACCCAAACCACGGCAGTACTGTACTTCGTTGAGAGTTTGTGAGGAGATTTCCTACAATTTATGGCTACTTTTGACGTGGTACCGTTACATTGAAGAGATCTGGTTGCAGCATGATTATCGGAGTAGATTGTTACTGATTGTCCTGTTTTCGTAGATTTGTGCAATCACTTCGCGGCCTCCTTCAAAGCGGTATTCTCATGCTCATGCTTACTGAGGGAGAATAAATTATCAAGCTTAAAGCGGTGAAGATGGCTATTCCTCTCTTGTGGGGGGCGTTGGTGTTTTCCCACTCGTATCTGTATGGGATTCTTGTGAAGAAAAGATTATGGAAGCATACATTAGTGGCGTCCAGCTCCTTCACTTCTGTTAGAGATAATATTTTTGTAAAGAATCGCCGAATAAAAACCAAAGTCTGCTAGTTTTTCAGCATTCCAGTTCACATATATGGTACTATAAAAGTTGATATCTAATGAGTCGGCTGTAAAAGGGCAACGGTGAACACATCAAACGATGGGACCATGTGCTGTACTGTCGGTGAATTCAGAAACAACAGCTACACTTAAATCATCTTACCATTTGGCCGATAACACACCAAAATTGAACGTTTTCAAAGAAATACCCGAGGAAGCAGAGTAAAAAGAAGACCGCTACAACGTTAGAAGGATCAGGTCGAAAAGAACTAGATTTTACTTAACTTTTCTAAACGCGGTTGTTTTTCGGCATGGAATATCAAGCGCATCGATTGTATTTCTGACTTGAAAATCAAAGTTCCTCAAAAAAATTCATGGGCCACGCGGAGTTAACTTGGTATAAACTGGGGAAAAACGTACATTAGCGGAGCCAATGCTAAACAAGAAAAAAAAAGCACAGAGAGTTCATTGTTCTGAGTTCATGAGCCAATATACTAAGGGCGCACTTTCCATGATTAAATGATGAAAAGGAAAAATAAATTTAGTTAAATTCCATCAGTTTCATACAGCTCCACTCGTTGGTATGTTAAAGCCTCTTTAATATGTAAGAAATAAAAAAGTCGAATCCTGTATTCAGTAATAATTAAATTTTTCTTTATTTTCTTTTACTTCATACATGCATTACATACATATTACAAGTATATACATTATGTATAAGGTACTTTTTGGATTGTATTACTTCTTCTGATTTTAAGTGTTGCCTTTTATGGATTATCTATGTTAACCTCTTTCTGTTTCTGTTCTCTTTTCTTGCATTTATATACACGTGTACATATGTTTGTATACATAAGAAATGGTGTAAATAGAAACATAGGTATATTTTGTTTAGACAATACATATTTAGAACTTATTTACGCTGTTCACATACATACATAACAATAATAATCAAAAATTTCATATAAAATATATAAAAGTTGGTAAATAAACTTCATTTTAATGGTATTTATATGATAGCACAATGTTGTGTAACAATTATATGGTTAAACATATGAATATGCATATGCTCTCTGTAAATAATTATGCATGTATATAGTATATATTTTTTTAAATACATAGATTTTTTATGTTAACAGTATTTTTTTGTAGGTTATGTTATGTTAACATTGAAAGATCGACAGAGAGAGAGAGAAAAGTGCATTTCGATAGGTACATAAGTTTGTTGGTAATTTTTGTGAGACAGATTGTTGTTGTGTGTAAATCAGTATGCATGTGTGTGTGTGTTGGTATTTGATTAATTACGGTAAAAACGGCTACTTTTTTGACTAATTTAAAATAGCTCAGCTTGTTGTATTAAAATATTTCAGTATATTTATATGTATGCCATTCGAGTTTTACATATTCTGTAACTCCTTTTAGTATTATTGCTACGAAAAATGGACGCACACATGCGAGTATGCTGTAGGTATAAACATATAAATATTTTTATTTTTTACATTTTTTGTAACTGTGGCGCGCGTTTTCGAATTAATTTTGCATTGTTTGCTCTATAAATATATGATATATATATATATACACATATATATATGTAATTTATACAACTTTATGCACGTTTTTTAAGGCAAATGTGGCTGAAAATGCAACGAATAATATATAATACAAAAAAAATTCCTTTTCCTCACATTAATTAATTAACTTATTAACAAATGCTTGACGGTTTTGCGTTTAAATAAGACTTTTTCACTCTTCTATGCTTTAGCTGATTTACTACATACATACTATGTATGTATGTATGTATATGTATAGGCTACTTATTTACTATGTACATATGCGTGCACTTTTTTGAAAAATATTATGCATTATTATTTTTTATTGGCTTGCAAAATGTATGTATGAATGTTTTTGAGCAGTTTTTAGTTTCTATTTCACTGGTTTAGTATTTATACTAATTTTTATTAATTACTAAATATTAAATATCTAAATCGATAACAATTATTTATTATGCACCACAGCGTTGATTATGCCTACAACTCCTTTAAGTACCAACTAACAGTAATGTTATTTCAAATAAACAAATTTACACGGGAACAAATCAATGCGTAGTGCATTTGTAATGCATTTCATAAATATTGTTAACTAAAAAATATAAACCCAAGATATAAATAATAAATTCAAAATCATATAATGCGCTTATAAACTAATTTACATTTTCATTATATTTATATATATATATATATTTTTTTTTGCTATAAAACAACTGCCTAACTATATATATGTTATATACATATATAAAACATTACAAAAACCCATACATTTTTATTTATTGTATTAAGACACTCTTATGTATGTATGTATACATTTCAAACATTTCGATCACGTTCAGCTTACCAAAAAAAAAAAAAAAACACAAAAAAAAAAAAAAATGAAAACAAAAACCTTTTATAGAGTATATATTACCATGAGTAGTAAATCGTTGTTCTACAATGGCGTTGTACGTTGTTCATTTCGATAAACGACAGTCGCATCATTATCACCATAATCACGTTGCACTGTTTGCGTTTGCGTTGTTGATTCTTTGCTGTTGTTACCGTAATAGTCCATTGTATTGGACTGTTTTTCATCTTCGTATTGCGCTTCGTCTATAGCGCGTCGTGCTGCTGCCTTTTCAGCCGCTGTTTTCTTTTCATATTCGATTATATGCTCGCGTAAGAGGAAACCTTCACGTTTGATGCGTTTACGCAATTTGCTCGGCTCATCAGCGATCGCCCAAGCGATTATGCCTTGAATCATGCCCACAACGTTCTGAAAATAGCAGATACATACAAGGAAAAATGTAAGTTTTTGTTGCATAAAATAATATTAATCTGTTGATGGTAGGGGTGGCTTAAAAGCAGTTGGAACTCTACACTCAACGCTGATGTTTTGCTTGTTATAGTTTCTATCCAATCACGCTAGTCAGAAGTCATCGATAATAGACCACTCGATGAATTCAGAATTCAGAAAACGAATCATTTCAACGGGTTCGAATGAAAAAGAAAGGGTTGGTTGGATGCCTAGTGTTTAAGGCGCAATGCAAATATGTGTTGAGTGCTGTGAGGAGCCTCCTAGCACATGCCATATTTCACTGTGAACACTTAGGTCTGATGCTGATGAACTTTATAGGTTTTTTCATATAAGTTTAAGAGTTTTAGTACCTCACACTTGAGGTCGCCGTCAAGTGCTCACCTGGAAAATAACGATAAACGCCAATCGCCCAGTCAATATTTGCCAGTAATAGGTTGGTCGCTTGTACGGGTGCTCATCCCAAGGTGGATTACGAAATTCAGTGTAACGGCAGGTGGTGACATTTTCAAAGTTGCTCCCCCGCAACACCGGTTGTACCTGCAGGCAAATTAGAAAATTACTATGTTATTAAAAAAAATAAAAAGGCAAAAAGCACCAACCTGGAAGTCCTCTGTGTTAAAGTAAGCAAGCGTAAAATTGAGATAACCCTCTAGGGATGCATCTTTTGTGGCAGTTGTGTAGACTAATTTCGGTATGAGATTTGTAGAGAAAGCAATGATCATAGCCTGTGAGTAGTACAAAGCAGCTGCTTTTAGTTGAAAAGTGATTTTTTTTTATTTAAAATCAATTGAATGTACTCACACTGGAAGCAACTGCAATACGCGTCACAATCGCCATCATATTATACCACACGCCAATATTGCTGGCCCTTTGCGCTACAGGACGTCGCGCAAGTTTCAACATTTTTATAGCATCCAAACGAACCTCAAGGACATTGTTTACTAGCGCGAACAGTGGCGCTAGCGGTAGAGCCAAGCCGAAGAGTGTTACAAAACCGAATTGTAGAACTGCATAGAAGCGATAAAAGAAAGATTTTTTTTGTAATTTTATACGTAGAACAGTTAATATATTTCTTCGAAACTACTACCCACCCATTTCCAAGTACTCAGAGAATAGTGAATTCGTATACGATGGCACGAGGTGATAATCTTCAGTCCATTGATTACATGAAATCAACTTTTCTTCACTATCCACTTTACTCATGCCCATGCGCGTAATTAGTTTACGTATACAACGCATTACATACGGTATAAACATTTCCACAAATGCATTAACCGCTTGCTTGCCAATCATAATGATGGCCAACTGCAAACAGAGTTCCATTAAACAACCACCGGGATTGCACTCTTCCTGTCGAAAGCCCAATATACGATTATATTTGGCGGGATAGCCCACAAATTTGCCCTTGAGAAAAGCAATATAGAATAGCGACGAATAGTAATTGACAAATTGAAAGATATAATTTTTAATTGTCAAACTCTCATCATATTCGGTTTGTGTGCGGCAATATTCCAAATTCGTTAGGGTTACAGCGAGTGTAGTGTAAACATAATCGAGCAGTGATATTACGATTAGATCGATAATACCCGCCGTCAGTGGAAGCACCATTATTTTGTATGTCATCGAATTTTCATTGCCTAAAATGCTGTGTGAGGCTTTTTGCGCCATGCGATACACAATCATCGAGAATATGGCGATTAGTGAGACGCAGATCTGTAAATTCAAATGACATGCATACATTGACATTGTAGAAAAATAAAATGAACTAAGAATTTATATTCATTTAAAATACATACGAACAACACCATTATGCTGTAACTGGTGAAGCTGGGCAGAAATTTGATGCGCCAAAATGGCACATCCGGTTCGAGTATATTATTGCTCTTCTTCCAACGCTCCGTGATGTCTTTGTGCCTTTGTAGTTTCGATAAATATTGTGGACGCGGATGTTCGACGTGTTGCGAGAAGGTAGTTAAGCCCCAACGGTGCACCAGAGTAGCGGAATAACGCTTCCAGAGCTCCAAATAGATGACAGCTGCAGTGCAAGAGAAAGTTTTAAATTGATTATAGTAAAAGATTATGGTATTAAAATTGTATACCCCACAACGCCATTATCGTTGCAAATACGACAGTTATATTATTATCTATCAAATAATTCAGTTTCGATGATAAACAAGTCGTCTCCAACAGCCAATAGTCACAGTTGCGATCACATTGTGGACACATAAGTGTGGTTTGATTATCGTTGCATATTTGACGACTGCAAGAAAAAAATACAAAAAAAAAATTTAAAAAATATTAAAAAATTAAGAATTAATTAGAATTTGATACACATAAAAATATAAGACTTTATTGTAATTGTTATTATACCTAATGGGATCACTATTCCACGTTACAAAACCATAAATAAAGCATAATAAGCCTAGCACGCTGAGTGGTATGAGCATGTGTGTGTAGAAACCCAACCAGGCAAAATATAAGGCAACTTTCGCACCAAAATACTCCTTTATGCTGTCCAACGGCTGCAGGCTGTGATTAAACAAAAAAAATTTAATATTTATTTATAAGTTAAATAGTGGGTAAACTTACTGTATCCACTTTCGCATTGAAGCCCATTCTTGCAGTAGAAAATCGCGGTCTGTGTCCTTTGATAAAGGCAAAGAAATTATTTATTTAAATTAATTATTATATCGTTCAATTAATATTTTATTCTGTTAACAATAATGAAGAGCTTTTTTCGGCCAGGCCGAAGACTTGATAGCTTTCATGACATCAAACTTATGGTAATCTAATTTCGGTTTAAATATGAATTTCATGATCTGAAAAATTTGTTGGAGATGGTAATATTATATAGTATTCCGATGTGTATATGATATGCGTGTGTAGAATGCAAAATTTCAAGCCTTTAGATGATATTTTGGCGTATTTTTGAAGCAAAACCTCATATCTGAACAAATCGGTTGTGTGGGGGCTTCATGATATAGTACTCCGAATTCGATGAAAATGTTTGTATGTAGATTCCGATGTATCATACAATCAATAATTCCTCATATTGGTGCAGAACACCGAATTTCACGCTCTAACAAATTTATGACCCAAAAAATCTTTAATTCTAAAAAATCGGTTTATAGCTGTTGTTGTTGTTGTTGTATTCGCTGTTTAACAAACCCGCTTAGAACCGTGCTAGATCAGCGTAAGTCATCGAGCTCATCTAGCGGGAGTTCCAGCAAACGAGCTGTTTCAATGGGTTCGGACCAGCGAGAATACGTGTAGGTGGTTAGATGATGATAATTAAGTGACCATGCCAAGAAGTGGTTTGACTTCGAGAACGCAATTCACAGGGTGGAAGTTCATGACTATATATAATATATGCCATACTCATTCGATCTGGCTGGCTCAGATGGACATGGCTAAATAACCTTTTGGTACTTACATACACATTGAACGAAAGTTAATTTACCAATTCAAGTACATGAAGGTTATGAAAAGGAATCATTTCTACCAAAATAACTCACTTCATGCAATGGATAAGCGCTCTGATAAACACCATCCTCGAGTAATTTCTCAATACCCAAATTATCAGCAGTCTCCTCGCCTTCAAGAAAATGCTGTCGCTCCAAAATGAAATTAATTATCGCATTTCGTACGCCGGCGTCAAAGAAATTCGGTTGCTCCCAATCGAAACTGTGTTTAGAAATTTAAGATAAAAAAAAAATACATTTAATCCAAAAAAAAAATGTTAATAAAAAATCAAACTCACAGATGCTGATAATTGCGGGAGAATTCAAAATGTATGCGATATGGCCGTTCCGGACTCACATACAACCAACTGAATACGCGACTGCAAAAGGAGGTGAGACAATCTTTGAAACGAAAATCATCCTCTTTTATAAGCTCCTGACCGGGTATCTGAAAGAGTGTGAAGAAAAAAGTTTTAATTTTCAATTTTGTTTTTAATTCGTTTTTATTTTGTTTTTAGAAGAAAAAAAATCAAAAAATTTATTTCGCACCTTTTTCATTGGCAATTTTATCTTTAAAATTTCCGCATAACGGCAAAGTACTTCGAGTGGCGCATGAATTTTTATAAAATGTATGCGCTGTGTATTGTCGTGCTCCAGATGCAGACCCTCCTTTATTAAATTCGTCTCGAATATTTCACGTTTACGCCGATTCTCTGGTATATAATCATCATCACCTATATAGGCCAAGACGAAATCTACACTACGTTTGCCATCTTGGAAGCGGCGACGTGTCTTGATTGTGAAGAAAATGTGTTTAGTTTAGTACAGAAATAAATAGAAATGAGCGCGTTACTAAGTCTAGAAGGCAAATAACTTAAGCTACTACATATTTTGTGCTGTTTTAGCGGCAAGCAAGCAGTTATAAATGAAAAATAAAAATTTTTAACAAAATTTATTATACAAATCTTTTTAAATTTAATAAAAAAAAGTAAAGAATATTTGATACATATGTATATTTGAAGCTACAGTGGCTCACAGCTTAATTAATACAACAATAAAAAGTGATTTAAACCTTTTTACAATTAAGCTTATAGTTTGGTAAACATAACCTAAATACTAATTAATTCAAAAATTTTATGATTTATGGAATTTACAAGCAAAAGAAAAAAACAATTTTTTTCTAATATTTTGCTATTAAAAAAATTAAAAATTATAATAATAATATAATATGAAACATTATTTTATAAAAATAAATTTAAAAAAAAAAATAATTTAAATTTTTAATAATATAAAATATAATTTTATAAAAAAAAATTAAAAAAAATTAATTTAAATTTTTATTTGAATTGTGATCAAAACTGAAAAATTAATTGAAAAAAGTGAAAATATTTTCGATCAAATTGAAAAATAAATTGCCTGGGTGATATGAGGATTTTAAGGAAAAATCACCTACACACATACTTAAATCAAGCCGTATGGTCGCTTAAGGTTGCCTATATTTAGGCGCATTTATTATTTAATTTATATTCGATATAGATTGCAGTACTGAATATTTTTTAAAATGTAAAAATTAATATCTTAAACTGAAAAATAAATAAATTCATTATTTTATGTTTTTAGAGTTAAAAAAAAATATATATATTAAAAAAAATTATATTTTTAAGCGGAATTTAATTGGAAAAATTCGGTTATTCTTAATAGACAGCTGCAATACCAATTATAATAGGTTTTTAAAATGTAAAAATTTATCCTCTTGGTAGAAATAAGTGGAATTTAGACATTGACTATTAAAGTTTTTTGGAGTTGGATATGCAAAAAAGTATATTATATTAAAAAATTAATAGAAAATAGAAAAATACACCCTTTTCAAATTTGCAGCTATTCTATATATTATGTATGTATATAGTTTTGCTCGTTTTACATTTGTTATTGATATAATTCATTTCTTTTAATTTTATCTTAATTGTATGCTGTGTTTGTAGTTGTAAATTATTATTATTGATGCATCAATTAAACTATGAGCAATAGATTTTGGAAGCGTCTAAATTACTTTTTTATTTTTTAAATAATTTTCTAATATATATGTAATATAAATGTTTATACTTGTGTACAATTCATGTATTGCTTGCTTAAAGCTAAATTTTACTTCTCAGCTACGTTAAATTGGGCGACTAACAACAACGGCAACAACAAGTTTAATTAACTGTGTCATTGAAATTCAAATTTCAGTTCAATTGCTACAAATTTCGGGTAAATACTGACTTTACATCTAAAGCCAAAAGCCTAAAACTGGTTCAAAATACTTAAGAGCAATTTATGAACATTTTTTTCTGTTTGAAATCATGCATTTTCGTAACAACAAATTTTGTTTTGAATTTACAATTAACGTGCAAACTTGTTAAGCACATTTATCAGTAATTATACTACAATACTAAACTCAATACTAAAATTAATTAAATGTAGGTAATATTTTGTTCATATGTACGTATGTGTGTAAGTATATTTGTATGTGTGTTTGTACAGAGCATTGGGATAAGAATGAACTTAGTTATATAATATTAATTAATTATATAGTAAAAGAAAAGGAAAAAATTGCCATTACCCGTTCCCGCAAGCGTTCAAGCATTTTTTTTTATTGTAACAAAATTCAAAACACGAGTGTGGAAAAATAAATTATTTAAGAAAATATTTAAGTATATATTGTATATAGTATTTGTTTCAGTAAATCAATATATTTAAATGGCATGATTTAAAAGAAACTGGCGAGGAGAGGAATGGTTCAAAGAATTATAGACATTTAAGTTTGTAAAAAAAACATAAAGTAAAATGGAAATATAAATATAAAATAAACCAAAGAGAAAATCAAGTGAAGCAAATGAAATTAATGTTATTTAAATAAAATAAAAACTAAAATAAATTACTTATATTTTCAAATATCAAATGAAAGTAGAAAAAGATAAAATAATTGAACTAAATAAAAGTAATATCAAATGAACGAAAATAACATAAAATACAATATAAATTAAAAATAAAATTATTAAAATAAAATTTAAATTAAAATACAACAAAACTAACTATAATAATTAAAATAAGTTTCACAAACAATAACAACTAAAAAAGTAAAAAAAAATTAATATGCACTCAATCAAAACAATAAAAAAATATTTGTACTAAAAAAAAAATGAATAGAATAAACAAAAAAAAGGACAAGATATAAATTAAATAAATTTAATAAAATAAGTTAAACCAAAAAAAAAAAAATAAATAAATAAATTTATCAAAATAAATAAGATAGAAATCAAAACAATAAAATAAAATAGAGTAAAATAAAATAAAATTAAAATCTAAAATAAAATGAGCTTAATTAAAATAAAATAAAACCAGAAAACTAAAATAAAACAAAATAAACATAAACGAAAATAACTAAAATAAAAACAACAAAATATATACAAAAAATAACACAAAAATAATTAACTTGATTAAAAATTAAAAGAAACAAATGAAATCAAATAAAATATTAAAATTAAAAATAAATAAATGAAAAATAGAATAATATAAAATAATATGAGAAAAGGTAAATTAAAGAAAAATTTTAATAAATCGTAAATAAAAATAATAATAATAAAATAAAATACAATTGTTTATAATCAATTAAAAGCTTAAAAAAATAATTGACTAAAATAAAACGAATTTAATTAAAATAAAATAAAACCTGAAAATCAAAATGAAACAAAGTAAATTAAATAAATTTAATAAAACAAATTAAACTAAGATAAAGCACAAATAACAATAATAATTATAAAAGGTTTAACAAATAATTAAAAAAAAAATAAATAAATTTTTCTAATTAAATAAAATGAAATCAATACAATAAAATAAAATAAAAAATAGGGCAAAATAAAATAAATTAAAATAAAATAAAATCTTAAATAAAACTAAATACTAAAATAAAATGAATTTAATTAAAATAAAATGAAACCAGAAAAGTAAAATAAAACAAAGTAAATATAACCAATATATTTATAAAAATGAAACTAACAACAAAATATAAATAAAAAAGGCAAAATAACACAAGAAGTAATAAACTTGATTATCATAAAAAAATTAAAAAAAAGAAATACAAAAAAAAATATAATAATTAATATTAATTAAAATAATAAAAATAAATGAAACTAAAATAATAATAAATAAAAATTTTTTAACAAAATAAAAAAAAAAAATGAAAAACTAAATAAATAATATATAATCGTTTAAAATAGAACAGCTTAAATAAAATTAATTAGCCAACATAAAATAAATTTAATTAAAATAACATAAAACTTGAAGAGTAAAATAACACAATTCAAATTGGAACAATAAAAAATAAATTTTATTGAAAAAAAAACTAAAAAACAATCAAATAATTTAGAGTAAATAAATTACTAAAGAATAAATAACAAAAAATTGTGTAGAGCTTTTTTTAAAATAAAATAAATAAAAATAAATTAATAAAACAAATAAAGTAAAATAAAATTAAATGGAATTAAAAATAGATAAAATAATATAATTTAAATTTGATGAAATAAAATAAATCAGAGAAAAGAAAAAAAAAAAAAACAAATTACTATAAAATAAACTAAACAAAATTAAATAAAAAATATAAATAAATGAAATAAAAAAAATTACTATAAAATAACTAACCTAAATAAACAAAACTTAATTAAGTTAAGTTAAATTAAATGAAGAATAAATACATAAAATAAAATAATATAATTACAAACACAAAAAAAATACAAAAAAATTAAATAGTTTTAAAAATAATTAAATAAGATATAATAAAAATAAATCAAACCAACTTAAAAACAAAAAAAGTAGACTTAAAAATAGTAACATTAATGATAATAAAATTAAATAAAATTAAATATAGTGAAATAGCACAAAATAAATAAAAATTATTATAATTATCAAAAAATTAAGCAAAAATAAAATTTAATATTTAACAAATTTTATTTAACAAAATTTAATGAAAATGAATAAATTCAAGTGTTATGCAATAAGGAACAATTAATAAAAAAATCAACACTATTTTTAAATTTAATTTATGTAGCAAAAAAATAATAATTTAATTTAAATTGAATTATATAGAGTAAAATAGAAAATAATAAATAAAAAAATATAATAAATTAATTGAAAATATTTAAGGAATATTAACAGAGCATAAATTCAAGTGTTTTGTGATAAAAAAAAAATGTGATGGAAAAAATTTGCAAAAAATCGAATTTTATTTATTTAATGAAAATTATTATTTCTTGATGCATACACATAGGTATGTACGAGTGCACGTGTGTATATATGTAGATATGAAAAATCGAAATATCAAAAATAATAAGTGCTCACAAAATGAAATTGCAGTGTGATAAAAAACATTATGCAAGTATATTAAGTGAGAAACCAATTTTTAAAGAAAGTCGAGAGATTCTTCTTTTGTTTCACAAAATTATTAAAATTAAAAATTTTGCTGCATTCAAATATGTGCGTGTATGGGTTTATTTTTGTCTTTGTATATAGGAGAGTGCAAAAATAATGCAAAACTGTTAAAATTATAAAAATAAAACAAAACAATAAAATGCAATGCAAATAAATTTGATCTCAAAAACCATAACAAAACTCAAAAATATCCAATATGTATAGTATGTACATATGTATGTACATTATTGGCATATATTCATATGCATATAGTAAAATACATGTATGCTGGACGATAATGCGACATTGTTTTTTGCTCAAAACAAAAACAAAAATTGAAAAAAAGGTTAACTTTGCATATTTATTATGTTTACCCTAAATTTCCACTGGGAGTACGTAATTGGCAATTTCTTATCTTTACTAGTATTTGTACTACTTTGTAAGAGACGCTTAGAGACCTCATCGCTGGCGTTCACATGTGCTGGTGTGCTGTTGCTTTTACTATTGTTGTTGTTGTTATTGTTGCTGTTGCTGTTGCTGTTGCCGGTATTGCGTCCGCCATTGTGCATTGCCAACACTTGTGCAGCAATTGCAGCATCCGTTTGATCAATAACACCCGGCCCACCACCATTATTGTGATCATTCGCATTGCTATTATTATTATTGTAATGTTCCAACGCTGAGGAATGGCGATAATTTAGATTGTATGGTGTTGAACGATTGCTGGGATTATTCAAAGCCGACACATTAATTTTACTGCCATTCTCGGAACGTATACTCCGACGCTTTGACGGCGTATCTTCGCCAGCTAAATCCACCGCTGAGTGATAGATGGTGTTGCGTGATTGAGAGAGTGATTTGCGGTGTGCGGCAGCGACAGCGGCTGCGGCCTCTGAGTCGGCCAGTGAAATGGTATCGAAGTAGAGACTCTCCAGATCGTCCATTTCCGATTCGGGATATTCAAAGTCGTTTGTGCGCACTGTTTGGTGTGGGAGAAGTAAAAAGAAAAAAGGAAAAAAAAAAATTAGAAATTATGTATGTACATATGTATGTGTAAGAGATTGATTTGCGTGTTGATATATATGTAAAAATACGTATTCGAGTTTGACATTAATTGTTGGTTAAACGAAAGCAACGGGCACATGCACAGCACATTAATATGAGATTATAAATACATACATACATTCAAATGATAGTTAGAATTAAAATATGACATCAACCAGCACCCAAATGTCATGCTTCAATGCATGATTGCGCCACAATGCTCCTACAGCTGAGTAAAAGTAGTAAAAAAAAATTTAGAATAAAAACAACATATTTAAAATTAAAAAAAAAAAATTAATTAAAAAAAAAGATTAGTGCATCCATTTTCACCAGAGAAGCCTTTTGAGTTTTGAGTCTAATAATAAATTAATTTAATTAAATTTGTTTCACGTGGCAACATGAGTTATCGATATCGATTCAAAGCCTACATTCCCTATATTCCGCAGCGTTTATCGATTTTAAGTCTTACTTACCGAGCACAATTTAAGGCCAGGCTGCTCCAAAAAACGTTTTTTTTTTTCAAACAAATTTTATTTATTTAAAAAATATATATATTTATAAATCAAAGTTTATGTAGATAAGTAGACTCTAAACATATTATTTTTATTTTTTTTTTTTATTTTTTCTTTTAAAATTGCTGCTGAAACACGTTTTGTTGGTGAGTGACACGATAATTGGAAAACGAATCAGCTGAAAGCAAGATTCAAAACGATATCTTATTCTCTATCACATTGGCTATGGCTGGAGCTAAAGGGTGATTTTTTTTAGCTATTATCTTTTTGGCAACACTGGTTTAAACAGCTGGGGCACTGTCAAACATCTTCAGTTTGGTCTATAATTTAACCATTAATCGTCTAACAAACGAACAACGCTTGAAAATTATTTAATTTTATTATCATGCTCTGTTAAGAAAGTCCATCGCGTGCTTCTTCCATTTTTTGGTCAATTTAATCGACCCACTGAAGCGGCAGAATGGGAGATTTTTGAGTGAAAATCAGCAAGAAGCATTGCAGGAGCTACCAATGCATCGTGAAAAAAAACACCGTTTGATGTGGTTTATGGGCTGGTGGCATCATGCGGCGGCCTAGAACGTGCGATTTAACGCCTTTAGACTATTCTTTGTGGGTCTATGTTGAATCTAATGTCTATACAAATAAGCCCGCTTTAATTGACGCATTGGAGGACAACATTGAAGAATTTAGTCGTGAGATGCCGACCGAAATGTTGGAGAGAGTGTGCCGAAATTGGACTAAGCGGTTAGACCATTTGAGGCGTGGTCACAGTCAACATTAGCATGAATCTTCCAACGTTAAATTATATGGATCGTACAACCGGCTCATATAAAGATTTCATGCATTTTTCTGAATTTTACACTCCGCTTCAGAATTTAACGCAAGTTGAACCCACAGCCGAGGAATAATAAAAGTTTGAAGCATACCTATGCGTGATCTATGTTTATATCCAAATACTCCTTTTTTGTTAATATGTCGGTGATCCATTTCTCGTAAAGGAAATATTGATTTGTGCAAATCGATTTTGGTCGCAGGTCATTGCCACTAAACAAAAGTAGTCCCTTTCGGCATATCATCCAAAAATGTAGTCCAAATGTCATACTATACGGCGCTAAAAACGTGTTGATTCGCGCTAAAAGTTTGTCTTTGACAGTTTTTCGATTGATTGCCTCCGTACATTGTGAGCGCTCATCAAAGATGGACACCAGCAAAGAGAAAATTCGCTATTATTTAAAATTTTTCTTCGATCAAGGCCGCACACGTCTTTGGTGACGCGCCAGAAGCTCCAGGAGCTCGGATGGGAGGTCCTAATGTACCCACCTTATAGTCCGGATCTGACACCAAGTGATTACCATCTTTTCCTGCTCATGGCAATCGCGCTTAATGGTGAGAAGTTGGCATCAAGAGAGGGTTGTGTAATTGGCTCTCAGAGTTTTTAATAACTTTGACCCGTTTGAGATATTTTTCGACCAAATCACATATTTTTATATATTTCATCAGGCTTCTCCTGGCACCAAAACATCTAAAAGCGTTAATTTTCTCTTTTTGTTAGAGCGTAATAATCTGAAACGTTCACTATAAAAAGCCTCACAAAGCTATCCCCTTAACGACAGATGGAAAAATTGTCACCATTATGTGAAAGTAATAAGTTTAATTGTGAAGTAAAAGCCGGTTTCAAAATGAATAAGAATCGGCAATTAATTCAAATGACGTGCGGGTATAGACAATAAAGCAAATCTGAGAGAATACAAAAAACTGCTAACTACATACAGTTGTGTGCATAAAAATACAATAGTATTATAGTTACTGTTAAATATATTTATAAATTAAAGAATCTTTGTACAGAGCTGGACATGATTATATCTAGTAGAGGGTGATTTTTTAAGAGCTATAGGAAATGTATGAATCGATAGTACAGTCGATATAATTTAATGTTGGAAGATTATATCATGCAAATGATGACCGCGACTACGCCTCTAATGGTCCATCCGCTTTGTCCAATTCTCTTTCCAACATTTCGGCCGATATCTCTGAAATAAATGCTTTAATGTTGTCCTCTCCTCTCCTGTCCTCTCCTCTCTAACTTTAACTTGAGTGTGTTATTATTGTATATGAAGAGAAAAGTGACTACCTCACTACTATTTCTATGCACGCAACTGTATGCAATTCTCAACTAGTAAATATTTAATGCTTTGCTTGTTGTTGTGTGAATTTTAACACACCTTTTTGCAGCTGTCAACTATATACATATATATCTACATTTTTCAACCACATAAATATGCTGTTATATGTTGTGTGTTTGTATGTTTGTTACAGTACATATATAATGACAATCTAAGTACTTTTTAATCAGTAATCAAACATATGGACATACATACATACATTTGCAATAAGTTTCACTTTCTATAGTTCAATCCAATTAAAGCGTTAAATGCAATCAAATAAGACTGATAAATGGAACAACAAAAACAATATAAATAGAAGAACAATAAATTGACTTTAGGTCAGTGGCCAACAAGTTTGTTAACGATGGAACATATATGTACATGCATATCTACAATAAAAGACGATCGCTATATACTTCAGCATATATATATATATATATATATAGTAGTAAATAAATAAATACATAAATAAAATACAAGCGCACGCCACATACTTTGATGGGCCTTTCAGTTAATTCAATTTAAAATATTTTAAAAAATCATGCATACATATATTTCTTATGTGGTACACCCCTGCTATATGTATGGGTATATAGTGCGCCCTATATTATTTGAATTGTTTGTTAGTCACATTTAATACCAATTTTCCCCTTAACTTTTGCCTCGCTGATTTATTTTGAATTATAAAAAATTATGTGTTTGTTTTTGTTGCTGAAAAATATATTTCACGCTCATTGCCGGTGAACAGAAATAGATGTGGGCATAAACAAAAGCCACTTTGGATTTTAGTTTTATTTTTTTATTTTTTTTTTTTATTCTTTTTTTGTTCAAAAGCACTCATTCATTCACCAGAAATAATCTAAAATTAGAACTCTTTGCTATTTTGGGTTGACAATAAAGTTGATACATTTAGATACACATAAACATGCATACATACATACATACATAAATATATATGTAAGAAATCACGTAGCAGCGTGTGCGCCCCGTGTTAAGTGGGCAAACTGCAGCTGGTGGAGCAATGGAGAGACATACATGTGTAGAGGGTGTTTAGTTTAGACATGTGATTTTCAATGATTTGACTTTCCATAAAAAAAAAAACTTCCGAAGGAACAATGCTTGCAAATCGTGCAACTTTATTACTGAAATAATGGTTCGGCTTGTACGACTCACTGTGGACTCCAATATTCTATCGACATAATCGCCCAACCGAGTCGGTAAGTCGAACAATCATGGTTCCGTTGCGCCCAACATTCACTCTAGTGGATAATACGCATCCTCAGAGGCGCCGCACAATGTACACCGAAGACGTTATTGCCGCTGTGCAACAGAGTATCGAAGATAATCCAAATGATCAACTTTATTGAAGGATCTTGATTTTCAAGTTTAAAAATCCAACTCGTGCAAGTATTAAAGTCCAAAACGAGATGGCCACCGACACAGATTTTTTTAAGAAAAGCCTAACTTTTGGTTAAAATCTTCGCCTTTGGAGTGATGTCAACTCACAAGCCAGATGAGTCTCCTTTACGTACTCAAAAATTCACGGGTTGATGTGCTCAAGGGGCAGAGGGAATCATTGTTGATCCATATTTCTGCAAAAAATAAAGCCGGCCAAGACGTTATAGAGCCTTGATTAATGACTTTTCCTTACCTAAATTGTAGTATTATGCTGTGATCGACATTTGTTTCTAACGAGATGGCGCTATATGTCATCTATCCAAAGCTTGCGTCTAAGATAGTGCGACGCTTGGCTTGGAGGCGAGCACTCAGCGCGTTATCATTGACTTACGGCCCGAATTGCAGCAAACAGTCGCCGAAAGTTGGGTCTCTCGGTTGGAGTTTATTCGAGCCAGCCGCGGCGATCACCTGCCCGAAATCTTTTTCTTTTTTTTTTTTGGCAAACCCTTATTATTATTTTAAAACTAAATTCTATGTCATAACATTAAATTTTTTACATTTTATTTTTTCTTGAAAACCAAATGTCGAAAAAAATACCCTTTATATAGTTTGAAACAGTAGGCCGGGTAGGGAAATTTTGTCAGAGATATTTACATACATTTGGGATTTTATGTCTTTGAAAGAACTCAAAAAATTGTTTTAGGTTATAAAAAGGAATCGAACTCCAAGGGAAATCATAAAAATTTAAGTTTTTGAAGGCAAAGGTTGCAAAAATCGATTGATCGGCTATAATCACACTTTTGCATTAAACTCATACACCAAGATCGACGATCTGATATGCAATCAGCCAGGCAGATTGGTGGTCCGACTGAGTCAGCAAAATAGAATTGTCTATGAAGGTTGTGAGTATATAAACAATTTACTATAAATATCTAAGTATGTATAGTATGTATGCATGTACGCCGTATAAAAATGTGTTTTCAATGATTAAATTCACAATTGTCAGAACCAGTAGCAACAATATCATATATGGTGTTGAAGTGATGGAAAAATAATAAAATATAATATAAATAAAAGATTTTGCATTAAAATATGTGCACTTTGAACGATGAATCAGAAAACTATTACAGCTACAGTGGAATGGAATAACGTGTACCGAAGCCATTTATGCATTTCGAAAATGATCTTACTTGAAATTTTTGGTTAACGAAAGACATCTATCTAAATTACTTACTTTATTTTATTTTTGCTTTTTACTTTTAAATAGCGCCTAAACTATCTCTATTTTTCGTCTTTTTTCCAAATACAACCAGGGTTTTATAATTTACTTAGAAAACCGGCTACCTTTATTTAGCATTCATTATTGTTAGAAGCTTGATTATGATTACAAAATACAACGGCCAAAGTACACATATATACATGTATATAGATATATGTAAAATTTATCTCAAGCACGATCACAAAGTTAAATTGGTATGTAATCAACAAATATATAATGCAAGCAGTAGTTTGTGTATATACAAAGGTCTGTATAATAGGGTGTTCCTTATGGAAAAGAAATGTGCTTTATTTCTGTTTTTTATTTTATTTTAATCTTTTTACATCATTTTATTTTGTTTGATTTTCGTGTTTAATTATTTTTTGATCATTGTAGTTAAATTAATTTCTAACGTCTTTTACATTATTTTATTTAAATTTACTTTGCTTGTTTTTTTCTTCAAATGTTTTATTTTAATTTAATAAAATAATTAAATTTTACTTAATTATTTTTTTTTTACTTTACTTGATTTTATTCTATATAAAACTTTTTTAGTTTCTTTTATTGTATTTTATTTGATTTGATATTATTATTATTTTCGCTCAATTCATTTTATTTTAATTTACATTTTTTATCTTTTAATTTTTTTTTAATTCTATTTTTCTTTCTTTTTTAATTTTTCTTCTTTTTCCTTTTTTATTTTTTCCATTTTAATTTTTTTATTTTTTATTTTTTCATTTTTTATTATTTTTCTATTTTTCCTTTTTTATTTTATTTTTTTTTTATTTTATTTTTTTTTTATGTTATTTTATTTTTTTTTATTTTATTTTTTTTTTATTTTATTTTTTTTATTTTATTTTATTTTATTTTTTTTTATTTTTTTTTCCTTTTTTATTTTTTTATTTTTCGTTTCTTTTTTTTATTTTTTCCTTTTTTATTTTAATTTTCTTTGCTTTAAGTTTATTTTTCATTTCATTTCTTATTTTTTCATTTCTATTTTATTTTCGTTCTCCATTTTTTTAATACTTTTTTTTTGCTTTTTTATTGTATTTCATTAACTTTAGTTTAGTTTTTAGTTATTTATTATTTATTTATTTATTTATTTGTTTTTTTATGTTTATTTTTAAGTTTACTTTATTTTAATTCACTTATTTAATTTTATTATTTTTAATTTACTTTATTTTGTTGTATTTACTTAGTTTTTCATTTTATTTTTTTAAATTTTTTTATTTTATTTTTCAATTTAATTTAATTATATTTTGATATTTTTATTTTGTTTTGTTAGGTTTATTTCATTTTACATTTTATTTTTACTTTATTCTATATTATTTTTTTACTTTATTTACATTTCATTTTTTTTTTATTTTGTTTTTTTAAGTTACTTTCAATTTAATTATACTTTATTTAGAATTATTTTTCTATTTTATTTATATTTCAATTAATTTTTTCCTTTCAGTTAATTTTTGAATTATCTATTTTTTTAATTTCGTTTTATTTTATGAGGTTTTCAATATAATTGCTCATTATAATGCAATTTTCAATACACCAGTGCGTATACGTAACCGATATAATTTTACATGTACATATACAGCTTTAACAGCTGTAGAATATTTTGTAAAATGAAAAACGTAATTGTAGAGGGGAAAATTTTCAAATAAAATAAATATATGTATATACATATGTATATATTTGCCGTGTTGATAATTAAAAAAAAATGTGTTTTAAATAAAAAATAGTAATTATATAATTTTATGTATTATTATTCTCATTTAATTATTGAGCATAAAATTTACTTTCAAAATAAAACAGTTAAGAAAGGTACCGCCTATTATGAAGAACACAGCTTCTATGATATTATTGCCAAAGAAACTTAAAAAGAATTAAGCAAAAATATATGTATGTAAACATTTGGTGCTTTCTCAAAATTTGCATATTAACGATTTTTTAATTGTTTGTAGCTACATATATACGTACGAATATATGTACGTATCTTTATAATTTGCAAAAATAATATTTATAGCAAAATACATAAGCCATGGACTACAACTGGTACATGGTATGTATATAAGCATTATATATAAATTGCTAAATGAAACCAGTGAATGCGAGAATAAAATTTCTTTTGTGCGTAAAACATGCTTAAATTTTTACTTATTTATTATATAGATATGATTGTGTATATGTAAATGTGTATGTGTGAGTGTATAAATGATTATGTTCTTTTGTATATTTCCATTGATTTGCATTAATTACCCGCCGAATACATTTTCGTTGTTATTGTTGTTTCGCTTTTTGTTGAGGTCGAGTTGCTTTCCAGGCCAGGCCAGGCCAGTTTAAATGCGCTATGCCAACAACAACAACAACACAATTTAATTTCTTATAAAAACAGCGCGAATGTTAATTTGAAAACCAAAAAAGTAAAGAGGTTAAATTGGGCATAGAAACGAAGTGTCTGGTTTTGCTCTGTAGGCATATGTGACGTACATATGTACATATATGCAACTGAGCTGTTGGCTTTTGTTTTTGTTGTTTTTCATTCATGCACTTTTGATTTAAATATTTTATTACTTATATTTTTTTCATTTATTTATTCGATGCAAATATAATTTAATTTTCGCTGCTGTGCCCATTCAGATACCATCAACGGAGTGATCATTCACAATAGCGCCATTATTATTTTTATTATTATAGTTGACACTTTGTCATTTTCGCAGTCATCACAATATTGTGCACTTCAATCATAATCAATGCAATATTTCAAATCTCTTATTATAATGAAGAAGAATTCTTTTCAATTGCACATTAAAGCCATCATCATTGCAAACACTTTTAACATTGTTATTATTTTTATGATGAAGAATCAAACACACTGTAAAATATTAATTCAAGCACGTTCAACGGAAGTCGCATTCAACAACACCACACAGCTGCTTTTAATTATATTTACTATATTTATTCAACAACAAAAAAAAGAAAAGAAATTGGCACCGCGGCAAAGGAAATGGTATTGTAAATCTTATATGTAGCCACCGCCGTTTGGAATGTAGAGAATAAAAACTGATTTATAACTTTTTAGCATCAAGTGGCCGTAAATGCGAATATCACTTGCCAAAAATTCATTTATCACGCCTACGAACATTTAATATTTCACCAAGCTACACCCGTTTTTCAAGCACTAGAATTGAAAATTTATTACTTTGATCTGCAGAATGGCATCATCCGACAGCTAGAACACTTGTACACACACGCAAATACATATGTTGATTTCGTGCTTCGTTTTTTGCTCTACAAGCTGCTGGAAGCACTACTTCTTTTCAAAACCCGCACGTGAAACCGGCAAATAGCACACGAACACACCGCCAGCAAAATGTAGAAACTTTCATTGCGTACCGTACGTATGTACGTGCAAAGCGTCGCTGGATTACTAAATGTATATTTTATTTTCGAAATGTTCCAATGCTCCAAAACGTTGCCAGCCGCGTATTGTCATAGGTGACGTCTCCGTTTCCGTCTCCGTCGACGCTCTCGCTCAGTTCTTTTGTGGTCAAGTGTGCCGATGCGGACGCAGTCGCAGTCGCAGTCGCCGCTGCAAGAGCTTTGGCTTGTTACAGTTGTTCGCGCAATTGACACCACGTTGTCTGTCTGTCTGTTTGTTTGTTATGGTTTAGCTTTCATTCACTGCTGTACCACTTCTCAGTTGATCTTTTCATTCAATTGCTTTCATTATTGTCTTACGGTCGCTATCTCTTTGCTTTGGCGTTTGGTGGGTCATATAATCAACAGAGCGTAGCATTTGTAGGGCCAATTGTGCTCAGTTGAGTGTTTGTGAGTGCTGGTATTCGGCAAAAGCGTAGCCGGAGCTATTATTTGTGTGTAAGTGTGTTTTTTTTTATTTTTTATTTATTTTTTAATGATTTATTATAATCCAGCCGGTGGCGTGGGCAGAGTCGTGTAGCGAGAATTTTTATATTAAACTCTTTTTCTTTCTATGGAGCGATAGTGGAATGAAATTTATAGTTAGGGGAGCTAATTTTAATGATTGCTATGATCATTTTATTTGTTAAAGCAACATACATATCAGGTCAAGTAAAAAGTTCGTTCGGTTTTCACCTGATTTTTCAAAATATGATAACTTTGTGTGTATTTGTCCGATTTAAGACAAATATGCGCCGTTTTGTTCGTAAACTTGTTGCCAATGAGATGCCAACTTTATTATATCCCTCTCATAGAAGGCCGCGTCCCTATTGTCAATTTTCACAGGCCTCTCTTGAGGTTAACTTTTCGCCATTAAGCGCGTTCGCCATGGACAGGAAAAGATGGTAATCACTTGGTGCCAGGTCCGGACTATAAGATGGGTGCATTAGGACCTGCCATCCGAGCTCATGGAGCTTCTAGCGCGTCACCAAAGACGTGTGTGACCTGGCATGGTCCTGATTGAACACAGTTCGGCTTCTGTTGATCAAAGATGTCCTCTTCTGGATGAGTGCTGCCTTCGAGGGGTCCACTTGTCGGCAGCAGAGGGCCGAATTTAGCGTTTGGCAATAGGGAAGCAGCTCGTAGTAGATGATTCCTTGTCAATCCCACCAAAAACACAGCAAAACCTTCCTGGCCGTCAAGCCCTTTCTTGGCCACCGCCTGGGCCGCTTCCCCGAGCTATGACCACGACCGTTTGCGCTCGATGTTGTGGTAAGTGACCCATTTTTCATCGCCAGTCACAATCCACTTGAGAAACGGGTCGATTTTGTTGCAATTCAGCAGCGATTCGCAGATGGAAATTCGGTCCATCATGTTTTTTTGCGTTAGTTCGTGTGGCACCCAAACATCGAGCTTCTTTTTGAATCAAAGGTTAAGCAAATGTTTCCAAACGGTTTTCTGGCTTACCTTTAGTTCCTTAGCATTTAAATAAGTGCTCACATGATGGTCTGTTTCCACTATTTCCATGATTTTATCGTAATTTTCGACGACAGGCCTCCCGATGTGTGGTGAATCTTTGACATCAAAATTACCGGAATGGATCCTAGCAAACCACTTTTGTACTACACGTTCGTTTACAGCATCGGGCTCATAATCTAAATTCATTTTTCATCCGCTTTGGCTGCATTTTCGCCTTGATCGAAGAAAAATTATAAAATATAGCGAATTTTCTCTTTGCTGGTGTCCATCTTTGATGAGCGCTCACAACGTACCGAGTCAATCCATCGAAAAACTGTCGAAGACGAACTTTTAGCGCGAATCAACACGTTTTTAGCGCCGTATAGTATGACATGATTCGACAGGTAACACAAGTACTATGGACAATAACGCCATCTCTTAGATACAAACCGAACGAACTTTTTACTACACCTAATATGTACATAAATGCATAAGATCATATATTTTCTTGAATCAAGGGCTTATCGAATACTTTTATATAATCTCGCCTTGTCGGCAGCCAAATGGTTACAAATTTTGGCTAATAAATGATGGTTTAGTTGTTGCAGTGGCTTGTCCAGGAAACGTGTGTGGTTCGACGAATTCGGACCAGAAGGGGAGGTATATTAAATGAGTGGGTTTTTAGTGGGCACCCAAAGAGGTGATTACTGTTATGCGGCGACTCATTGCATGCAGAAAATAAGTTAGGTAGGCGTCAAGTCTGGATAGACAGATATTAAATCGACGACAATATACAGACCTTAACTGTGCTTGTATTACTCGGGTCTCGTGAAACAATTCGAGCTCTTCACGGAAAGATAGTTTATATAGTATTGAATGTCAAGTACCCCCTTCCCGATGTACCTAGATTTTAGTTTGGTTTGGCGTCTAGGATGTAAACGTATGAAGCCAAACTGGGAGCGTAGAAATCATAAAGTTTCCTGTTCTGGTACTCAAAATCCTGTTCTGACGGAATTGTTATCTGTGTCTCGTTCGTACGAGTTGTTGTTGATGTCGTGCAGTGACTGTGAGGGGACATCCCGTGATCAATTTATTCAAGTTTGCAGATGAGATCTTGGAGCTCTACCGATGTTTGTAGACCGTCCATACAGGCAATTCCTGGTCCACCTCTTAAACTTCGGCGGTAATAAAGATTACTGCGTGATTGACTAGATGGCAAACTTTCAAAAGCCTAGTGCTACTAGTACAGTTGGGGCGTAAGGTCAATTTGGGTCAGACTATAAGTTATATACAATATGTATATGAATGCTTGAAGCGTTTAGTATAGTGGTGGTCTTGAGCACTCTTTTTACAGGTTGTGGATAAATGTGAGGAGAAATATCCGCCAATCAAGTAGTATAGTAAGAAAGCCAGGAGTGGTCCCTTTTTTGGTGTGTTTTTCGGGTTTCAGAAGCGGAGTCACTCCAACCTGTCCGCTAAAATAGTTCACGTACTTCTTCGGCTCCGTCGATCGCCTTAGCGTAGACAGTCGGGCCTTGATAATGAATTCCCTGCTTCGATAAGAAAATTTGGTCGATTCGGTTTGCCAAGATGAAACGATCGGGTTGTTTTGCGGAAGGTCCGTTCGTTAGTGAATACAACACGGAGCCGGGCCATTAGGTTTATTAAAGTTGGCATATTTCCGGTGACCTGTGGTAGCATTGTCTCATCCAATCGAGATAGTTATGGACAAATGTCTGGTGGCTCACAATTTTTTGATGTAAGAGAAAGTTGGTGATCATGCTGTAAGGCGATCCGTTGGACTCTGGAGGTCTGTGGGTTATTACCTAAAGTGATTAATGGTTTCGAAGACGCAGCCTTAATGGCTTTGGTTGCAGTTGAGCACTGGCAAAAACCACGCAATACCTGGCACACTCCCTATGAATATGAAAGCCGCAGCAGGTTTTAAGATGGCTCCAGTCATTGCAATGATTACGCTCAACTACACAAGCGACAAAAAGCTTCCTTCTGACCAGGGTTGGGATTGACGCTGGCGCTGAAAAGAGAAATTTAAAACCACCCCACTACAAGATTTACCTGTTGAATTAAATGACGTTAGGATATGGAAGAAGTGGGACCTCAGACGGCTACAAAAAACAATGAGCTCCAGAGAATTCTTACGGGGTCGTAAGAGGCGATTAAAATCCAAAAGTTCTCATGGTAGTTGGGTCTTCATTCCGGAACGAGCCGGATTTTTATCCCTACAAGGACTGTCACTCCCGCAATATTCCCCAAAAACTACTTTAGGGACTATTTGTATGCCTACCACAACAGCAAAGACATGAACGCCGGAGTTGACACAAAAATGAATTGTGTTTGAAATGGGTTTTGGAGTCCAAGTTCGCTACGTAGGGCTCCCTAAAACACATGAAGCCACGGTAGCCGGACAGAGTCCATTCCAAAGTGAAGCAATCCGAAGCTGTGTCAAATAAGCACAACCAGGTCATGTTTTTGTTGTTGTAGTGGTTTGCTAACTTCGCTTAGGTACAGGTTTGATTAATCTAAGCCCTCGAAGTCATCTAGTGGGAAGTCCAGGAAACGACGGGATTGGACCAAAGGGAGAGGGTGGTTAGATAAGTCGGTTTAAGGGGGCATGTGAAGAGGTGGTTAGTGTCGTGCGGAGGCTCTCCACATGCAGGGCGTACGTTGGATATGGTGGGGTCGAGTCTGGATAAGTAAGAGTTTAACCTTCTACAATATCCAAACCTACGTTGTGCTAAGGTCACGCGGGTCTCTCGAGGCAGCTCGAGCTCGTTGCCTGCAATGGGTGGTGGTTTTACTCTGATCACGCCATTCACTGGGGGAGAGTCTTTGAAGATGTTGACTGACTCCTGCTGAATGAGGTTCAGTGCATCTCTGTTAGCCGTCCTGTCCTGCGGTAACATTCCAATAGGAACTGCTTGCATAGCAAAGCATTATAGCCTTAACTCGTAGCATATATGCTTCACTGTGGATGTGATGCTCCGACGACATCAGGAGGCTTCCTTTCGCAGTCTTGAGGGCGGTATTCTGGCAAGCCTGTAACTTCTTCATCTGCGTCGCCTTCTTCCCCGGCGCACAGATCGGTGCAGCATAATTTGCTTGTAAGTTTCCAGCAAAGTTTTCTTGCCTTTACCCCAGGCGCTGCTGGCTAGCACTTTGAGTATTTTGTTGCGGATCTGGAGTCTTGCGGCAATTGCGGTCGTATGCGGAGTGAAGGAATGCAAGCTGTCTAGTGGCACTCCCAATATCTTTGGGTTGTTTACAGTCGGAATTTTTACGTCATCGACCTTCACATCTAGTTCAAGCCAACTCTCAAGACAGCCGGTTCTACGTACCGGAGTTGACCCGGATTTTATACGGCAAAGGGCTGTCACCCTTTCGCCGATCTAACGCCGTTTAGGTCAACAGGTAACAAAACCAGGTCATATTAGGGCCCGGTACAGGTTCTTCAATCTCAATCTAAGCCTCAAAGGTTTTATGGAGGAAATTAGGTACTTAGTAATAGATAAAGCTAGCTGAGTGAGATAATATAATATTTGATTACTACTCATATGTGTACGTATGAATGTACGTATGTTTATATAGTTTATTACAGAAAAAATTTAATGTTGTAGTTAAAAGATATAAATCGTTTCTACACATACTAACATCTTGAAATAAATATTGTAATTCTATAAGTGAGATAAAAACAACTTTATATTTGCGTAGATTAGTTACAAATGTACAGATGTACAATTGTATGTACATGTGTAAAATACAGCTATTGTTGTGTTACTATTCTCCCGAATAACCGGGACTCACCCCACATTTTCCTTATTTACTATAATTAAATTCAATAAACTGCCCAAAATCACGTTCACTCCAATTTCTTTTACCGCTGGATTAGCGTCCAAAACACTCCACTCAAGGAAGACGCAGAAAAGCTTTTTGGTTATACATATTTGTTTGCATGTCTCGTTATATCGGCAAAAGCATTTGATAAAAAAAGCAAAAAAATAAAGCAATCGAGACGTTAATAATAGAATTGTTAAGCCATGAGTAGCTCTTGAATGCCAACGTGACAAACGACCATTTATTAGTTGCCAAAACCAAAGTCACAAAAAGAAAAAAACAAAAACCAAACAGAAACAATGAGACCAACGCGTGTCAACTGTATTTGACGGAGGCCTTGCGTTAAGTGCAAAAGTGGCGCGCCTCTAGAAGGGGGCGAAATTGAATTTTACACTTTGATATTCAAATAAACATATAATATAACTGAAGGCGCAAACAAAAGTCGCACAGTCACAGGTATATGTGCGTATGTGCTGCAATCAGCACACAAATCAAGTGGCAGCCAAGAAGTTGTAAAGACATTTGTTTGCAAGACGCACCCCTTTCATTCAAGGATACCAAATAACTTACATATTGCTAGTAAATACAAATGAATGTTTGTATATACGAAGTATAAGGGGTTTTAACGAATTTGTAAATAGTATTTTCACCCGTATCCACACCCAAAAATTTATAGCTTCATTGTGGTTTAGTGTTATTATTTGAGTGATGCTATTTCCGTTGCAGCTGAAGTGGTCGTGTGGGTTGTTGAGTGTAGTTGGCTTAGATGTGTCATTTTTTGTTAATATTTTTTTATTCAAATGTGAGCATGTACTATATATGTATATATATTTAAATGGCTATGATTCAATAGCTGCAGAGCCACTACATTTTTCGCTGTTATTTCCAAAGATTTTTGTTAAATTATTTACATTTATGATTATTAGTTTCAACATGATACACGATTTGGTTAATTTGTTAGTAGACAAGCTTCGGAAATTTCTTTCATTTATATTATTGACCTTACTTGGTTGTGGATACACTAGAAATTCATTAGAAATTTAATATTTATGCACTATGTGTTCACGTATGTATATGCGACAATCCGGGAAACTTGTATTACTCGAACGGCCGATGCGATTGTGACTTAGAACATTGCAGTGTCTGATTATTTAACTCGCTCGCGCCTACTCAAGTTTGTTATTTGTTAAATATTATAAATTTGTTCAATTTTTCATATATATATATGTACATATATACGCTAGTAAATAATGCAAAAGTTATGAAGAAGAAAAATTAATGAATGGAAAAAGAGTCGAACGATAGAGAAAACTGTCAAATTGGAGCCAGTTGGAGCAATGCAAGCAATGTATGTTGCTGTCGTATGTTATTGTCGTAACAGCTGATTTTCTAGGCTGCCATTTTTCGATGACTATGAGCACATGATTTCCCACAGATGTCGCGCATTGCACTAAACTATATATTGTTAGCCAAATAAAGTTGTATTGTTTATCATACTAGACAATTTAAATTATCTCTTTTTATTACTCTGACATGTTTCTTTTTGTACCAAAGCATTCTTTTGGTCTAACACATTTTGTGAAATAGTTACCAAAGTTTACAACAGATCTCTTTCACCTACGTGCTACGCTTTCAATAACACACTTTTTTCGGTTTAAATATTAAGTTTCGGATTTAGTTTTTTTAGTTTGTTGTTTCTCTAAACTTACACAAATTCTTTTTCTAAAAGCTATAAATGGAATTTATTATATACCGCAAACACCAGTGTTTATTTCTTCTTTTTCTTGCCCTCATCCCCGCTGCTTGCAGGTGGTTCGATATTACGTGGTTTTTGCCAATTCAATGGGTGGCGGCGGTAAAGTGGCCATGGCGGTATGGTTATCTGAGAGAATAATTGTTTAATGTTAGCAAATAAACGAAAAAGTTTGATATTTATGATACATACTATTGATGCCAATATGAATCCAGCACCTAGAATGTAAACAGTTTGTGAAAACTGTTGAATGATTGCTCCCCAAATGAGTCCGACAATGCCGAAAAGCGTAATGATAAAGCGCGAGAATTTCTCAGCTTTGTGCTGACCTTCATAGTCCTGCCAATAGAAAACTTGTGTTATTACCTTAAATTACTTGTTTGAAATATAAATTAATGAAAGATTTACCATATGAGTTTGTATGTTAAACATTTTTAAATTAGTATTTACACTTGTTTTTGGCTACGTTGTCAATTTCTCTACCAATTAGCCGGACAGCAGTTGCTGCTTCTTAATTCCAAATGAGTCACAATAGTCACCGGTTAAAAAAACGAAAGTGCTGCCAGATTTCTGAGCATGGTTAACAATGACAATTTAGAGAGTAGGCGATTTTGCAAATGGTTTCGTTCATCGTATTGCAAAATGAAAGTCACCAAATATAGTTTTCCTATAAGTGAGTTCAACGCGAAGCCTTCTAATGGTAAATTTAAAGATTCTTTATAAAAACAGAGGTTTTCCTATTGTAAACGCAAAGTTGACACTAATGTTGCCACTCTCGATATCTCTACTCATTTGTGTCTGTCGTCGCTCTTATATATGCGCCGACTATTCGCACACATCTCTGGTAGCTCGCTTCAAAATTTTTTCGATAGAAAATGCAATGTTCCAAAGCATGCTAAGTAATAACTTTTGCTGCCATCTTTTAAAATCAAATAATTAATAACTTAAAGAACTGAACTATTGAATTTTGCATTAAATTGAGTAAATTTATAAAAACATAATCTGCAATAATTTCGTTTTCAATCAGAAACGTTTGCTTGGTAATTTTAACTTTCATCAGGCCAATATTTTGTTAGTCTTACGTAAAGGAATGTCAAACCCTCTGATTGTAATTCTGAAATGAAATAATAGCTCCAAAGAGAAAAGCATTGAAGGCCTTAGAATAAATTGTAGGTACATCCATTTGTTGGAAAAGCATCTCAGTGCAAAATCAAAAATTGAAGGAGCAACTCGGTCGAAAGTAGCTTCGACAGAAAATCGCTTGGACCGAAATCGCTTCGGCGGTTACAAGCCACCAGTAAGATATAAAAATAATTATGTTTTGAAGAAACTTAATGAAATCCAACAATATATACTTTTTCATGAACTAAGCATATATTTAATTTATGGTCCTGAAAAATTCATTGAACCTTTTGGGAGCGATTACTCGCATACGTGGTCATTTGCTCAATGCAAATTTTGAGTTTACTGAATGCTTGAATATAAAATATTAAAATGTCTGACTTTTGTCCACGTCTCTATATAATTTCAAATAATATTATGCAAAGTACTTTTATCAACTCTACCGAGTATCAAATTCTACGTGGTATTCGTTACACGGGTATCAGGAGTTCTATTCTCCATTGTGAATTGTTACCATAGAAGTAAAATGAAACGCCAATCAGAACATGTAACGGATTTTCTTAAATTTGTTCAGTTAATTTTTCATAAAAATCTTGCGCCCGGAATTTTTCAAGCTTTACTAAGTTTGTTATATGTTTTTTAATATAAAATTATTGTATTTAGCTTTAAGCATTGCACATACGCAAATATTTGTGAGGTGTAATTACTCTTGTAATAGAAATAAATTACTGTCGGCATTTTTTTTTTTTTGCAAAATTTTGTGTACATTTTAATTTCATCTACCAAACAAATTCATTTTTAACTACTTATTGAGTAATTCAAAGACGCCAAGTGGAATAATAAGCAAAAACCGCAAAAGTAATTGACATACATACATATGTAAATACATACTCGTAGATGCAAACAAACATCGTACGTGCGAAAATAATCAAATCAAAATTATCTGGAGAAATAAACGCTAAGCAAACTTTTATTTTTTGTTTTATATTTTACAATTCGCGCCGCAGTGTTTTGGAAATGAAAAGGGATAAAGAAAAAGTACGTACCGAAAGTGGCGCCCACGAACTTGCTGCCCCACAAAATGAAGTGCTTTGTGGCAAAATAAACTATTGATGCATAATTGTATTTGATATATGTATCTACCTCGCTTTTGTTATGATATTTCGTAAAATACTATTCAACTTTTATTGCTTACGTGGGGTGGGTTTGGAGATTTGTTATGTTTTTATTTTCTTCGAAAGTCACTTTGAATGTACCTACATACTTTACAATAACCTTGACCGCTTGATGTTCAAGTTTGCTTGAAGTGATTGACATATTTAAATAAAATTAAAGCAGTAATTTGCTAAGCGTACGTATATGTTGGTGAGTTTGATAAGCCGTTGGATTATTCGAGTAGTTTTTCGGAAATCTATTAAAATTACATAGTTATGGTATGGATTTTAGGTTATGGGACTGAACTTAGTTCAAGAGTTTTCGAGTGAAGAGCTACTAAGAGAGAAGAGTAAATGACACTGAGTTTTCTTAAAAGAAGTAGCCATATGTAAAATTTCACGCAAGTGAGTGAGAAAGTTTTTGCCTGACATTCTCCAGGGAGCGGCCGGACTCGTTTCTGTTGCATATGTTTTAGATCAAGTATCCCCTGTTCAGCCAACAAACATCCATTTGCAGGCGAGCCAACGTGAGAAGGCGAATTCCAAGTGGTTGTATGTAGGGTTTGGGACCCACCACATGAAAAACGAAATCCAATGAAAACTCGTATTATGCCTCGGACGACCACCCCTCAAATGTTCTAAGGATTACGATATGAGAGCATGTACCCTGAATATCCGGCCCCTTATTTGGGAAGGTGCCGCTGCCCAGCTGTTTGATGTCGTTAAATAATTTAAGGCCTCCCCGACGAAGCACGATTGGAACCTAAGTATACTCTGACGAGTCCACAAAGTCTGTGCCAACTTCCGTGGGATAAGCCTTCTTAATATTGCTTTTAAGGTCCTCTGGAGCGTATTGTGTGCCAGTGGCAGCTCCGTTGGAAGGTTCAGATGGAGAGTGACCTGTCTTCACTTGATATTTCCAACTGACGCCAAACAGCGAAAAGAAGGAATGATTCGGCTATGATCAGCGTATACGGTGTCAACGCCAATAAAGAAGAAGAAGCAGGTTAAGCGTGTATTAAAATTATATAAATGGAAAAACTCTCCTAAAACTTCTAATCATCGTGATCGGTGCAAAAAGAAAAGTAAAACTAAGAAAAACCGTTAATTTGCGAGATTAAATACAAAAAAAAAAGAAAAAACGTATAGGAAGTCATCAATAACATTAAATGTAATCATTTCCTTACCAACGCGATGCAGTGAGGAGTGAAATTATGATATGACACTTTAGGAAGCGGTCGCCGTGTGACTGTAATAAAAATTGTTATATGCGAAATGCTAAGCAAAAAGAGAGTGTACGTACGTATGTATGTATGGCTGTGAGTATGTGAGAAAAAAAATTTAATTTAAAGCGATATAAACTCAAAATAACGCTTCAATACATAAAATGTTTACAAAAGCTTGCCAGTGCTCTAGTGCTACGTATGTATATGTATGTATGTATGTATGTATGTACACACAAAAGCTGTGAAATATACGAGAATGAAAGAGCCATACTGTTGATTGTTGACTCTAATCCACGGGAATTTTTATATTTTTTTTTGTATTTTTTTAATATTTGCTTTGCTTACTTTTTCATCAATATTTCGTTTGTTTCAATCAAAAAATATTTATAATCTTAAAGTTCTGCAAATAAATATAGTCCTAAGCCATTTTTCATCTACTTAAATCGTCACAATGCAATAAAAAACCAATTTTGTATATACGTGTATGTATGTATGTACATACAAATATACTTGCGCACATACATACATATGCATGAACGTAATTATAGATTAGCAATAAAGGTACTCAAATCAATAAGAAAAAACACCACTTTCATTACACAAACAAAATAAACGTATACATGTGTATGTATGTATGTTTGCATGTGTATAAATATAAAAGGGACAATAACCTGTCCGCTGTCAATGTTTTAATAGGTCTGTCTGTAACAAATTGTGGTCAGCGATGCAAAAACCATAAAAGATTTGGCGGAAAAGAAAGAAAGACAAGAAAAAAAGATATATAAAGGGTTTTCCAATAAGAGGTGCTTAAGTTGAGTTGAGTTGATGCGGCTGCTGGTCATTTCCAGCACACTTAGCCCAATAGGCTCATGGTGAAACCGTTGTGAGACTGCTGATCTCACCTTCTCAAATGATCGAACCATTTCGTGTGCCTCACAAAGGCAACGAGAATTCCAATATTCGCTGAGACCAACTTGGCGCGACAGTCGAAGAAGTGTTTCTCAAGGAACTTGTGTCGCGCGGATGTCAAGGCAAGTGGTAGGGGTAGTGCTCGATGATCCTCCTCTTCTTCGTTCCTGCAGCTGTGGCAGAAATCGTTGGAGTAAAAGCCCATTCTATTCCCGTGTAGCCCCAATAAATCGTGTCCGTTATTATAACTGTTGTTATGTTAATGGAGAACCGGTCTAGAAAGATAATATGTTTAGATTCTTTCACGTCCAACTTCGTCCACAGCTGTCTGGTGACGTTACACGCGAACTTGCTCAACCATGGTGAGTCAGCTTCCCTGCAGACGACCAGTTTAAGCATGTACTTAGCCGTGGATAGGATAAACCGGCATCCTGTGCGTATTTTATCGTACACAGAAGGGTTCCTTCCCCTGCTAGTTCGCCTGCCATGCAACTGCCTGGGATGTCCCTGTGTCCTGGTAGCAATACCACGGCAGTACTGTACTTCGTTGAGAGTTTGTTAGGAGTTTTCCTACAATTTATGACCACTTGACACATGGTACCGTTACATTGAAGAGATCTGATTGCAGCATGACTATCGGAGTAGATTGTTACTGATTGTCCTGCTGCCGTAGATTTATGCAACCATTCTGCGGCCACAATGATTGCGGTATTCTCATACTCATGCTTACTGAGTGCACGGGAGAATAAATTCTGTAACCCATCTTCATATCAAGCTTCGAGCCGTCTTCACAGGGGTGTTGCTCTCTGGTCGTGTGCGTTGGTATTTTTGCACTCGAATCTGTTTCGTATTCTCGTGGAGAAAAGATTATCGCAGCATACACTAGAGTTGGTGTAGTCCAGTTCCCTCGGCACTTCGGTGGTAGATAATATTTTTGAGAATATTGCTGCTGTAGCCCGAAGTTTTGAAGAAAACCTCTGTTTTGTTCGTACCTCGTTGTGCTTTGGTATTGGGCATTCCGCAAACGTCACTACACCTAATTTTCCATAAAGACTTGAGTCTTAAGGCTTACAACGTTGAGTTAACACAAGAGTTCAAGTCGGCCGATCATCAACAACGTCGTTTGTTTGCTGATTGGGTCGTTAAAATGCATGAAAATGACCCGGAAATTCCACGAAAAATTATTTTGCCTGTTGAGGCTCATTTCCACCTCAATGGCTGCGTCAATAAGGAAACCTGTAGCATTTGGGACTCGGAAAATCCGAGATTTATTACTTAAAAGCCTTTCCATACTCCTCAACGTGTAACTGTTTGGTGCGGCTTATGATCCGACAGGGTTATTGGACCTTACTTTTTCGAAAATGAGGCTAGAGCAACAGTTACGGTGCATGGATTGCGCCAGCGGTAGGTGTTTAATGATTTTTTATGACCGGAGTTGGATGGTATCGATCTTACTTAATTTTAAACAAGACTTGCGGCGCTACGTGGCACACAAGCAACGAAAACATCGATCCGTCATCAACATCGATCGTTTCCGGACAGTGTAAGGAGTATCTCACGAAGAGGTGATCACAATTGTTCACGGAGTTCTTGTGATTAATACCCTGCAACTTCCTCCTTTGGGGTCACGCGATAGATAAGGTCTACGCCAACAGGCGAAAATTGATTCAAGATCTCGAATATGGAATTCGTGGAGCTATTGAGGGCATACAGCAGCCCCTGTGTGATGTGGTGTTGGAAAATTTTAAAAAGGTGATTTGGTCCTGTAAGCGCAGGCCATTTGACTAATATTGTCTTCCATTATTAATGGCATACCTTCCTCCTTACATTGGCATAAATATCCGATTATTTATTTAAAAAAATGCCACGAATGAATATCAAAATAACACCTCTTATAGGGATACCCTGTATATATTGTATCTATAATAGCCTTCATACATACTTTAACGAATGCATATGTAAGTATGTATGTAGGCTTTTTGATTAGCCGAATAACCAACTGATCAACAACATGTCTTAACATCTGCTCAGATATATATATACATATATATATAATACATTGTAGTAAGCGCTTATTTACATCAAAATTCGTACATAATTAATCCACTCATAACAAAATCAAAAAATAAATAAAATTAAATTAAAAGGAAATCATACAAAATAAAAGGTATCTAAATTATGTGTTATTGTTGTTGTTTTTTTTTTTAATTTTTATTGCTACTTGATTTCTTACATCATTGTTGAGCTGATATTTGTTACCGCAAGCCTGGTTGGTGGGGTGCTTTAGCAATCAAACACCTTTCAAATACATATACATGTATGTATATATATACATACACACACACAACTTAATTACAGCGGAGTTGAAATTAGTATAAATTTATGCAAATATGTATGTACACATGTGCATATGTATGTATTTAGTATTTAGCTAGTTTTTTTTACGTTCAACTAATGATGCTTTTATATATAAATATACAGTATGTATATACACGGATTTGACTTTATAATGCTTTTATTGTAAATATTTTTGTTGCATTTTATTGTCATTTATTACTGATCAAACTGATTTACACGATTCGGCAATAAGCATGATTAAGGCATGCGCCGCTGGTTGCTTCAGACTTAATGTCCGTCCGTCCCTGGGTGCTGCTGTGGTAGCGCTTTGTAACCGCTGAAGCGAAGCGAAGTTTTTCCAACAAGTGGAGAGATCTACCGTTTATACTAAGCCGCCTACGAACGACTGTTGGGTTTTAATGTGGAGTCTCTTAATTCATGTCAGAAATCCATTCGGAGGGCTGGATATTCTCTGATGTGGACCGACTTTGAATAGAAAAATTAATTTCCTGTCATTTTAAATGTTTGCCGAATTGATACCCGCACCGGTACCCTGGCCTTCCACATGACAGTACGCAATGCCAAACCTCTCCGCTAATGCGGTTCGGGTTTAAGAAACGCACGGTTAAGTGAATTTTTCGAAAGAAAGGCGATCATATCTGGAAGTTGTTTTCTTTTTTTCAATGCATTGGTTATTGGATTCCCTCTGAGTGTTCATTTGTCAATTAAATATATATATTCACATTTTTATTCTACATTGGACTTTTGTTTTAGTAAACACATGATTCAATAACTACCTGGTTGTAGTTGGGTGTAATATCAAATTCCCACTTCTTTGCATTCTGTTCGCCCTGGCAACGTGAGCAACACCTGTGGAGTCTCCGGTTACAGCTGAAAGCGTGGAAGCCAATCAGAAATAACCATTTTAGGGTTTCCCTAGAGTGTTTTTGTAGCGCCTTTACAGCAGTGATGAGGCTACGAGTTGATGTCAGTCTTGAGGCAAAATGCGCGCTTTATAAGAATGAGTTACTCCACTTTTGATGTCGATCGTCACTGTAAACATTTTAAGCACCGAAAATTTTGCATTGGAGGGAGAGACTCCTCAAACATCAATCAAAGCGAAGTTCTAAAATTTCGAGTCTCGAAGGAGGAAAAGAATAATGCTTCCACTTATGCTTTCTATGAATGCACTAATGAGCACTGTCCTCCTACTACGTCAAAATCTCGCTTGGTGATTTCACCGTCATGGACAAACGACGAAGCCAATGACTGAAAAATAGTTTTTTGTATCACCAGATTCATTCCTGTCATTGACCCCTTTCAGAGAATCTGGCATAGTCCCTGATCGCAGTCTTGTAGTTGCGTAGAGCGCTTATTATCCAACAAGACACACGATTTTCTGTGGTACTTATACACCCTGCTCCCTGGCAGCTGCAAACGAAGCCAATGGTCTTCGGCAAGAGCTGCCACGTGGAGGATTGTCGTACAACAGTGGATAGAAATATTCTCTTAATATCGCAACATTGCAATCGACCTCAACGGCAGTAGTTTTCATTTAAATAAATTTTCTATAGTTTTTGGATGTTATCTCCTGGACCAGCCGAGCTCGAACTTTGGCTTTCCGAATGGTCGTACGCAATGCTAAATTGACGTTAAGCAACAAAACAAGCTCCGTCAGATTAGGGAAGGACATACCCTAGCCGTTCGACAAGGATCTAGTGATTGAATACGAGTTGCAGAGCTGGAGAGAGAGAGAGGTAGATATAATATTTTATAAGAGTTAACAACGGCAGACGTAAGCCGATCATATTGACATCATGGGCCTTTAAAACCGCAACCGCGACCAAATAGGGTAGTAAAGCGTATGAGTCTGATAGTGAACGAGGGAAATGAAAGAAATATCTCTTGCCATCAAACAAAAAGTCAGCCGACGTGACTGCTGACATCGTCCGAAGTGCTTTACGTGAGTACCTGGCGACGTCGGCCTAATCTCACGGTGCTCAAAAACACGAGGGATCAAATCAATTCGTTGATCAGCGCCCCATAATGCAGGCATTATGGTATCAATTGGCAGTGTGGAGTGGCCACACTAACCACCTTGATAAGGTTTGAGACCTATCTAAACCTCTGGTGTGCTATGGGTCCGGCACCCGGTTGCAATGCAACTCCATATTGAACTCACATACTCTCAAGTCTGGATTGTCCAGCCCACGGCACTCTATGTACCCACACTTTAGGTCCCCATCTTGCAGCAACTCAACCCTCAATCCTCCATAAAGTCGAGAAGAGATGCATCCACTCACACCTGCAACGTCTCGGTAGAGACGGTAAGGCACATAAGCTAACGTCACTTTCTGCACAGAAAACACACGCTTTCCATCAACAGTCGCCATTACTTATTCGTACCATAAAGCAGAGGTATAAATTGCACAAGCTACGAACAGACGCCGATATAATGTACGCACCGACTGAGGCCCCCATCATACCTTCAAACGCGACGTGATTGCCCTCCAACACACTGCATCTTCTCTTTCAAACGCACAAAGAACAAAGTGCGGACCAAAATTTACTCTCTCTCCTATTGTCAGTCTCAGGTATTTGACCTGAGTCACGTACCAGACACATTTCACACGAACTACCGGTCGGCGAGTCAGAGACAGCTTGCCAATGAACCAAATTGCCAACCACACGCTCTAATTCCAACCTTGACTGACCTTCTACCAAAAGTAGAATATTGGCCGCATACGCACAACACTTGCAACACTTGAACTCACGCTCCCAACACATAAAGGAGTCCATCATGAGATTCCAAATAATTGGACCACATATGGAACCTTGACACACTCATTCTGCTCTACAATGGTTGCTTTGCTGCCAGAGAAATAACTGCGTCACACAGTTGACAGTCAAAACTTTGAAATTGTAGATGATTTCGTCTACCTTGGAGTCATTAACACCAACAAAAATGGGAGCTCAACGCCGAAACACTGTTGCCAATAGCTGCTACATTTTTCGGCGAACAAAGCTACAATCGATGAGTATTTGGGCTTTGGGAGGTTTTGAGAGAAAGTTTTTTCGAAAGATTTGCGGTCCTTTGTGCGGGTTACACGGCGACATTGATATAGTTCAACGATGAGACAGCGGCTACGCTGGCTAGGGATGGAAGCGCTGGTATTATAGTCTTAGATGATTTTTGACGGATTTTTAATACAAAATCTCAGAGATCTAAAAACATAATCGGTCGTATATATGTTATAGTGGACCGATCTGTTTAGTTGAACTATCTCAAAAATTTAGGGATTAGTTTCGGTGCAAACAGACAGACAGACGGTGAGACGGCTCTGGCTAAATTCACTCAGCTCTCGACCTAGACCCAATGGGCATAAATTTCTTATTCTTTCTGGAAAGGCGTAAAAGAAGCTCAAAAAGCTGACCAACAGCTGATTACTGACATTTGCATTGAAATACAGTTATTTGTACTTTGTCTGATTTCAATTATGTGTTTTTAGAAAAAAAAAAAAAATTACCGCAAATAACTCAACTACTTAAAATACCAGAATTCCAAGTCTCGCTAAGCTTAAAGCCGAGCTTGTCACGTAAAAGTACTAATTGACCACAATTGTGGCAGAAATTAATTGAAATATAATTGACGGTAAAATGAAACAGTGTCAAATTATTTTTGGTGTCGGTCGCGTACATGATTTTTTGAATGTTTTCTCATACCCAATTACATATATTTATTTATGGCACAAGTGAATCTTGCAGACAGACATACATACGTACATACATACAAACCGCTTTTGTTGTATTTGTTATAAATTTTTTTTTAACATTCATTTTTTTATTGGGCTTGGATTAAAAAACTTCCACTTCTTCTCATCTTCAGTTTAATCTCGCATTCGAGCATTTCCTCTTTCGACGAATTTCATAATGCAAACACACTTTGATATTTACATACACGTATGTATGTATTTGATGCTATTGCAAAACGCTCACCATTTGCACCTTCACTACCGTCATATTCCTCAATAGTTTGAACCAGTTTGTCGGCCAAAGTTAATAACGTCGCAAGAGTTCAACCAAAAATAGACAAAAAGAAACAAAAGCACGCTAACCGAGCCAAAGCAACCCATGTGAGTGATGAAGTAGATGAAGCAGCAAAGGAAGAAATCAAAGAAAGAAGTGTTGAGGAGTTGCTTGCTTCGACCGGCGTTTTGGATTTAGACATTTTGTTGCTTTTTTGTTGTTTCTTTCATTACTTGCTGCCATACACATAGGCACTTGTGTGGTCACCTCTGCCGCGTCTGTGCATATCAACGGCTCATTTTATTAGGCAAAATCTATGGTGAATCGCGGGATGAATGCAACAAAACACTTTCGTTTTCGTTTTTGTTTTCGTTTTCGTTTTCTACTTATTTTTTCGCCTTTTTATCGGCTGCTTTGGAGAGCACGCCTCTAAGAGTTCAGCTAAGCGCTAAGCGCTAAGCGCTCGGCACACATTTATGGTATATAAAGTTGCTGGATGACACTGGAAAGTCATCAGTTACACAGTTCTTCTCACAACTGGTGCTTGGTTAACTTCGTCTACCGACTTACACGTAGCAAATAACTAAGCTTAACCTACAACAAAATGAAGGTACGCACACTTCCTGCATGGGAGATCTCAATACGCCGCTCAAGGATTACGGCTTAATGAAGAAAACGTTACATTGTTTGCTTCTCTTTTTAGGTTTTCGTTTGCATCTTAGCTGTGTTGGCCACAGCGCAGGCTGGTTTCCTCGGCCTTGGCGGTGGTAGCGGTGGCGGCGGCGGTGGCGGTGGCTACTCATATGGTGGCGGACATGGTGGTGGACATGGTGGCTACAGCGGTGGCGGTCACGGTGGCGGTGGACACGGCGGTGGCGGCGGTCATGGCGGTGATGTGAAAATTATCAAGATCATCAGCGCTGATGACGGCGGTCATGGTGGTGGACACGGTGGCTTCGATGGCGGCTACGGCGGCGGTCATGGTGGACACGGTGGTTTTGATGGCGGTTATGGCGGTGGTCATGGTGGTCACGGTGGTGGACATGGCAGCGGTTTCGATGCCTATGGCACTGGTGGCGAACTCAAAATCATTAAGGTCATTAGCGGAGGCGGCGGCGGTGGCGGCCATGGTGGATACAGCGGCGGCGGCGGTCATGGCGGTCACGGTGGATACAGCGGCGGCGGTCATGGCGGTCATGGCGGTCACGGCGGTCATGGCGGTGGCGGTCACGGTGGTGACGTGAAAATCATCAAGGTCGTACATGAGGAGGGCGGCGCTGGTGGTTTCGATGGCGGTTACGGCGGTGGACACGGTGGCTTCGATGGCGGTTACGGCGGTGGACACGGTGGCTTCGATGGCGGCTACGGCGGTGGTCATGGCGGACACGGTGATCACGGCGCTGGTGGTGAAATCAAAATAATCAAGGTCATCAGCGATGGCGGCGCTGGCGGTTATGGTGGCGGCTACGGTGGCGGTGATGCCGGCGGCTGGGCTGCTGGTGGCGGCGGTGCTGGCTGGGATTAAGCGCACACAAGTTGCCATACCAAGACATTTTGTACATATTGTACACCGTGTATTCGGAGAGTGTGCCGAATATGCGCCTCCTATAATTTAATTACACGCAGCGCGCGCAGCCATTTGCCATTGACTGAGACTGATTAGAAAAGCAAACACAAAAAAGTCATGGTTGCCCACTGCATACTATCCACAAAACCACTCTCCACGCGGAAACTCCACATGATGCGTGCGAAGTGCCATTTTTCACTTCTGCATAAGATATTCGTATTGTGATATACAAACATACATACCTACTCACATATGTACCTCTAGCCTCACATCTATCTTAGTCTTCGGCTAAGTGTTGTAAATGTTTAACCGAATTTTTGTTGTAATGTAACTGTAGTGCTCTATAACGTGAGTTCGTAGACGTTGTTAATGTTGTTATTGTTTTTATTGTTACCAAAAAATAACAAGTTGAAAATAAAAAAAATCCAAAAAAAAAAAAATTAAAAAAAAAATACTTTGCTCTTATCATTCATTTCTCATTACCAGCGGTTGAAGTATGTTCATATATATATAGAAAAGAAAAGTAAAACGCTTTCGCATCGTCATCAGCTCTGTTGCAGAAGCGCATTCCCAAGGGTTTCGCTTTCAAAGTTTCTCAAAAAAAAAAAAAAATTTAAAAAAAAAAAAAAAAAAATAAAAAAATTTGGGAGTCAACTTTAATCGTTAAATCTAAATGTCTTTGGGAGCAGCTCTACACCTTTCACTTTTTTGGATTTTTATTTTTTCTGTAAATAAAATGCAGAAAGTCATTTACGTCTCGTCATCGACTCGAGACACTTGTATGGGAATTACAAAAGTCACTTGAGAAATATAAACAAAAATTACCCTCCCATGCATGGACTTTATAACAAGTGCCTCCCTCCTAAAAGGGAAATATCCGGAAAGCTGCAAGTGTGTCTTACAGGTCTTGCTTCCTGGTGAGTGGCTATCGATCTATGTGTTCAGGCATTGTCTTGATGAAAAACGTTCCCCTTCTGCTGGTCAAAGCTGCTTCCTTTAGAGGGTACAGTTGCCGACAGTACTTTGCTCGAATGGAGAGTTTGACAGTAAGGAGTAGTTAATAGTAGATATTTTCTTGCCAAACCCACCAAACGCACAACGGAACCATCCTGGCCGTCAATTCTGGCTTGGAGACTGTTTGTGTTGGCTTACTATCCCATGACCAAGACCGTTTTAGTTTACTGTAGGTGTCCAACTTTTCATCAACAGTCACCATCTGCTTCAAAAATGGGAATTTGATCCTTGAGATTTTTTTCGTCATCGCTCTTCTTTGTGTATTCAGAGGTCAGTGTAGCACAAAAGTGGTTTGTTAGGTTCCGTTCCGATTTTTTCGATGCCGAGGATGCACTACGCGTCGGGAGGCCTGTCGTCGAAAATTGTGATAAAATCATGGAAATAGTGAAAACAGACCGTCACGTGAGCACTTATTTAAGTGCTGAGGGACTAAAGATAAGCCAGAAAACCATTTGGGACCATTGGCATAACTTTGGATTCAAAAAGAAGCTCGATGTTTGGGTGCCACACGAACTAATGCAAAAAAAAAAATGATGGACCGAATTTCCATCTGCGAATTGCTGCTGAATCGCAACAAAATCGACCCGTTTCTGAAGCGGTTTGTGACTGGCGATGAAAAATGGGTCTCTTACGACAACTTCGAGTGCAAACGGTCGTGGTCAAAGCTCGGGGAAGCGGCCCAGACGGTGGCCAAGACCGGATTGATGGCCAGGAAGGTTTTGCTGTGTGTTTGTTGGGATTGGCAAAGGAATCATCTACTACGAGCTCAATGCTCAATTCGGCCCTCTACTGCCAACAAATGGACCGCTCGAAGGCAACACTCATCCAGAAGAGGCCAACTTCGATCAACAGGGGCTGAATTGTGTTCCATTCGTATTACTGGCAAAATATAAAAAAATCACAGCTTCAAAATCGACATCTACCGGAATAGCAGGCTTTTCAAAGTAACCCTTTTTGGAAATAATTTGTCCACATGTATGTATATGTATGTATGTATATATGTATACATATCCCGCAAAAATAAATTAAGCGTAATGTGTTTACCAAATGCATATTATACAATAAGTTTGACTACGGCAGCATTGGCGACTGACAGTCTTTAAAAAAGCCGGTCTCAAAAAGCCTTTACTACAAAAAAAGGAAAAAATTAAAGATAACCAAATAAAAAAAAAGAGCAATAAAAATAAAAATTAATATAATCAACGAAAACGGAAACAAATTGGCGTCTACCAAATACAAATAAAATATACATATATATGTACATACGTATGTTTTTAGTGCTTGAACTAGTTTCGCTGAAAATGGTAAGTAAATTCTGTACAATTTGTCATCTACAGGGTTGTCCAATAGGAGTGCAATTATTAAAAAAAAAAAAATACACACACTAATTGTTGATTCAAATGTTTTTTATTTAATCAAAACAATTAAATACACGACTTCTTTTGCCGCAACGAATTCGAGCACCTCTGCCACTAAATGAAGTTGTAGGATATGTCAATATTGACTTCTAAAGATTGAAGAGAGTCTAGTTTATTTCTAAAGAAAAATGCCTACAAAAAACACCACAATAATTAGTCTAATGGTGATAAATCACAACTTCTTGCAGGCCATTCATTGTCATAATTTCTTGAAATAATCAAATCTTCAAACCTTTCTCGCTGAAAATCGGTTGTTGTACGTGCTGTATGACACGTGGCCCAGCATTGCTGCAACCAGTTGTGGTCATAAAAAGTTGGTTAACATCGACAATAAACTGCTCTCCATTGACAATAACTGTGCTAATGGCTTCATATCGAAAGAAGTGCCGAACAATGATTCCAGCAGGCCATAAACAACACCAAACTGTCAATTTAGGTGAATGTAATGGTTGTTAATGAATAATTTGTGGATTTGCTACGCACGAGAATCGACAGTTTTGTGCAGCGCACTCAACTGAAAGTGAGCCTCAAGGGAGAATATCATTTTCTTAAAATAACGTTTTCGTTTTCAAGTTGTTGTTGTTGTTGTTTGTAAACGTTGTTCTTGCGTATATCTTGGCATATTGAAATTGTAAATATTACTGAATACAATGAAGAAAAAAAAAGAAGGAATAAATCATGATTACATAAGGGGCAAAACGACAGACCTATTCTGTCCAGGTAATAAAATTTACTCTGGTATTAAAATTTTGCGGCCGAGGTAGCCGAGTATTCAAATTCCAAAGCGACCAACATTCAAAAGTTATAGAAAATTAATTTAACTAAAAAATTAAGCTAAATTTTCTGATTACGGTCGCTCCTCGACAAGGAATGTCCACCTCTACGAGAGTATTTCTGACATGAAATTAAAAAGCTCCTCATAAAAAAAAAAATCAGCCGTTCAGAGGCGGCTTAGTATAAACTCTAGGGCCCTAAACTTGTTGGAAAAAAAATCAAGACGCAAAACCACAAATTGGAGAAGGCGCTCGGTGGAAAATCGCTTCAGCGGTTATAAAACGTCATTAACCGACCTATTCTGTCGGTAATAAAATTTACTTTGGTATTAAAATTTACCACTCAGCAAATTTTGTTACTATTTCGTATTCTAATTTCACTGTCACCCTGTAAATTTTGTTACCAGCGAAATAAGAGGTTACAAATAATCTGCTGTTTGATTTTGTATGATATAAAAAATAAAAACCAAAATGGGTAGGGATATTTTAGGCCTGGAATTCATTGAAGATGAAGAAAAAAGTGTGTGCCAAGAAGTTTGCGAAAGAATTACATATTTATTTTGGATGATAGCGTTTTCATTCCGCTTTCTTTTGTCGTCCAGGCATATTTTCCATAATTCGGTTCAAATATTTATGGTTTAATAAACAAATAAATAAAACTTATTCATTTTGTTAAGGCACCGTCATCCACTTCGATGTGAAAAATTCTTCATTTTTTACTTTACCAATTGGCAAATGTAATTTGACAAGGATGAAAAATGCAGTGCTGCCAAATTTTTGTCAAACAATGTAACCTTTGCGCTAGAATACCAAATTCATTTTCGGGTTTTAAAATTGTAACAAAATTTACTTTACCGATAACATTGAGAATAAGCTTATTAGTAATCATATCATCCCTATTAGAAAACCCTATATAAACATACAGTACATCTATATGTGTATGTACCGAAACAAAAAAATTTCGATATAAATATTCAAATTAACAGGATTTAAAACTCAGCTTGTAATATTCAGGTTCACGAGTAAAATAAAAACAATTGTAAGTATGTGGATGTACAGCCCTGCCCAAAAGTATTAGGCACCCAACTAAAATACAAGTATTCTCAAATGTGACTATCAAAGTTACCACTATTTTTTGTAAATGTCTCACATGAGTGTTTAACTGGTGACTAAACGAAGTGGAAGAAAGCGTCTAACCAGTAAACGAGAGGGCCGAATACTTATACGCTAGTCTCTCAAGGATCGCAAATAATCTTCTTCTGCCCTTGCAGCTGACCTTTCGGATGAATTTATTATAGTAAACCAATTAGTGCTCGAACAGCGAGAAGAAGACTTCTGGAAGCAGGTTTAAAAGAATATAAAGCACGAAAAAAGCCGTGGCTCTCAGAAAAGAATAGGAGAAATCGTTTTGAATGGGCTCGTCGATGCTCTGTGGTCTGATGAATCAAATTTCAAGGTAAGCTTAGTTAAGTTCGTCTTAAAGTATTAACAGCCATAGCTTCTTACCCTAGAGCAATTTTGAAGACATAATACAAATCTTATGACAACATATCTTTTTTTTTCGACAGATATTTGGAACACCTGGTGTGATGTTCGTAAGGCGACGGGTTGGGGAAGAATATCATCCAGATTGCGTGATACCCACTGTTAAGCATGGATGAGGCAGCATTATTATTTGGGGCTGCATGGCTGCTGATGGTGTCGACGAAATGTTCGTTTGCGAGGTTCGCATGGGCAGTCAAAAGTAAATAAATGCATTAGCAGCTGTTCTTCTGCCTTCGTTAACGCGCATTTTCGGCGATACTAATTTGGACGGAGTTCAATTTCAGCAAAAAAATGCTCCTTGTCACAAATCAGCAACTACGATGCGTTGGCTTATAGAACTGTTTTATTAGATTGGCCTGCACAGTCTCCAGATCTTAATCCCATTGAGCACATGTGGGCTATTTTAAAATGCAAGATTAAGAAACACTGTATAACATCAAAAGCTGCCTTAGAGAATGCCTTCAGTAATTATCGGGTTGCCTAATACTTTTGTCCAAGGCTGTATATGAATATATATATAATATTTCTAAATATATTTATGTAAATTTTGTTTATTTATTTTAGGCCGCATTTATTTGGCTTGTAAAGGGCATAAAATGTGATAGTTCTCCAGAACCACTCCATGCTTTAGAAACATATCTACACCTTTTTTTTGTTGTATGGCATTAATACGAGAAAATTATCTTTGTAAATTATTCAAGAAATAAAAAAGTATTAATCGTACGTTTCTGGCTTCACTTTACATACATATACATATGTATGTAAGTATGCTAATAAATGTTGTTCGCAACTCAATATAATCATTATATACTCGTAATATATAATCCTGTAAATTGTAATACTTTGTTTTTTTTCTGTTTCTTCAACACTAATTTGCGGGGAAGCACTCTTAATGGGAACAAAAAAAAGTTCGTTGAATTTTTAGATATTTTTATTATTTATGTGTTAACCATTTACGCAACATGAACGATATGTGAAAGATACCACGAGTAAAAGAGAGAAGCCAGAGAGAAGCCAGACAGAAGAGGACAGATTTTGAAATTCGTGAATAGGAAGAGCTTTGCGATGATGATCAACAGGCAAATGCTCGAAAATTCTATAACAAATCAGTGTCTCTCAGAAGGTCTCAAAAGTAGATGTTCTTCCTGTAGGAACGAGAAAGTGGATGCAGAGAGGGTAAAATGCCAAGATATAACTCATCCAAAAGCTCAATCGACGACGATTGTATTACCTGACTGAGCTATTCCAGAATATGGTCGAACGGTGGCATGCCTGTCATTTTTACTCTACACCTTGAGATAAGCCTCCTCAATATCGCATATAAGGTGCTTTTAAGTCTATTGTATGAGCGATTGCAATCCATCGTCAAGAAATGAGAGTGGACAATATCAGTGTGACTTTAGAACTAGTAAATCAAAAACCCGTGAACCTTAGAACGACCCGTGCACATCATTTCATTGTTGATTTTAAAGCTGCACGAAAAGGAGGAACCTTTAGGTCACCATGTCTGATACAACTACGCGAGCTTACGCTGAGTAACCTTAAGAGCCTCATCATAATTGGGAAGGTTATCATTGGCCTACCGCGTTGTTTTGTTTTTTTTTCTTTTTTTGTAGCGGCTCACTAGCTCCGCTTAAGAAAAGGTTTAATCAATCTAAGTCTCCGAGGTGGCCTGCCCGGCAGTTGGTTCTACTTTCTTCAGGTTGGATAAGAAAGCCAGGCGCTTGGGTTTGATAGTGAAGAAGGCAAGACTGTTGTCAAACAAACAGTCAGCGCATTCCTTCCTCGTAACTGTTGACAGACAGTCATAGAAGTTGTTTATCTTGCAACCACCCTCTAAAACCAACAATAATTGCAGCCTTGAATTACAATGCGGAATCAATCTTGCCAACAGGTGATTTGGCAATGGAAAAGTAAAGACAAAACTCTAGAAGTCGCTCACCATTTCCTGTTGTATTTTAGTAGCATACGGTGGACGATGACAATATCTGATGAATGGGGCTTTGAGAGTCTACGAGAAAAAGATATTGCGGAAGATTTATACACCTTTGCATATAAGTCACGGCGAATACCGCAGACGATGGAACAATGAGTTGTACGAGCTACATATATGATGCTATTGACACAGTTCAGCGAATTAAGAAACCGAGGTTACGCTGGCTAAATTGTGTCAATCGGATGACGGTACCAGTTGGAAGATTCGGATGGAGAAGGACTTGACTTCTCTTCGTGAATTGGATTATTGTTGCAAAGTAGTTTCAATCCGCAACCAATCCGTAAAGAAACTCGTGTAAGTAGCTTAATGTGGGGTCTAATATTTATGCTTTGTTTTAGACTTATCACCACGTTATCCTACTTCCTCTTCATAAGTAACTGCAATTGGTTCTGCGGAATAAACATACACGTCTGAATCATGATGATTAGTCTCCAGTAATTTTATAATTTCGTTCATAGTTTTGCACTTAAAGTCCTTGAGCTAATACACCTTAGGGCGTATCACTCTACTGTGAGGCAACGTGGTTAGCGAACAGACCAAACTCTTCATAGCACTAAGCAAAAGAGAACTTTGTATTATATCTATTGTAGGCAGGAATACCGAGCATCTATACCTGAGGTATAGCCTCCACAAGCTGGCTAAGATGCGACTGGCAGACGGCGAGTGCCAATTGAGACGTCAAAACTTTCACAGTGCTCTGAGTTTTAAACTATTTGAAATCCTTTAAATCAAGCGGGCTGTACGCAAAAGCTTAATGAGGATTAGCAATAGTAGCCTGAGAGCAATAATCATACTCGTGCCCTGCGGTCCGGCTTTCAATCTCCGCTCCTAACCAACCGATCAGTCAAATGTGTTGAGTTATGGCGCCATTAGCTCCTAAGTTTAAACTATGCAGAGCGCTGCTTGTTTTACCGCGAACCCAGCGTTATCCACCTCGCGGCCAACCGGCCGAGGGACGCGTCTGAGGGCTAATTGAAAAATCCTACCGACCGGTGCACGAAAACCGGTGACAGTCCGGACTGTTCTGAACCAGAAAGCGATCGCGGAAGGTTGCCATTACTTTTGCCTCCAATAAACAGCTTGAGATTTTTTCTTCAGCTGCTAAAAAATTATATTGGAAAAAAGGAGCAGGAATTTATTTAATTATTTAAAGCACTCCGTAAATAGGTTTTGATACAGAAAAGCGAGTCAGAGGAGAAATGTACAACAAAAGTCAAGTGTTTCTGCTGAAGAGAGCACGTCGAAAGAGGCATAAAGTGAGTTAGCAAATTTAGCAGTATTGGTAAGGAGAGATAAAAAATGTGTTGTCTGTGCCGCACAGATCAGTTGCCCCGACGAAGGGTTAACTAAAAAAACTTTTTTATATTTATTAAATTCAAAAATGTTCGTCACAAATTACTTAACGAAAATATGTCTGTATAAAATATTATAATTTTACTAAATTATTTTTATTTTTTTAAACTCTAACGAACTTTCATCGCTCCCCTCGCGAGCTAAGTAAGTTAAAAATTAATTTTCTCGTTTGCTGGTGGCAAATATTTGACAAACTAAATGCAGAACTGGCCAATATCGTGCTCATGCATAAATTCATTAAATCATTTTGTTCTTTTGGTCAGAAAGTGAATTTAAGTGTTTTGGACTTCAACAGGTTAATCGCTGTTTCCTTCTTCGCTCTTATGCTAATCAAAATCCAAAATTAATATAATAAAAAAAAAAAAATGCTGGAGATATTCCACCTTTTGTATAATTTTTATGCGCTTAAAGACAATGATTAAATAATAACAAATGAGGCAACAACAATGCCATAGGCCAGCCACCAACCAAAACGAAGCATCTGGTGAGTTGTTCTTTTTGTCGTACTTGTTTATAAAACGATTAAGGCTTTTATTTCTTTTTCATTATGTTTTTTATTATTACTCTTTTATTCTAAACATGTTGGATTTTTCCACGACTTGTCGCGGTTTATAAAACAGCCAGTTTTGTCGCGCACGGACATTAGTTAGCGAAATTCGTTCTTAGCGGCGTGTTTTGCCATCTTCGAAATGAAAGTGAGTCCAGTAGACGAGTGAAGCGCGCAAGGCTTACGAAGAAGTTAGAGAGGATTAACAAGCAATTTTGCGCTTTTTTGTTTTTTTTCATTTTAGTTGTTCGTGTGCTTACTGGCACTTAGTGCCTTGACGGCGTCTACAAATGCAGGATTTCTTGGATTGTTAGGAGGCCTTAAAGGAGGCGGCGGCGGTGGCGGTGGCTACGGCGGTGGCGGTGGCTACAGTGGTGGCGGCGGCTATAGCGGTGGTGGCGGATACGGAGGTGGCGGCAGCGGTGGCGGTGTCCAAGTTATCAAAGTTATTTCCAGCGGTGGCGGCGGTTACAGTGGAGGCGGCGGATACAGTGGAGGCGGCGGCTATAGCGGGGGTGGTGGCTACAGCGGCGGTGGTCATGGAGGCGGTGGCTGGGATGGCGGTCACGGCGGTGGCGGCTACGGTGGTGGCGGTTATGGAGGCGGTGGCTACGGAGGCGGCGGTCATTCCGGCGGCGGTGTTCAAGTTATTAAAGTGATCTCATCTGCAGGAAGTGGCGGTTACAGCGGCGGTGGCGGCTACAGCGGTGGTGGCGGCTACAGCGGAGGTGGCGGCTACAGCGGCGGTGGCTGGAATGGCGGTCACGGTAGCAGCTATGGCGGTGGCGGTTACGGCGGTGGCGGTTACGGCGGTGGCGGTTACAGCGGTGGCGGTCATTCTGGTGGTCACGTACAAGTCTATAAAGTCATCTCTGTGGGAGGAGGTCACAGTGGCGGCGGCGGTTATGGAGGCGGCGGCTACAGCGGCGGCGGCGGCTATGGCGGCGGCGGCTGGTCTGGTGGTAGCAGTGGTGGCGGTAGCGGCGGCTGGGGCGGTTGGGATAGAAAGAAGTAGATTGGGGAGCTGAAAAGCTAACTGTATGTTTCCTATAAGCCGTAAGATGAAGTTTTTAAATCAAAATGATTTGATGCACTGCCATTGTTCGTGTCCTTCGAAGATGCAAATCACGAAGCGCTAAGAATATTTAATGTACAATATGTTTTTGAAAGTAAAAAAAAATCAAATTTTAGCGTGATAATGAATTAGATGATAGAGAATGGAAATAACACAAAAATAAAAAGAAAATTAAAATTAAAATTTGTTTAAATTCGTGAACTGTTATGTAATGCACGAATGGGTACGAAGGAGAAATCGTGCTTGTGCACTTTTTGAGTTAACGGAACTCGCTAATATTTTTTTTTTTAAATCAGTTGTTAATTGCTTCCAAAATCTCGTTTTTTTAATGAAGCATCAGATTTTTCTATTTCTCATTATTTTATTTTTTGAACTCTAGATGTTTCACTGAAGTTTAATATATTAATTTTTTTCACTTTATTTTATTATATAACATAAATAAATATTTTTTTATGCCAACAATTAAAGTGACTCACATAGTTTTGGCTACTCGTCCCGTTGTCATTCGCCTGAAGAGTTCCAAATTAAATGCTAATTCAAATCATTTGCAAGTAACCGGTTATTCAGTTGCAAATTTAATATTTTTTAAATTCATCTTGAAACTTGTTCAAATCACAGCGAAACTTCAATAATTTATTTATTCAGTAAAAAATTAGCATTTCGAAAGGGAGCCCCAAAGAAAAATGCAAAACAACCGCTAATTTGTTGAGGAAGATCATAATGATCATAATGAAGCTTCAAGCTATGCGTGGCTACTATATAGTCGTACATATATACCTATGTACATATATGAAATTTCATAATATTTCATAGAGATACAGTGTGCCTTTTTGGGTGAAATATAAATCGTATTTATCAAAAAGGGGAAATTAGATTTTATGACCTTTTTCGCGTTGAGTTTGATCTTGAACTTGATTTCTTTTTTTAAATTTATGTACTCCAAAGGAAGAGAAAATCTTTATAAGGTTCTCTGGCTTGGAACTTAAAACCAAAAAAAATTGAAAATTAGTATAATTAAAATGGAAATAAAAAAATAACGATAAAAATTAGGAAAATTAAAAAAGAAATAAAAAGCAAATAAAAAGAGGAAGGGGTAGGGGGGAGGAGTTTGAAATAAAATTATAAAATAAGATAATAAAATAGAAAAATTAAAAAAATAAAAAAAAACAATCAAATAGTAATAAGAAAATAATCAAATATAAACAAAAAAAATATAAAAATAAAAAAAATTTGCTTAATAAAAAATTAATAGGACAAAATATATTTAAATAATAATAAAAAAGTAAGAAAATAAAAAGAAAAAACAAAAAGTTAGTAAATATGTCAAGAGAAAATAATAACAGTTGAAAAATAATGAATTACACAGAAAAAATAAAAAAGAATAAAAACAATCAATCAAATATTAATAAGAAAATAATCAAAAATAAAGAAAAAAAAAATTATATAAAAATAAAAAAAATTTGTTTACTTCTAAAAGTAAGTAAAAAATGAATAGTATAAAATATCTTTAAATAATAAAAAACAGTAAGAAAATTAAAAGAAAAAACAAAAAGTTAGTAAATATGTCATGAGAAAATAATATCAGTTAAAAATTAATGAATTAATAAATGGAAATGAAAATTACACAGAAAAAATAAAAAAAAAATAAATAAATTATCAAAAAAATAAGTAAATAACCTTGAAACAAAAATAATGATAACAAGTAACTACTTAGTAATTAACAAAGAAAAATAATAAGAAAATAAAAAAAAAAATATTAAAAATATAGATAAATCAGTAAAAAACTATTAAATTAAAAAATGATAAAAAAATTAAATATATGATAAAGAAAAACCAATAAAATATTAATAAAAGAATTATTAGACAAAAATAAAAATTATAATAAAAAAGGAAGTAATAAGTAAACCAGAAATTTGTTTATATAACAAAAACAGTTAAATAAAAATAATAAAAAGCAGGAAAGCAAAAAGAAAAATTAATGACAAAAAATTAGTAAATATGTTAATGAATTATAAAATAACGAATAAGTAAAAAAGGCAAACTAAACATAAATAAATAAAATAATCAAAAAGAAAAATTAATAAATGATAAAAAAATCAATCAAACAGTAGTAAGAAAATAGTCAAATTAAAAAAAAATATGAAAATAAAAAATTTGCTTACTACTTTAAGTAAATAAAAATTTAATAATACAAAATATACATAAAAATAAATAATATTAAAAAAGTAAGTACTAAAAAGTTAGTAAATATGTCAAGAAAATAATAGAAAAATCAATAAAAATATAGATCAATAAGGAAAAAAAATATAAATCAAATATAATAAAACAATAAATAAAAAATGATAAAAAAACTAAATATGTGATTGAGAAAAATCAATAAAATTATAATGAAAGAATTATTAGATAAAAACAAAAATTACAATAAAAAATGAAATAAGAAGAAAATAAAACCAAAACCAAAAATTTGTAAATATAACAAAAAAATAAATAAAAATAAGAAGGAAATTTAAAGGTAAAGTAAGAATTAATGAAAAAAAATTAATATATAGTTAATAAATTATAAAATAACAAATAGGTAAAAAATGGTAAACAAAAAAAAAAAAATAAATAAATACAATAGGAAAAAAAGGAAAGAGTAAAAAAATATAAAAATAAATAAATAAGTAAATAAAAAGAAACCAAAAATAGTATTAATAAGGAAATTAATTAGTGAATGCAGACCAAAAAATGTAAGTATATAATCCAAAAAAAAAATTTTAAATGTTATTGCATCAAAATTAATAAAATAGTAAATAAAAACAAAAAATTAGTAAGTGAAAAGTTAATAAAGAAATAAAAACTAAAACGAAATGTAAATGAAAAAGGAAAAAGTCCAAAAATAAAAAATAATAATTAAAAAAAATAGATATAAAACAAAATGAAAATAATATTAAAAAAAGTATTACTAAGTCAATAGAAAAAAAATAAAAAGCAATGAAAAAATTTAATTATTATGTAAATAAACGATATAGGAAAGGAATTAAAAGAAACAAACAAAAAATAGAAATGTAAATAATTAAAAAATAGTAAAAATAATAGTAAGTAAACAAAAAAAAAAGAAATTATAATAAAAACATGAGAAAATAAAAGAAGTAAAAAAATATGTTGGGCCTTTTAACAGTAACAGTTTGATTTAAAAATTTATAATAAACATACTTACTCTGTGAGTAAAGTAAGGTGATTTTTTAGTATTCCTTTTTTAATGTGGTAGCGCTTTTCAGCGCTTTTTCCATTTTTTAACAGATAATTGTCAGCCGGAGCCAAGTCTCAGCTGTAGGGTGGGTGATTCAAAATATCGAACCCTTAAACTTCTTGGCAGGTGCGGTGCTATTTCATGCTACATATAGTCGTGTTTCGTAATACCTGGCTCACGTGGACCGATTAAGAAAGACCGTCAATTAAAATTAAAATTTGAGCATCTCCTGGATGGCTCTAGATTCCCGATAACAACAAACAACTGAGTAGCGCCACCTTCCCAATTAAAATTTCGAACATTTCAAGAGCCCTTGGCATGCCGTGTTCTTACTCTAAACTAGGAGTTCTCAACCAACGCTATACTTAATTTCTTACTGGAATAGTTTTTTATATCTAGTAAGTGCCAAAATCATCACAAAATTTCGCAGCGCGAGGAATACTAATTCGGCAAAATTAAGAATAAAGCTTATGTCCGCTCGCAGCCGCAACTCTGGTGAACAACCACAGCAATAAGACTTCAGAGAACCCTTAAGCCGAATATGACAGAGTCACATGACTAAAGCCGCTCGTCGTTTAGCCGTGACGAAAGACTCCAATGAGGATGGTTACCCCACATCTTGTTCAAGAGATGCTCACATTTCCCGTTTGCCACTCGCATTGAGTAAAGCCCTGCGACTGTGGTTGCCTATTCAAGAGCAAGACTGCAATAATGTCAAGAGTTTTTGAATAAACAAATATTTCACATAAATTAATTAAGTTAAATTAATCATTTGAATTGCTCTCAATGGTGTTTCCAAACTCTGCGTGCACGAAACAATTGGAAATAACAAAGGTTTCATAAAATCGTGTTGAAAGCATCGAAAAGCCAATCATAACGAACGAGATTAATACAAAATATCAAAATCACTTACCTCATTAATTTATAAAAGCTACAAATTTTGGGCCTAAAAAGAGAAAAAATTAAGAAAAAAATATATAAATTAAAATAGATTAAACAATCAACTAAAGGTGCATAAAATATACATAATTACTAGTTGAAGACACGGCACGAAAGAGCGACAGCACGATTGCGGGCATAATTAAAAAACTGACGAGCCTACAAAAAATATAATAACAGTTTTTTTTAATACTTTTTGAATATGTATTTACGAATGATTATATTATGTAACACCAACAGCAAGTATTAGATGAGAAAAAACAAATACCCGCGCTGCAGCATCGCATGCCAAGTTCAGTTTACCATATCATTAATGATCATTTACCATGATCATTACCTTGCTTCCAATTTAATTTCTTTACCTTATCACTTTAATTTCATTTTAATATAGTTTAATTTTTAAACTTTTTAATTTTAATTTTAATTTTAATTTTAATTTTAATTTTAATTTTAATTTTAATTTTAATTTTAATTTTAATTTTAATTTTAATTTTAATTTTAATTTTATTTTAATTTTAATTTTAATTTTAATTTTAATTTTAATTTTAATTTTAATTTTAATTTTTATTTTTATTTTTATTTTAATTTCAGTTTTAATTTAATGTGAATCTGAAATTTAATTTCAATTTTTTCCAGTCTATTTGAATTAAGTGGCAACAACCACAAAAACAAAAAACTCAAGTCATAGTGCTGCCGCCAATGATGCAAGCATTTTTTAGTAAAAACCCGAAAATTTGGATAAAAGGTAATCAAAGCGAAACAGAAAGCAGAAAAATATTACAAAAATTAGAAAATAAGAAAAAAGAGGCAAAAATATCAATAATACAAAAAGGCCGAAATTACGATAAGACGGAAAACACTGAAAGCGTATAAAAATAAATACATACATAATTATGTATATACAGAAGACAGCCGGTTAAATAATTATGATGTTTAATTTATTATTAATGATTTTATTTTATATTTGAAATTTTCTAGCTGTTTGTAGTAATCGCAAAACATGACTTAGTTAGCTTAGTCGCTGTCTTTTGATTCGCTGAACTATGTCTCTGTCGCCAAATAACTCATGGTCATCGTTCCATCGTTTGCGGTATTAGCAGCTGTCAATGCCCAAAGTACCATACTCCTCCGCAAAACTCGTCTCTCTCGAAAACTTCTAACACCGATTCGTCAGTTGCTGTCTAATCCATCCCTCCGCACTATATAGCCGGATGGGAATAATGAGTGGTTTGTTTGGTTTGGTCTTTGTTCGTCGAGAGAGGACTTTATTTTTCAATTACCTACTCAGTCCAAGGTAGCACCTGTTGGCAGGAGTGATTCTGCGCTAAATTGCAATGCTGACATTGTTGTTAATGAGGCAGGGCACACTTAAGTTCCAATCGTTGGGCATGTTTGGATCCAACCATAACCTGTAAAGAGGCCGATGGTTGAACCTTAAGAATTCTTCACCGGCGGTAATCCAGAGGTCTCCGCTGCTTTGTTTCGGGCGATTGCTTTTCGATCTTGTTCTTGGTCGGGTATTGAAATATCTCTCTCAGAGAGCACGATGTCAAACTTTCCATGTGTTTTTTGACAGGCATTCATTGAGGCGGATGATAAAAGAAAGTGTTCCGTGTCGATGTGGGGTCCTCGGACGTTACGCACTTCTAGAACTCTGGAGGCATGTTTTCCGTCAAACAATATATAATTGTTTTGGTTATGTGATTTTCAATCCGGCGCAGTCATGTAACTTGTTGAAATTTCTATTATGAATTATGGTACTAGAGAGAACTATAATTAGCCCATTTGGAAATGCTTCGTTATGGAGGCTGAACTTTTGGAGAGTTATTTGAGTTTCTTTGTTCACCCCGGCGCACTCGAGGCGCTTATAGAAAGTGTCTTTGGTTGCATCGTTCTTCTATTCCATAAGCGGTATGTTGAGAAAATCGGAAAACCGAGGGATCGCAGCTAGACCTTCGTACTTCGCAAATCCAACACCAAATTTGACCATTGTCCTTTGACTCGTCCACAGTATTTCTTCGATAGCGGTGATGCCAACTTTTAGTCTTACGAGGACATCAGATAGCTAGGCCGTTGCGTCTTCCCAAAGAAAAACTTGACATTACAGTTGCATGCCCTCAAATCGGGATCCTTAAAACGTTTTCGGGGATCGTCATCAAAAAGGTGACACTTATCGGAGAGTATTGTCTCTTTTTCATTAGAGTATGTGGTGGGTCCCAACTCCTATGCGTTACCATAGGAGAGTGATGTTTGACTGATTAAAATAATAACTTCCCTCTCACTCTCCCCGCTAATAAGGGTTATAACTAACAGTTGAACCTAAGTGTTACCAAACATGACTCACAATTTTTTCCATTTCTATGAATAACAAATATTTTATTTTTGCGTTTTAGGGTTTTTAAATTGAAAACACTGTTAAACAAGTAATTTCACGACTGTTAACGAAATCGAAATGAGCACTTGTTCGATTAATTGAGTTGATTTGCTCATAATTGTAGGATTTTCCGTCTTTGTCACACTTACATATGAACAACTTTGTTCTTTCTTATGTGCATTGTGAGAATTTCATAAGTCGGTATTGAATTATTAAAGTATTGACAAACACCACCAGCAAAGGATGGGCCATGTTCATTGTCTCAGCGTCTCAGTAGCGATCAAGAATGACGATCTCGATGATGGATTGATTTGTGCGCGATGAGTGGAGGCAAATTGAAGTCAAGTGGGCTATCATAGACTCGGACAATATGGATAATTAAGTGAAGCAAAAAGTTTATTACGAATTTAAACATTAAAGGGGAGAACAAAACGACCTTAGCAAAAAGTTAAAAATAAATGAAAAAACAAATCGCGGAACCCAGAACACTTGAGTAATTGGAATAAGGAAATTGAGAATTGCAAGAAGTACATAACAAACGGTTTTTTTGTTGCTTTCCCTTTCTCGCTTTTGTTCTATAATTATTTTTACTGAACTCTGCACCGGCGCTGCTATTTCGGAGATCATCATTAGTCGGTGGGGGGCAGATGTTTCCTCTATAAAAATAGAAGTCAAACCAAGATTTGGCAACAATTACACATTTGGTTTCTAAACGAGAAGTCTTCGAGTAGCAGTAATAACTAAAATGAAAGTGAGTTTCGCCTGAAGTGGAAAGCGCCAGAAGTCCAGCACTTAAGCAGTATTTCTCTCAACTTTCAGATCTTCGTGTGCATTCTAGCCTCTTTGGCCGTAGTAAACGCAGGAGGTGGTTATCTGCCACGTGGTGGCGGCGGTGGTGGTGGTGTTGGTTCCCTCGGTGGCTACGGTAGTTTTGCTGGATCCAGCGCTAGCTCTAGCGCTTCCTCATATTCAACCGGCGGTGGCGGCGGCGGCTTTGGCAGCGGTGGTTATGGTGGCGCCGCACGTTATGCTGGTGGTTTTGGTAAAGGCGGTGGCGGTGGTGGTTGGAATAACGCTGGCGCGGCCTTAGGTGGTGGTGGCGGATATGCAGGTGGCTTAGCTCTCGGTCGTAGTGTTGGCGGCGGTTATGGTGGCGGTAGCGGTCTCGGTGGTGGACTTGGTGGTGTGAGAAAAAGTGGCTTATATGGCAGTGGTACATCCAGTGTTTCCTTCCATAGTGGAAACTCTTTGGGTGGTGGCGCTGGGTATGGTCATGGTCACGGTGGTGCCGCGTACGGACCTTCTCATGGTAGTGCTGGCTTGGGCGGTTATGGCAGTGGTATTTCCTCATATAACGCTGGTGGTTCCCACGGTGATTGGGGTATTCCAGCCAATTTTGATTACACTGTTAACCACGGCTCTTCTGGCGCTGGCTATGGTGGCAGCGGTCTGTATGGCGGTGGCAATACCGGTTATGGTTATGCAGGTAGCAGTGCATCGGCGTCTGCTAGTTCTGCAAGCTCGGCCGGTGGTTGGTGGAAGAATTAAGGCGAATCTTTTGTTTACGAAGATGATTTTATATGCATTTACACTACTTCACTGTAACCTGTTGATATCGAGATAATAAATGCCCGAAATTATACGAAATTCAACAAAGAAATAATTGTGATTCTCAATTGTAGTACAAGGAAACTCTTCTTTAGACAAATCTAGAACTTTAAAGGGTTGCAAAAACTCAAGGATATACCGAGCCACTTAATGTATCCGGCCAGAGTTTAAAGTTAGACTCATGAGGTCTTTAGAATGGACTAATCGTGTTTATTATAATACTCTTCTCACTTGGCTATAGTTGGAGCTTGGTTGGTAAGTTGGTTGACTGGTTGGCCCACCTCGGCAGGCTGGAGCTAGGAGCATATTGAAAGATTTACTACCTCGATCGGCTAAAAGCCGATGGTGATAAGATCACAGGCGTAGATACTGCATTAAATAAGAATGATATGCTCTCTTTGTCTTAATACAAGTAACAGTCCACGCTGCGCTACAATGTGATAGACCCTCCGTTCAAATTTTTCCAGTACTCCTTAATGAACCAGACAACATTTGAAGTCATTGAGGGGTCTTGAGCAGTTGATGCCGTCAGCCTCGTTAGTGACTCTAACGGGAGCTGGGTCGTCTGGCGTTACATAGTCTCTTAACGTCCCTTTACATTTTTTCCCGCATTTGGATTTTGTGTAAACGTACGATTACCCATCTTGGACCTGTAATAATACCCATCATCTCGGCTTGGAATATAAAACTGTAGCCACTAATTTCGAAGACACATTGTATGTTAGAGTATTCGCAGCAGAGTCCTACTCCTGTGCTTGCCTCACATTTAGCCCCGTCATTATAAATAGGGATGTTATCAGTATTGCCAATATCCTTCCGACTTTTGTTGCCTGTATAAAAAGAGTAGGTACAAATCACCCAGCAAAGGGGTTTCTTTTCCCCGTCGCATCATTCGTTTAGCTCGATGATCATACTAGTCCTCCCTGTGCTAGCGGGAAGGTCTCCCAACACTTTTTTTAAGTCAGTACATCATCTAGGGTCCTGGCGTTAGCTAAAAATATACGACTTATTATAAGGTATCTTCTTCTGGTAGTCACGCTGAGATGTTGGGCATACAATCTGATGAAGAGGAATCTGAAATGATAAGAAACTTCATTTTTGAATACCCCGCGCTTTGGAGGAAAAGGTCAAAGTCTCTAGGGCCCAATTTTGCAAGCGACACACATTGGTTTGGCTAGTAGGTGGGAGCCAATAGGATTCTCAGTGGTATCACAATGGGTTCGTTCGTTGGCCTAAAATATGCGATTCTCGGTAACTACTTCAACCTACCTATTGCGAGATATTTGACCGAGTTAGAGGCTTTTATGATATTTTCCCATAAGGACAGCGAGTTGAATAGGTCTAGTTTTGTCATCCTCGTAAAGTTCCTGATCTCATTTGATTTCTGGATCTACAGTGAGCCCTTGTCTTTCAGCCCAGCTCGCCAAAACTCGAAGTCTACGTCAGAGCTTAAGCTTCTACCTCGGTAGATGTGCGTATATGGGCAGGTAGGTAATAGTACAGCCCGAACAATTCGTGAAACATCTGGGCACTCGGAGAGGAAGTGAGCAATGAACAGATCACCGCTTTTCCATTATTGAATGTATGGACACGTCTATGAAATTAAAGCAACGGAAGTCATACTTTTGAGTCCTCGTTCATGAACGCTAAAAATACAACATCGCATTCTATGAAGATGAGGAATAATTTATGAAAAAGCTATTTGATTGAAATTGAGTATAAATTCCGTAATACAATGAACTAGAGAATTCAATATGATATTTTCGCCAAAAGCTTTACAACCGATCTTTGTGCGTTTGATCAAAATACAACAGATGTCGCTGCGAGCACTTTGAAGCTAATCTCTGGCATTTTAGCCAAACTCAACTGGTCTAAAGCCAAGAGTCTCAAAGCTGCCAATGAGCTTTTATTCCACATCAACTAATAAGTAAATATGTATGTATATACGAGGGTTGCCTTTTATAATTCGGGATTAGAAATTGAAAACAAATATTAATCAACGAAAATCGTTTTATTGTTTTTCAAAATATTCTCCATTAAGAGTTATACACTTCTGCATGCGCTTGAACCTACTGTCGAAGCATTTTTGTTACTCTGATTGAGATATCTACAAAGAATTCGTGCGGAACGCAACAATCCGCCCCGGAGGTGTTGGAAAAGAGGCTGTTCGGTGCCAAGTCAGGACTGTACGGTGGGTTACTTATCAAATCGATGTTTTGAGTGCTCAAAAATCATTTCGACTGAAGACGCACATTTCTACCTCGATGGGTACGCCAATAACCAAAATTGTCGCATCTGTGGCTCGAAAAAATCAAGATTTATTGTTGGAAAGCCTTTACAACCTCCTAAATGTGTAACTAGTTTGTGCGGATTATGGTGGGGCTGGATCATTGGAACTTACTTATCAAAAATGATTCTGAATTGCGTTATCGATAGATGATTGATAATTTTTTATAACCGGAATTTGGAAGGTACTGGTTTGGGCAAAGTTTACTATCAACAAGCGGCTGCCACACAAGCAACGAAACCATCGATCATCGGAGAGGTGATCGCAATTGGCTACCGAGATCTTGTGATTTAACATCTAGCGACTTCTTACTTTAGCGCCACCTGAAGGCCAACGGGCGAACACCGATACAAGACCTCAAAGATGGAATTCATGAGGCTATCAAGGGCATACCGCCGCCACTATGTGCTTTGGTGTTGGAAAATTTCAAGAAAAGGAAACTGTTCTGTTGGCGCAGGTGTGGCCACCCTTTGCTTCATGTTAATTTCTATTATTAATAGCATACATCTGATCATTTATTTCAAAAAAATTCATTTAGCTTTGATATCAAAAGAACACCTCTCTTTGAAAAGCACTGGATAACGTCAAAAATTTCAAATTTTACCAGTATTGGATGAGTGCATAAGTTCGTGCCCGATTCCGTTGGATGCCGTTCGAATCGTTTGAGAGTGGCGCTCGTGAAAGAAATATATACATATTATATATCGTTGGAAAGGTGACAGTCCGAACTGTAAATCAAGTTTAGTGAAAAGACGCATGGAAGATGGACAACGAAAAAGATCATATGCTTTATATTATGTTATACGTATTCAGCACGAACATATGCACTCATCCAATAGCAAGTTGCCAGATTTCTCCACTAGGGTAGTCCAATCCCGAAATACAAAAGGCAATCCTCGTATTTTGATGTGATAAAGAGATTGAATTTTTTAAAGACTTTAAGACCGGTTTCTTCATTTTTTTTTCATTTTATCGCATGCATCATTACCTTATGCCGACTTAAAATATATTATGTGTTGTATGTATGATTTGGAAGGATCAGTTGAAGTTCAATGCCGTCAAGTGAAGACGAAAGTTGAATTTGTAAATAAATATTACAACAAAGCGGAGCTGTGGCTGAGACCATGAGTAATGTCAAAACGATTAGTGTCTGCCAGGCGTTGAGTGTGTGTAAAGCATGGGTAATGTGTGGTATATTTATATAAATCTGTATGTTCAATTAAATGCCACGCAGATGTGAGGCGGATGTTGCCGCTGTGTTCGCAATTTCTTGGGAATAAGTTTTTTGGTGTTGTTTTGAAAACAACTTTCAAAAATCATTTTTTTCTTATTTGTTACATTGAATATACGTGAGAGCGGAACGGAGCATAGCAAGGTGGAAGTAAAAAACCCAATTATTTTTGCTTTTCAACGCATGCACCTGTAAAGTGTATATATATTCCAGAACTTTCAATAAATTTATATTTATATTCTCATAAAAAATGTTTTCTCCTTATCTTCAAAATTTCTCGAAACTGTCGCTTTGACTTCATTGTCATTGTCGTCCCTTTCTTAATTTTCGGAAATAGATAATAATCACTCGATGCTAGGTTTGGGCTGTAGGGTGAATGATTCAGAAGCAGAGCAGCCAATGCAACCTGGCTATACGGGCGAGTTGTCTTGTAAAAGCAGCTTTTTGTCAATTTTCCCCGTTTTTTCTCTTCAATGGCTTCTTTTGGTCGCTCGCAAATATTAAAGCGTAGTATTCTCTAGTTATAGAAACACCTTTATCTTTATAATCGCTCAATATTATTCATTTCGAAAGACCGTTGCTCTGACTTTTCCCGCTGATTGTGGCACTTTAACTTCCTTTTAAGGCGCTGTGTCCTGCATAGAGTCTTATTTTGACTCAGGTCCGTAGTGATGAGCTCTAGTTTTGTCTCCAGTACAAATTCGACTCAATACATTATCCTTCCCTTATATCCTTTATAGCGGCCCAAAACTACACGTAAACATTCTATGCGCTGCTTTTTTTATAGAGTTGTAATCGTTCTCGACACTCGTCTTGCGCTGACCGGAGTTGCGAGTATGCCAAAATGATCGTGCAGTGTTTTCTGTGAGTTATTTCTTCTTCAGTCGGGCATCGTTAAGTTGAGTTCAGTTGATATGGCTGCTGTTGCCAGCACAGTTAGGCCAATAGACCCATTGTCGATCGAATATCGTCAAGCACAATAAGTTTTGGCGTGATCACCTCAATGCCTCTCCCGTTCTCGGGGAGTCCCGTCCTTGTTTAAAGAAACTGCGCTACTTACTAATTGTGGTTTTTTCCGAACAAGAATCGCCTTGAGTCATTATGGCCGAAGTTTGACTCTACACTAGCGATTTTATTGCTTGGTTGAGACTAGTTGCCTAAATACAATGAAACTTCGTATTTATACTGTACACGTTACCAACCCTAATGAGACTAATCGCTCTCCGATAACTTTATCAATCCGCGAAATTACAAATGCTTCCTCGTACCTAAATCTTTTTGGTGGTGAATCAAACTTATATTTATAGGTACTCCAACTCTACTTAGGAGCAGGCGAGATTAGTCTAAGACATCGTCTAATACAGTTTCCAGTTACTTAGGGCTGAGCTTTCGCTGTAGAGTGGCCTCCGGCGGCATTGATGGATGAAATCAATTTTGAATTTCCTTCTGAAGAGAACCAGATTTGTTTTATTATTGTCCACCTTAAGTCTCACTGAATTAGCTCAGCTATTTAAGGTTCCAAGTGCCCGATTCGTTAGAGATCTTAAGGTTCTTTAAATATCATCTACGTAGGCTGTAAGCATGACTGATGAAGGGGAGCCACTTTCCATCTGCCTTCATCAATCTATTGGCAGCAAATGTTCGAAGAAGAATTGATAACTATCCAGTCTGTGTTGTTCCTTTTTGCACATCTGGTGTCACCACGTCTAGTTACACATTGTCATATGTCAAGACAAACGCCCAAAACATATTACCCATTCTTCTTCTTCTTCTTCGATTCTCGTTTCAACATGACCTTACGTCAATCTATGTCAACTGATTTGCCCTTTGCATAGATGTGCTAGGCTTTGGAGATACCCTGTCTTACCTACTTTTCTAATACTACTCCTGCTATTCACAATGAAATTCAAACGTAGCTTTTCCTGTTGAAAGCTTTGCAGACCTTGCTTAGTAACTTCATAACTCTGTCTCCGGGCTCTAACTTCATGAATGCCCTCCTCTATAAAACTCCTTCTGTTATAGAACACAGGAAATTTGTTACTTTATGATCTAGATGATGCATTGACTTGCGCTGAGCTTGCGATTGCTTCTTTTTCTAAAAGCCCCCCCTAGAATTTCCAATAGGATTTATTGCTGGAACTCCAATACATTTCTTTAAACATCACCTGTTTGGGTTTTCAATTAGTTCCACTGCGGCTTGGCACTGTAATCGTGGAGTTAGCTGTAGTTTGGTATTTATAGAGTCATTGCAAGCGCTGTCGCTTGTTCTTCCGGTGTTCCTTCGCTGATATGACATGCAGCATTATTAGTCATTAGACTCAGTAGAGTATGCCTCTGGTTTAGAAGAACACAATGTTGCTGCTGATCTCAAATGTGTACTACTTAGTTCTTTCATTTCCTTACCTAAATCTGTCACTTTCGTACCACCGTCTTTGCTACTTACGTCGGTTAGGTTACGCGTAGTTTTTTTCACTGGCGTTCCAGAAGCCTTTTCTCTACCGCAGAGCAAAAAAACGGCGATTGAGCTTATCCTTTCTGAAGAGTAGAACCGTTATACAGTCCTTTTTAGCACGCATAATCCATGATATTATTTATAAATACAAAAATTATTTTATTTCTATAAAATAATTCATATTAAACTTAAAAACAATTTATTTATGTAAATAAAATTAAAACAAATTAAATTCGTAAATCAAATCCGTAAATTATTGCCACCTTTCTCATTTTCCCCACGAGCCAGCGTGTGCACTCGCTGATGATTGCGAATTGGCGTAAGCGCCACTACCACCATAACCGCCAACGCCACCGCCACCGCCTCCACAAGTATTGCAAGCACCACCGCCGCCGCCACCACCTGGATGACCGCCATAGCCAGGATTGCCGCCACCAAAACCACCATTACCGCCGAAGCCACCACTACCGGCTGAGCTGAAACTACTCGAGCTGCTGGAGGCGTATGAGTTGCTGCCACCAAAACCACCACCACCGCCACCGCCGCCGCCACCATAGCTAGGCGCGTATCCACCGCCGCCATAATTGGGTCTATAACCGCCACCGCCGCAACCACCACTACCACAGCCACCACCACCGCCGCCGCTGCCGCCGCCGCCGTAGCCACCACCACCATAACCGCCGCTGCTGTAGGAAGGCACTTGTTTCACGGCGTATACTTGTATGCTGGGCGCGCCAAAGCCACCGCCATGACCGCCACCACCGCCGCCGTAGCCTCCGCCACCATAACCACCATATCCGCCTCCGCTATAACCTCCACCACAGCCGCCACCGCAGCCACCACCGCCACCTCCACCGAATAGCAGCGCGTTCTTAAACGCTTTTAATTTATGCAGCGTAGGCGTGGCATGACAAACACCCAACAATAACAAGCAGATCACTAAACGTTTCATTGCTCCCGCGCACCTCAATCGTACGAACGTACAAACGAACGGATGAAATTCTTTAGTCCTTTTTGGATCGTGCTAAAAATAACTTTTTCTCTAAATATACCACGAAGCGCGGATGTTTGTGTCTTGCTGTTGTCGCGTCTTCACTTAACACTTGTCCGCTTTTTCAACAACTGATTTGTCTGGATGACAGTTCCAGCACATTTATACTTAACTAATTGGGAATTTTATTCAAAACATGTACGAGCAGTCAAGTACACAAATTTAGTATGTCGTAATAAATACTCAGCTCATCGCCATAGGGACACACATAGAGTTTAGAGATGAGGTGAGGGTAGCTGGTAACAGAATCGTGAGCAAATGATTTTGATACGAAATCAAAACAAAAAACTAAAACATCGAAACAAAAACTAAAAAAGATGTAAATAAAGTGCGGGTGCCGCAGTAGGCGTCAGCGTCAACTTTGGGTTCACACCGCCACTGAGAGAATACTACACACCGCCGCCGCTTCTAGTCACCCATACCGCTTCTAGTCACCCATACCGCGCTCTGCCATTCCGCTCTGATCTATGGCTCAGTGACGTGGAACGAATTAATGAGCGATACGAGTATATCCCAACGAATGCGGGCGTTGAGCTACCCAAAGATTGCAGTCGCGATAAGAGATGAGATGAGTTCAAAAACTCCAGATGAGGCACAAAATAATTCGGATAATGAAATACTTTAGGAATTAGTAATTCAAATTCGAACACAACAAAAAAAAACAACTCGTTCAAGTCGCTGGTGACGCAGAGACGAAAAGGTGAACTGCAAAAGAAACGAACTCACTGGCAAGGTACGACCAAGCACATTCTTCCAGATAAATAACCATTTGCAAACTTCCACTAAGCGAATATTTTCACAGAGAGGCTGTGTTAAGGTGGCAACATCACCGGATCTGCCACAAGTCGGGGGAAAATTGTCCAATATGTGATTGGAGCAGGTCTAAAGGATTATATTCTTTGAAAAAGGCAGGAAATTTCAAAGGGTGAATTGGCTTCCAGGACAGCATGGAGAACGCCTAGGGAACGCTCTTAGTAGCTGTTGTAGGTGCAGCAGAGATGGCGAGGAGAATCGTCTTATTTTATCGACATTTTAGATTCGCTTTAAGGTTAGTCTTTGCCTTGTGCCAGAAGTTAAAGAAAGCGACCATAAGGGAGAGCAAATTTTTCATGGAATCACAATGTAGTTTTAGGTCCAAGAGTGGCGATGCTCACATATCGGTAGCCATTTCCACCTACCTAAAGATGCGGTCATAGAGATTAGGAAATTCAGTTGCAATTGTACTCGCTTTGGGTATTCTTCTCAATTCTTCATTATTTAGCAAGATCATCATCATCAGCCATGCAGCTTCCCCAGCATCTCCTTTGGAAAGCCTATAGTCCCTCTGTTGTCATCCTATCAGACAGTGATCTGTCCGGACTTCGGTCGAGTACCCTCTTTTTAAGGAGTACATATCTCATGAACTTTTATTATCCTATTTTGGCTAAGTATGCCTGGATTCGCAGCAGATTGAAGCTTCATCCATCTATCCATCTTTTCGTAAAGCCATTCAGCATTGACAGATTTTCAATCTGTAACAAAAGAATCTGAGAACGGCGGAGAATTGCTCTAGATGACTTAAGGCGTAGCTCCCTCTTGTAGCTTTATTGAGACACTGAATACGGCTTCATACCAGATACTGAGAAAGGGTATTTTCCCTATATTTTCGGGATTATTGTAGTATCTGGTCGTGCTTCTCTCTACCCGTAAGATTCCTATAAGAAAGTTATTCATCGCAGATGCTAACTTAACAAGAAAGAGTTTCTATGGTTGCAGTTTGACCAGGATAATGTGACCAAATGGAAAAGAGGAACATCAAGAGTTAAAAAAGAAAATATTTACTATTATGGGACTTATCGACAAATGGTTTCTGCAGGTGTTGTAGGAAGAAGCAAGAAACTGAAATCCTAAGTCACTTTTTTGCGATTGCCAAACATTTTGCGGAACCCGTACCTCAGACGTAGACGAGACTTGTCCATTTCATCGAGGTCAACGTCGGGAGTTCCAGAAGACGAGGTATTTCGACACGCTCGGGCTATAAGGGAAGGTGGGGCAAGTTTTTATCTAGTGGGTCGATTCCAATATTCTGATCCTATTTGTGCCAGTATAACACGGGTCTTTTGAGGCAGCTCGGGCCCTTGTTATTCAATAGGTGGTGCTATGATTACAAGAACGAAAATCATCAGAGATTGACGGAGTCGCAGTAAATGACATTTGTACGTAGTACTGTCCCTTCCTGATGTGTCTGGTTGGAGGTTCAGTCACAAATAAATGTCTGTTGGGGAACCGCCTACGGTAGAATTCCAGTAAGTATTACATTATTCTCCATAACTCGTATTATATATACGTGTATTTCACTGTGAAAATCAAGTTCCGGTGACACCAGAAGGTCTCCTGTCACAAGGACCGTGGCAGGTGTTCTGACACTATTGCAACTTCCTCATCTGTATTTCGCAACTCCCCGGCTATATTCGACTTTCACGACAGCCGGCTCTACGTAACTGAGTTGAACTGGATTTTATTCGGTAAGGGGCTATCACCCTTTCGGCAGCTTAAATCTGTCTAGTTCATAAGGTAAGGTGGAAGTTTCTTGTGGCGTGCTTCCAAAGGGTTGATTACTTTTTTCCTTTTACAAAGAGAACACTTACCAAAGAACTTAAGATTTGGGAGCAACATTACCTTATATGTATTGTAAATGTAAGAGATTAATTTCTGAAACTTTACAGGTCAGAGGATTTTCTTTCAAGTGCCTGAGAGAAATGTTATATTCTTCACAAGAGTTCCCCATCTAATGGTGGAATTAGTACGATCTTCTAAGAGTTTTTATTGTTATTTTTTTATATTAAAACTATATAAATACAGTTCTTATATGCCGACCATAGCGTGCAGTTTACAAAAAAAAAATGACATCCAGTTGTGAGTATTCCTCCATTTAAAATATGATCAAATAAAAAATTAAAATAATTGACAGGTGCCTCATTTGTTCAACACTCAATTGCCACGCTGCCGCTACTAACACTCATAAAACAATTCTATTTTTATGTAACAATGTATGTACATTGATGTTGTAGGTTGGGGAAATCCGTTAATAACGTCATCGCAAAAGCGACTTCCCGCGCAACAGCAGATATAAACAAACGAAAACCCACTAGGAAAGTTATGCGGGTTGTCGACAAATATCAGCCTGCGAATGTCAGCCTGCGAAAGTCTCTCGCTTTAATATTTAACTGCAACATTGTGAAGTAGGCAGTCTGTTTTCTCTCCACTGCTCCGTGATAACCCACATCTTACCAGCTGTTATTTTGAGCTCACCGAAAACTAATAGTGACGTAGGGAGCTTGAAATATCATTCCGCACATTAGTGCTCTCAGAGAGTAGGAGTAGAAAACCGTTCGGCAGTCTGTTGTGATCACAGCTTTTCGACAAAGAATCCTCCGTGTGCCTGGGGAAGGGTGTACTGTGAAGCACAAAGGCTGATGCTTATCTTTGCTATGGTGATTTGAATTGATGTGGGATCCTCGAAGCGTACGCCGGTCAAGAACACTGGCCATCCGTCTATCACAATATTATTGAATTATTATGTTAATTTATGTTTCAGAAGACAGCTTTAGTTCTACAGACAAATACATTTCTGGTCCTAGTGAACACGATCATTCTGTGTTCGTTTGGGGGAGTTTCGTCGTAGAAGCAGAGTTTTCCGACAGCAGTAATGACGATAACTTCTCTGTCTACTCTGGCATAATTTACGTATGCTCCAGGCGCACATTACAGGCATTTTTGATCACATGGTCTTTCTTTTTCATCGGGGCCCGAGCACAAATCAGCGAAATGTTGAAAAGTTTCACTTTGGCGCGGATTATGGATAAGACGTTCTTTCACGGGGGTGAAAGCTAGAACTTGGCGACAGAATTGTCTTGCACGCACCGTAAAAGCGTCGCCATATTTGCAACCCTTTCCATGAGTGCTGTAGCAAATGTCACAAGAACATACTCGTTGTCGTCCTTGTCCCGTCTAACATACTCCTTGGACGTTGTTGATGTTAGTCTTAAGAGGCTTGCACAATGGAATCTTGTCAATTAAGCGATGAGACATTCCAAGAGCAAACTCGTAAATTATAGTCCTTATTACCTTTGCAGTGATCGTAAACAAAAGTAATGCTTTTTATCCTAGACGTTGATATCATTTTCCTTTGGAGTTGATTTCTACGTGGCGGCTACCAAACCCAGCACACAACCAGTAGGTTTAAATTTTGTATACATTTATATAGCGAGCCCATTTTTTTTAAGACCAACGTCCGCTCGCAGCTGCAACTCTGGTAAATAGACACTGCAGCTAGACTACAGCGAACCCTTAAACGGAATGTGCCACTGTAACACCACTGAAGTTTACACTGTTTTAGCTATCGCCTAAGGTCCCGCACGCCTTGTTTACCACAACCTGCACGAGGGTTGCTCACGTTTCACGTAGACGCAAGATAGGATAGAAACATATGTTCGAGATGTTAACATAATTTTTTTGATTCAACGTTCCCCTTCCCTACCGGGATCATTTGCAGAGAATCCCAAAGACGTTAAATAATTGAAATTCTAAAAAGCTGCGCCAACGATGCGGTCATTGGCGATGATATCAAGTGTTCTGTGGTCTTGTCATGGCTTGAATGAATTTTCTAAATTATTGCACAATTAATAATGTTCGATAATTTAACAAACACAACGAATGTGCAAAGAAAAGTGATGGGAAAATAAGTTTGTTATACCGTTTAATTAATAATTAAATGGTTAATTACCGTTAATGGTAGCTAAATACGTTACAAATTGCAGAATCAACAATTCAACTTCACAATGAAGAACAAATAACAATAAAAATTAAAAACAATAGAAAAAAAACGCATGACATTCCAGTTTTCAGTTGACTTCAAGGAT